GGTTAAGTCACATTTTTGCGTGTGAAGTCACATCTCCCTAACGAATCCTAACGACACCCGGTTGCGATCGAAGTCACATCAGCCCGCCGTCACGAAGAGTCACCAAGGTATATATGTTGATGCCCACTCCCTCAAGTGCACGCACCACACACGCATGTTCTCCACACACATGCAAAGTACACGTTTGTCACCGTGTGCCCGAGAGTGGAGTACTATTGTGGGCCAGCACAAGACACATGTTGATGTTGTTCCCCCAAATATCCCAAGTGCACGCATCACATGTGCGTGTTCCCGACATACAAGCAAAGTACGCGCATTCGGCAGCACGCACTCGAGAGGCATACTTGTTGCATGAAAATTCAGTCTTCAAAGCACCCACGTAGCTACACACGACCCCCAGCGTTTAGGGTTTAAGGTTTAGGCAGCGGGTCTAGGGTTTAGGGGGAGGGGGGGGGTTTTCTGGTCCAGTTGAAGGCTCTTGAAAGGCGATTTTTGCTTGGTAGTTCGGCGCCCCATCCCACACCAACCCGAAAATCTGAACCATAAAAGGTGGTGCTACGGGCTTTCATCACGGTTTTGGACTTTCTGCAGGCGGGTTCTGACCTTGCAGAAGAAGATACGACTTAACCCTAAACCCTAAACCCATCTGTGTGTCCATGTCAACTTTCGGCAAGCGGCCTCCTGGAGTCCAGGAGGGATGGCCGGGATGCGGCCGTGCCGCTGCTCTGTCGATGCCCGTGCCGCCGGCCGTTGGGCAACCTATGTCGCAAGTACCCATTTAGGGTTTAGGGTTTAGGGTTTAGGGTTTAGGGTTTAGGGTTTAGGGTTTAGGGTTTAGGGTTTAGGGTTTAGGGTTTAGGGTTTAGGGCCCACATGATGTGTACCCAACCTGCAAACCCTAACCCCTTCGATCTTGCCATGTCGGGTGCACAATGTCTGCGGCAGGCATCATGAGGCAAGGATTGGGCGGCAAACTGGGCAGTCACGCCAGTGGCTGTGGGGACAGTTGCGTCGGTCATCTTCGGGGAAGGGCTTCGGCCGGTGAATGTAAGAGATGAAAGGTAAGGATAGGCAGGAGGAACAATTGGCAAACAAACCTGGTTTGCCTATTTCTGAATATTTTTAAGGCTCGCCCCATAGGTTCTTGCATGTCGCTGTCCATTTCGCGCCTGGAAAGATCCACAGTGTCTTTTCTGCAGGTGCTGCATAGTAGGGGGGAGGGGGGTGGGGAGTGCCTATATTAGCCAATATTTAGCAACAACATCTATATATTGTTGCCATAATAGTGTTTGTACAGAACAAGGAGGAAGATTCTCAAGCCCTTCATGGCTCGAGCTGCGAATCTCCAAAGTGAACTGTGGGGGAGGCTTTCTCTGCCCCCTGATCCAGCGTTTGTGAATCGAACACCAGACCGTGTACACACGGAATCTCTTCTAGCTTCTCCACTTTGCATATTGTTGGTTTGTAAGCGAGTGGCGCTGGATCTTTTTGATCGGATCCCATAATTTGGAGTCTGGTATCAGGGATGCCCTCATTATGGGAAACTTCCAGAGACGGAAAAACCCTCTCGTCTGGACCACCCACCGGTCTCTCGCCAGCGCGCCACCCGCACTCTCGCCATCACGGCACTCTGCTTGATTTTCTGGCTTTCCATCTTCAAGCTTGTAGAGTCTTTACGTTTTGAACGGAAGATTTGGGATTCAGGCCAGGCGAAACTGACGGCCGCGCAGCGGCTGAAGCCATGACAACCGAAAATGGCAAGGGGAGATGGAAACAGGGAAGCATTCGCTTAACAAAAACACGAGAATCACTAGGATCAATCCAACCCCCAGGAATGAAAACAGCAAGCGATAGCATGACCAAACAAACCCGGCGAGTTGCCTGAAGAATCCCGTGGAATCCCGAATCCAAAACACCTACCAGTTAGGCCCTCTTGTTCAGTGTAGGTGTTGGCTTGGGTTTGCGATTTGAGGTAACTGTATCAAAAAATGCCATATAACAAATACCATATATATATATATACATATGGTACCCCCCCCCCCCATATGCCCACACTTTTTCCTCTCAGGTGCCATGGTAGGGTTTAGAGGTTTAGGATTTCGAAGCCTCCTAGGGCAGCCAGCACCAATGTTTTAGGCCCAAAAAAGCAAAAACGGTTATACGTCTTCTGGTCCAAGTGTAACCACCTGCTCCCGGCGCGGCCGTTGCGGGGCTTAGGTGGCAGATGTCGCAGACTCTTGAGGTGGAAGGTTTGGGACGAATGGTTTGGGCTTCTGGCTTAAAGGTCAGTTGTTGCAAATCCCTTATATATATATGTATATACCTACCCCATACAACCCTTCTGTCGCTTTTCCAAAAACGCAACCCCCCACACCCCCAAAAACCCTCTATGAGAGCGTAGCAGGCACCTGCTTTGCACAGCGTGGACAAAGAACAGCGGTGGAAGGCGGTGTAATGCTGGCAAGCTCGGAAAGGGAACTGGATAACGGGGTGATGCGGGGTAGGGTGAATGATCTTATCAGCACACTACGAGAACAAGCCGAACGTGCTGTGTAAAACAGTCTTGCCTTGCACGAGACCCTCCATCCCATTTTCAGCAATTCCAGTAGAGCAATGAAGAAAATTATAGTCGAACCCCGGCCTGCCGGGAAACAGGAGGGTTCGCGCAACCGCCTCCCAGGTGCTAACACTCCGAGGTACTCCTGCATGTACGTTCCCTTTCTAGCTTGCGAACCTCAACTGAACATCAGGGCATGCCAGGATCACCAACTTGTGGCAGAGAAGGATGACTAGTCTGCAAAGCTTTGAGACACTCGGATGGGTGCGCTCAGCGCGCCAGCGCGCGCGCGCGCGCGCGGGCGCGCGCGCGCGCGCGCGCGCTCGCGTGCATCTTGCGGTGATCTGTTGCATGCATGGGGTCCCATTTCCGTATAATTATTCCCCACTGAATGCACAAGAACGGCGCCTTGTGTCGAGAAGGCAGTGTGGCAGCTTGAGAGATAAACGTTGCGAACGAGCAGCCATCACTAGCATGCTATGGATGGAGACGAACCAGAACATTCAGAAGCTGCCCGAGTCCCTGCTGCGCAGCAGTTTCTGGCTGCTGACCAAGCTAGTAGATGGTGGACATCGCCGGTGCGACAGAATGACCATAGCAATGTGTTAGCAAGTGATGCAGGTCACACTTGCTGTGGCAACATTTCTGTCAAACTCTGAAATGTGGGATTTCGCAGGTTTCAGGTTCACGGCTTAAGTTTAAAGTAGGACGGGGTTTGGGGTTTAAGGTCTCCGAAGATATATGGACACTGAAATCTCACTGCTTCAGGATGCTTCTAACCGTCTCACCCTTAACCCTGAGACATCAAAGCCTGAAACCCTCGCGCCTTAGCTATCCTAAAAAGCCTTCGCCCTTTTGCCCAAAAGCCCTGAAACCTTGAGACCTTTCAGTCCGAAAGCCCTATAACGCAGAATGGTTCTAACCACGAGCCCGCCGCCGTTGCGAGCACAGCCAAGAACCCTAGATGGAAAGACCCTGATTCGGCCTCCTACCTCATACTGAGGATTTCACCAGTAACAGTAATATATACCCTGTTTCATATGAATACGGCCTTTTCGGGTTTCGGGCTTGGTAGGACCGTGCTCAATGTACTTGCGGCCATGCATCCAAGTAACAGGAAACTCCCTACAGGCATGGCTGAAAGATTCCAGCTTACAAGGAACCCTAAGCCCGAAACCCCTAAACCCCAAACCCTAAACTCTAAACCCTAACCCCTAAACCCCTGAACCCTAAACACCAAACCCTAAACCCTAAACCCTAAACCCAAAAAAATGGCAGCTCTGCGGAGGGCAGGCAGCTTGTGCTCTTCCATTTCTCAGCGCGCTGCTCAAACATGCGCCATGCACGCGCAGTCAGGCGCCGAATTATCCTCCTCTTTCTCCGCTGGGCAGAAAATGCTGCAACCGCAACAAATGTCAGCATCCTGAAATGTACGGATTTTAGGGTTCAGGGTTAGGGTTCAGGGTTTAGGGTTTAGGGTTTAGGGGTTTAGGGTTTGAATCGAACCCGCGAGGCCCTTCGTGGCAGACTTGTGTGTCAGGTTTGGGACGGAATCGCATGTACACACTCTCTGACCATCCGTTGAGAGGACACCCCTGTAAATTACAGACCTTAATCATTGGGCTTATCATATGGAGTTTGGGTTTGAACTTAGGGCTTACTGGAAGAATCGCAACCCTGCCACAGAACCCTAATCCCTCAACCCTAGGAGTATACGGTGCACATCCCTGAAGCTTCAACTCTAAACCATACCTTAAGAACCCAAAGCCTACTTTTGCCTAGGTTTTAAGGAATACAAAAGGCCCCTTATATGACTCTAGGCCACCCAAAAAAATCAGGTCATCAAGTACACCCCATGGATGGCAAAGAGGAGGAAGCGACCGTGGAATACATCAGCGCTGCAGCTGGCTCGGTCAGGCCCACGCCGTTCGGCGGAGCGACCTTGGATTCAAGGCACGTAAGCATCGCTAATGAAAGCGCATGATTTCCTTCGGGGGCTGCGGGGTTCTGGGTATCGGGCCAAGAACCACACGCCCTTTGCTGAGGCGTCTGAAAAGAGCGACAGAGAGAGAAAGAGAGAGACAGAGAGAGGCAGAGAGAGACAGAGAGAGACAGAGAGAGAGAGAGAGAGATTGGCCTTGAAGCTTCTGGATGTAGACAGTGCGTATGTAGGAGCATGGGAAGGTCCCACATTGGAGGCTGCCAGGTCGCTGTGCTATAATCCCCATTAAGGGCTGTTAGCATAAGGGGGGGAACATCCCAAAATGAGCCCAAAAAAGGCCAAAAAAAAGGCCCTGATTTTTTGCAGGGGTCGGGGATGTCAGGCCCCTAAACCCTGAACCCTACACATATAAAAAAGGCCCCCCAAAAGACACCTTTTTTCACGAATGAACCCCTCAAAAGGCCCAAAAAAGAGCCCTAACCTCTTCAAGGCCGAAGGGCCTCAGAGCTCCAGCGCCTCCAAAAGTGCGAACTGGCCAAATTGGACGAACTCGTCCTCGCCGCCAGCGGGGGGGGGGTTTAGGGTTTAGGGAGGGTTTAGGGACGGTTGAGGGTTGAGGGTTGAGGGTGTTGAGGGTTGAGGGTGTTGAGGGTTGTGAGGGTTGAGGGTTGAGGGTTGAGGGTTGAGGGTTGAGGGTTGAGGGTTGAGGGTTTAGGGATGTTGCCCCTTATACTAACAGTCCTTCAGAGGGATGACAGTACACCCGAGCATCATCGCTACGAAGGACTGTTAGTATACGTGGGAACATCCTAAGTTCAGGGGCTTCAGGGCCTTTTAGGGAGGTTTGGTACGTTTAGGAACTCTGGGAGTTCGGGTTGATGGAGGGAGTTTAGGGGTTGGGGAGCTTCGGGGGTTTAGGACGAGACCGCAAAGCCCCGCAAAACCCTAAGGAGCTATGTGACTTAGGCCTGGAGCAGACCGAATTGCGGGCGGAATCTACATCGGGAGGTCCCTGGGCTTTACACAAAAGTGGGCCCCAGAACGAAGATCACTGTAAGCCCAAACTCTTATCTCGGTTTAGGGTTTAGGGTTTAGGGTGTAGGGTGTAGGGTTTAGGGTTTAGGGTTTAGGGTTTAGGGTTTAGGGTTTAGGGTTTAGGGTTTAGGGTTTAGGGTTTAGGGTTTAGGGTTCAGGGCCGTGAGCCCTATCAAGGTGTGAGCTTTAGAAAGCAGGAGCCCGGCCTTGCTGATGTTGCCGTCGTTGCCTTAGAGCACAGCTCAGAGAACCCCAAAAAAACTTAAGCCCGCCCTAAAACTCCCCAACCCTAGAACATTGAGCCCTAAGCCCGTAAAAGACCCTGAACCTTTAACAAAAACCCTAAACCCTAAACCCTAAACCCTAAACCCTAAACCCTAAACCCTAAACCCTAAACGACTAAACCCTAAATCGTAGACCTTGACCCGAGCCGAGGGGGACAAAGTTCAGGGCCTCCATCTTCCATGACCAGGCCCACAGCCGAAGCTGACAGCCCTAATCGTAAGCCCTAACATCTACGCGGGAGCCTACGAAGACAAGGGACCCCTATAGCAAGCCCCCAAATAGCAGGATTCCCTTGAAAAAAGGACCCCACGAAGGTACCCCCTAATTTCGGAAACCACCATAATACCAAACCCTAAAACCTAAACCCTAAACCCTAAACTGTCCTCGATGCAGCCGAGGTGCTCTGATCGCAGCGCCTTTTACAGGGTGCAGGCACCATCGGGTTTCGAGCGGGAACCCTGTAAAGACATCCACACCCCAAACCCTCAGCCCGACACCCAAAACCCTACACACCCCCTAAACCCTACACCCTACAACCCCCGCCTAAACCCTATATACACCACAACCCCTACACCCTAAACCCTAAACCCTAAACCCTAAACCCTAAACCCTAAACCCTAACCCCTCTCGTCCCCCGGGGGGCCTCCGGAAGCGCAGCGCCTTCTCGAAGCGCACGTCAGGTGGCAATCGGGACTGGGCGGACTGCATGGCCACTTCCATCGTCGAACCTGCTCTACGTGGGCTTCCAAAACAAGGGGGTTTAGGGTTTTGGGGTTTAGGGTTTAGGGTTTAGGGTGTAGGGTGTAGGGCGTAGGGCATAGGGCGTAGGGTGTAGGGTCGTCAAGCAGGCTTGAGGAGGGCCTCAAGCGGGTTTAGGGCCCTCAGCAGCTACAAAAAACCTTCCCGAAACCCTAAACCCTAAACCCTAAACCAGCAACCAACCCAACTAACAAAAAAAAGTAAGGACGTTGAGAGTGCAGAGGAGCCCTCGGCCGTTCCCCCGGCGTGGAGCAGGCCGGCGTAGAGCTCCACAATGAGGAGCATGGCCTGGATCATGCGGAGACATTAGAGCTTCTGCCCTAAACCCTATGCAACAAACCCAAAACCCTAGACCCTAAACCCTGAATCCTAAACCCTAAACCCTACATGAGGGTTTAGGGTTCGGGGTGTAGGGATTATAGGCCCCCTGTAACCACATGGGCCTACACTGGGCACCCGCTCTTTCCAAGCCTAAATGGGCCGCCTTCTTCCGCAAATAGTTTGGGGCATGGAGGTGGCTTGTCCTTCTCACAGGGCTTGAGGCTTCAAAATCAAGGCACAGGGCACGACCATTTGTCCCGGGGGGGGGGGGGGGAGGAGAGGGGGGGAGAGTGGTGTTTGGCCTTTTGAACCTCCATAAACCCCAAAAATGCCCTGGCCTTAATCGGGGTTAGGGTTCAGGGGTTTCGGGTTTAGGGTGTTGGGCTTAGGGGTTAGCCATAATCAATAAAAAGTCACCCCAGCTGCCCCGCCTCGCCCAAGCGGATGTTGCAATCCTCGGAAGGCAACCAGCCCCCTAAAACCACCCTAAACCCAACCCTGAACCCTAAACCCCAATTAAACCCTAAACCAGCCTAAAACCACCCACAACCCTCCTAAACCTCCCTCAACCCTGGACCCTTTAATGGGCCTTTCTATTGTGTAAGTGAGTGGAGCTCCTGGTTGGTGGGCACGAGGTGCGGGGATGCGCGCTGAAGGCTTTGACAGCTTCAGGGCTCCGGGAACTTCAGATTTAAGTTTGGGGTTGAGGGTTTGGGGTTTAGGGTTTAGGGTTTGGGGTTTAGGGTTTGGGGTTTGGGGTTTGGGGTTTGGGGTTTGGGGTTTAGGGTTTAGGGTTTAGGGCTTGGGGTTTAGGCGAGCAGCCATGTCCGTGTCGTAGCAGTGGAAAAGGATGGCCATGGCACCTTGGCGCTCTGGCAAATGGGCGAGTTAATTCTTGGGGTTTAGGGGATAGGGTTTAGGGTTTAGGGTTTAGGGTTTAGGGTTTAGGGTTTGAGGGTTCTAGGGCTCCTGGTTTTTGTGGAGTTTCAGGTTCTAGGGTTGTAGTCGGAGCGTTGACTGTGTAGGCTTTAAGGGGATCTAGTGCTCCTGGTTTTTGGGGAATTTCAGGTTCTAGGGTTGTCGTCGGAGCGTTGACTGTGTAGGATTTGAGGGTTCCAGGGCTCCTGGTTTTTGGGCCGAGGGGGAGCTTAAGGTTCCAGGGTTGTAGGCTAGGACTTGGGGCAGGTTGGGTTGATCAGAGGTTGAGACAGGCTATCTCCCTGCATAGATCCCAAACCCCCCTCAAAATGCTCTAACCCACCTTGGCCCCCCTAAACCCCCCCACATCCTAAAATCCAGCTAAATCCCCTAAACCCCCTTGAATCCCCAAACCCTAAACCCTAAACCCTAAACCCTAAACCCTAAACCCTAAACCCTAAACCCTAAACCCTAAACCCTAAACCCTAAACCCTAAACCCTAAACCCTAAACCCTAAACCCTAAACCCTAAACCCTAAACCCTAAACCCTAAACCCTAAACCCTAAACCCTAAACCCTAAACCCTAAACCCTACCATCCCTGAATTCCGCTCAACTGGGGCCCCTGGCGGGAGGCCAGGTTGCGGTCGTCCAGCAAAGCCGAGGCCACACCCTTCGCGGCGGCCCACCTCCTCCTTTTTTGCGGGGAGCTGCTTGGGGTTTGGGGCGGGTTGCTAGTGGGGTTTTAGGGGGTTCTAGGGGGTTCTAGGGTTTCCTCCTTTTCTACGGGGAGCTGCTTGGGTTCTAGTGGGGTTTTAAGGGGTTCTAGGGGGTTCTAGGGTTTCCTCCTTTTCTACGGGGAGCTGCTTGGGGTTTGGGGCGGGTTCTAGTGGGGTTCCAGAGGTTTTAGGGGGGGCTTCTAGGGGGATTTTTAGGGCGTTCAGGGTTTCGCACGCTGCCTTGCTAACGGGCATGTTGGGGGCCGCCAGCGCTTTTGCGACTTTTTTGGACCTAAGAATCCTTAGCTTGGGACCCCGAGATCTTCACTTCCCCCCTTCTTCTTCTGGCATCAGCAGCTTCGTATTCCCCCATTCAAGACAAGTTAAACCCAACTCGCTCAAGGGTTACAATTTAACCTCTGCACCCTAAGCCCAAACCCTAAAACCTTAGGGTTTCGGGTTGAGGCATGTCTGTTGAACTTTCTGGGGGCTCTCCAAAAAGAAAACGGATCGACAAGGATTTTTTCAAGAGGGTCACCCTCAGTCTGTGCGGATTTAGGGTTTTAGGGTTTCACGGTTTCGGGTTTGATGAGAACGGGTTCTGTTTATGAAGGGAGGCCAACAAACCCAAAGCCCTAGCAGTTCTGAAGCCCTAAAGCTCTGTAGGTGCTTCGGGTGTAGTGTTGAGCCTGTCAGGCTCTGCAGCTTCGTCAACAAAAACTGGAGGATCACGTGGAGAACTTCCCACGTAGAGGCCCTGTCGGCTGACAGGAAAAACGACCCGCCTCCTTCTCTCCGGGGTGTCGGATCGCGTTGCCTCGTGCCAGGCCTTGTGCCAGGTGGGGTTTAGGGTTTAGGGTTTAGGGTTTAGGGTTTAGGGTTTAGGGTTTAGGGTTTAGGGTTTAGGGTTTAGGGTTTAGGGTTTAGGGTTTAGGGGCATAGGGGAATAGGGCCTCAAAACCCTAAAACCCCCCCCCAGAAGTCGAACACCGAAGCTGAGGGCCCGGGCGCAGTCCCGGATGACGGATCGCACCTTTCAAGCTGCGTGCCGTAAACCCTGAGGCCGAAACCAAATTCTCTAGGGTTCAGGGTTTAGGGTTTGGGGTTTGGGGTTTGGGGTTTGGGGTTTGGGGTTTAGGGCTTAGGTTTAGGGCTACCTGTTTACTGCTTGAAGGATTAGATTAAGAACCAGAGCAGGATAAGCAAGGAAACTAGAAGGACAACGCTAACTCCACCGGCAGAAAAGCTTGTGGGGTTTAGGGTTTGACAGGTCTTGGGGCTTTGTGGTCCCCAAGCGCCTACGGAGTGAAATGAAACCTAGACCCGAAACCCTAAATCCTACAGCCACGTGCTAGGGTGTTCGGGCAAAAGGTGAGCGAGCTGATGCTTAAACCTTCAACGTTAAACCCAAACTCTAAACCCGCTTTTTACTTGGCGTAGGGCAGGGCCGACCCTCGCGCGGGCTTGGGGTTTGAAGGCTTTGGGGCTTTACAGTTGGGTGTTTTAGTCCAACAGTAAGTAAGTGATAACTACCATGAGGTTTGAAGGCTTTGGGACTTCACACTGACCCCTCCAACACCAACTAAGGAATCGTAAAGCAGCTGGGGCGGGCTTAGAGTTGAAGGTTTTAGGTTTTGGGCACCTCACTTTTTCGTTTCAAGCTGTGTGTATTCCGCAAACACTCCCAAAAAGATGATCCGATGCGCCCCATCTTCTCCTGCAAAAGATAATCCGGTGCGCCGCGCTTCCTCGAGGGTGGACGAATTCAAGCAAGACGCCGCCCCCGCGAACCCTGAAACTCGCAGCGCGTGAGGCGCCCTTAGGGTGCTGTGGTTGTCGGTCAGGGCTGTAGTGTATGGGTTTAGGGTTTCTTACTTCTCCAATAACCAAGTAAAAGAACGGTTAAACAGTACTATGAGGAAACCCAAAAAGCTTAAAGTTCATTTGCTGGCTAAGTAAGGTTTAGTGACTCCTCAGGCCCTGGCTGCGTTGTACCAAACAGGCACGTCCTTGGCTCGATGTAAGAAACCCAAATGCATTTCAGAGCGTGCAGCGTGAGTAATGTGGCGGGGGGCTCCAACGATTGAAGATCTTTGGGGTTCAGGGTGTTCATTCGGGTGTTGCTTGCATGCTTGCAATCGTACCCAGGGTTCCTTTCCCAAGCCCCTATGGCAAAAATTTAAACCTCCATCAGTTTGGCGCGTCGGTTCGGCTTTCAAGGACTTCTGTGCGCCAATCCCTCCTCCGCCAAAAAGCGCGAGGACCCAAACCCAAAGCCCTGAACCCCCCAACCCTAAATTTCAACACCCCTCATGTGGGCCCTGAACCGTAAACCCGAAACCTCAAGAGCCCTGAAACCCTAAACTCTCCCCCCCCTCCTGCGGCCCTAAACCTTAAACCCGAAACCTCGAGCCGAAGCACCTCGTCGCCCTCCACAGCGAAGCCCAGGTTTCCACCGTGCATCAAGATCTTGGTTCGGGCTGAGGGTGTCTGGGATATCGAGTCGAGCCTGTAGATTTTCTAGGAGTTGCAGAGTTTCGGCTTATGTAGGTTAAGGTCTAAACCCTAACCCCTTGACGAAGGTTTAGCTTTCGGGCTTTAAGTAGGTCCAGAGTCCAGAATACCCAGCAAACAAGTTAGGTGTAGCTGGGCATGTTTTCTCGAGGATAGGTATGAATGGACGAGCCTGCGCCTGCTCTACTTGTCTTAGCATTACAATCACTTCCGGCTGGTTTTTGAGAAGAGCAACCTCCCCTTTTTTGGAGGGTTTAGGGTTTGGGGTTTGGGGTTTAGGGTTTAGGGTTTAGGGTTTAGGGTTTAGGGTTTAGGGTTTAGGGTTTAGGGTTTAGGGTTCAAGAGACTCTCGGGTTTCGGGTTTCGAGTTTCGGGGCTTTAGTATTTAGGCCTGTGCGTGGGGATGTGCCGCCTTCTAATAGCAGTCCTTGACAGGATTTTATTTCCCATGATCATCCCTACAAAGGACTGTTAAGTGTAAGGAGGAACATCCCAACCTGTTTGTACAGCGTACCGGCCTTGGGGCTTCTAGGTTTAGGACTTTTCGAGACTTCTGGCGCCCCAAACCCTAAACCCTAAACCCCAAACCCCTGAACCCCATAAGCTCACCCCGAAACAACACTTCCCTAAACCCGAAACCCGATCTTAAGCCCTCATTTAAACCCCACAGCCTAAACCCTAACCCCCAAACCCTTTAAACACCAGGCCGCCGTGAACTGCGCGGCCGCCATATCGAAGCTGGGATCCCCGAGCTGGACCACCACGTCCTCGGCTGGGGCGTCGCGTTCTAAACTCTACACCCCTAAACCCCTAAACCCCGAACCCCGAAACCCTAAACCCTCAACCCTAAACCCTAAACCCTAAAGCCTCAACCCTATAAACCCTAAACCCCCAACCCTCAACCCCCCTAGGGCTGTGGGAGATGATTAGGGTTCAGGGCTTTAGGCGCTTCCTTCGTTCATGAGTCTGGGTCACCCCGCGTATTGCTTGGTGAAGGCTGTACATGTGAATTCGCGAGAAGTCAGCAGGAAGAGGGTCGGGGGTAGGACAGGGAGAGATACTGGCACAGAAAGGTTGTGCCTGTCTGGTGGCAAGTGAGTCCGGACAGACTGGACTAAGTCAGCCTGGAGGAGCACTGGTCGCATGCGGAAAAACTGAGCGTAGAATTATCCAGCAAAGGGCTGAGGCTGCGCAACGACTCTGGCGGCACAAGGCGCAATGTGGAAGTCAAGTGAAGGTGCGTACGAAAATGTCTTGGGCTTCCCTGTGTCCCTGAGAGTGGTTTTGGCAGCAATGCGGCCAGGGTTAGGGTTTTAAGATTAAGGGGTCAGGGCTTTGGAGGTTGTCAGGGTTTAGGTCTTTAGGGCTTTAAGTTTGGGGTGCTTGGGTGTTAGGGTGAGGCCTAGGGCATCTTTCAGGGTTTAGGGCTCACCAGGCCAGTAACAAGGGCCGGCATTGCAATTACCGGAACCCGAAAACAGGGGATCGGAATTTCGAGACAAGTCCTAAACCCTAAGCAAAATAAACACCAAAACCCTAAACCCTAAACCGTCTGCAATGCGTTCTCCAAGTCTTTGCGCGAGCGGCGTACGCCTTGCGCAGGTCCCACCAGGCGATGGGCCGCGGGGCGCGCCGGGCGCCGAAGATGCCCGCCTTGAAGTCCTCGCGCTGAGCTTTTTCTTTTTTCGAAGGAAGTTCAGGGGGGTTAGGGTTTGGGGTTTAGGGGATTCGGAGGTTCAGGGGGTTTGGGGGTTCGAGGGTGTTTAGGGATTGTTTAGGGGATGTAGGCTATGTAGGCATTGGCGGAGCTAGGGTTATTCTGGATGTGGGGATTGTGGGGCGCAGGGTCAAGAGGGCACAGGGGGGAGTCAGGGACTTCATGGGTTTTAGGGGCTTTGGGGTCGACAGGGGTTTCCAATGGCTCGAGGCTGCTACAGGGACTCAGAGGGTTAGAGGGACTTAGAGTTCTAGCTTTTATAGGGTGCAAGGTTAAAGGAATGTCGGGCTTCGGGGAAATCCCTAAGTAACCCCAAACCAACCCCTATGCGACCAAACGCATAGAAACCCCGATGTTTGTCCGCCACAAACCCCAAGTGCCCTAAACCACACACTGGGGGCTCAAGCTTGAGAGCCTAAACCCTAAACCCTGATCCCTTGCAGGCCCCAAACAAGCGCCGACACTAAACCCTAAACCCTAAACCCTAAACCCTAAACCCTAAGGCCTAAACCCTAAGGCCTAAGGCCTAAGGCCTAAGGCCTAAGGCCGAAGGCCTAAGGCCTAAGGCTTAAGGCCTAAGGCCTAAGGCCTAAGGCCCTAAACCCTTAAAAAGGCCCCCACAGAGCCCCGAGTCGCCCCCCAAAAAGGCGCCGAAGTCTAAGGCAGCCCCAGGAGGGGCCTCCACCGAGGCCCAGTGCAGCAGTGCCGTGCCGGAGACGCACTGGTAGATGAGCCTCCCAGGGGTTTAGGGGTTTAGGGGTTTAGGGGTTTAGGGGTTTAGGGGTTTAGGGGTTTAGGGGTTTAGGGGTTTAGGGGTTTAGGGGTTTAGGGGTTAGGGTTTAGGGATTAGGGTTGAGGGTTTAGGGTTTAGGGCTTTCAGGGTTTCAGAGTTTTAGGGTTTGAGGGTTTCAGGGGGGGCTTTAAGGGAGTTTTTTGGGTATTTGTAGGTGGTAGATGGGCCTCTCAGGGTTTTAAGGGTTTCAGGATTTCAGGGTGGTAGATGAGCCTCTCAGGGCTTCTTGGGGGTTTGAGGGTTTCAGGGTTTCAGTGTTTTGGGGTGTTGGGGTTGTAGAGGAGCCTCTGAGGGCTTTAAGTTTCAGGGGGGGGGCTTTAAGCGTCAAGTGAATCATGGTCATCAGCACATTGACCCTGGGGTTCTATTAGGTTTAACAATTCTTCCGCGGTCGGGGAAAACCCGGGCACACTTTACCTGGGATTTCAATTCGTGTCGGCTCTATAGTAGTGTCCCCAACTTTCAGACTCGCTGTGTCGCCAAGAAAAGGAGAAGGTAAAACGTCCTCCCCCGGCCCCACCTTATCCCCGAACCCTAGACCCTAAACTGTAAACCCGGAAAGGCCCAGACCCCGCCTGAAGTTGTCGAAATGCAAGTTCGTCCTGGCTTCGGGCGGGAGCTTGACATTTCAGCCTAGGCCCTAGATCCCCTTTGCTAAGCAGCTCGATCGCCAAGAACAAGCAAGGGACCTAAACCCTGGAATCTGGACCCTGCACCCTAAACCGCGAAAACCCTGCGCCTCAACTGCTACCCTCATTGTTTTCATGGGGCTTTCTGAAAGGGCCCTGAACCCTACACTGTAAGCCCTGAAGAAGATGGGGAGATGGGCTCCTAAGGTGGCCTGAGGCCCTTCTGATTCCTTAGGTTCGGGCTTGAGGATCTGGAAGGGTTTAGGGTTTAGGGTTTAGGGTTTAGGGTTTAGGGTTTAGGGTTTAGGGTTTAGGGTTTAGGGTTTAGGGTTTAGGGTTCAGGGTTGAGGGTTGAGGGTTGAGGGTGTAGGGTTTAGGGTTTAGGGTTTAGGGTTTAGGGTTTAGGGTTTAGGGTTTAGGGTTTAGGGTTTAGGGTTTAGGGTTTAGGGCTGTCAGGGGTTCGGAGCTCAGGATCTGCGGTGGGTCCCTTCTTGCGCAATACGATAACAGGGACCCCGAGAGCTGGGACCGTGGCTGTCGAAGCCTGAGAACCGAAACCAACCCTAAACCCTAAACCCTAAACCCTAAACCCTAAACCCTAAACCCTAAACCCTAAACCCTAAACCCTAAACCCTAAACCGCCCGAGCCTCTCGGCAGAGATTTCGTTGTCTGGATGGCGGCCTCCATGGGGCCACAGGGCTTGGGTCAGGTCTCAGATTTCTTTGGGGTTTAGGATTTCGGGAGTTCATGGTCTTCCCATCCCGGAACCCTTAACCTTAAACCCTAAACCCTAAACCCTCCCTAAATAAACCCTACTCATGCTGGGGAGCGGGGTGGGGGGGGGAGGGGTGGGGGGGGGGGGGGGGGGGGGGGGGGGGGGGGGGGGGGAAGGGTGCCTCCGTAGGAGCCGTTTGGGTCGCTGGTGGCCATGACCCAACCTGGGGATCGCTGTGAGGCTTGAGAGGGTTCCAAGACCTTCTAAGGGGCTTAGGTTTCCAAGAATCCCTACAAACCCTCTAGGGTTTAGGGGTTTTGTAGGGCTTAGTTTAGGGTTTATAGGGTGGGTTTAGGTCTGGTTTAGGGTTTAGGGCCTTTGAAGTACTATGGGGCGTTTAAGGGGCTCAGGGCTTAAAGAGGTAAGGGTGAAAGGGGTTTAGGGTTCTTGAAGCTCGGGGTCAGGCGGTTAGGAGTTAGGACACTTTGCGCCCGGGTTCCGAGTCTTCGAGGCTTGCCAGCTTAGCTGCCCCATCTTCTCTTCAAAGCCGAAGCCCTAGCGATATGACGTTCAGGGCTTCCGCTTCACACATCCTAAGCCCTAAACTCGAAACCCGAAACCCTAAACCCCAAACCCCAACTGTCCGAACTCAGGGGCATCGAACGACCGTTAAAGAGCACACTCGAATTTGGGGCCTTCAGCTTCCTTCGGATTTTGGGAACCTAGGGCTTAGGGTTTAGGGTTTAGGGTTTAGGGCTAGGGTTTAGGGGTTGAACGCAGAAACTCGATCCTGAAGCCCCACATGAACTGGGCGGCCGCAGACGTCGGACTCAGCGGACGGGTGGCACTCGCGCGTCCTTGGTCGAGGGCTGTCAGTTTCGCCGTTTTAGGGTTTAGGGATAGTGAGGTGCAGGGAGTTGGTAGAACTTTACAGTAAATTGAGTACAAATCAGCCCCATCAACGAAGCCCCACCTTCAGGAATCACACGCACCCTATATTGGTTATTTGAAATGCGTCGAGTTCTCTAAGGTACTCCTAATGATTCGCACGCCTTGTATTGAATTTGGCTCGCTGTACTCACGTCTCAAGCCTCCACTTCCAAGCAGCCATGGGATAAGAGGAAGCTCGTTGTCTCGAAGGAAGATCATCGTTACAAAGGGAAGCCGAGACCCTAAACCCTAAACCCTGAACCCCGAACCATACGGGCGGGGGGGAAACAAAAAACAACAAGCAAGTGCCACTGGGGAGCCTGGCACCTTGTAGGCTCTGACTCTAAACTGTGTACCCTGATAGAGTTTGGGGTTTAGGGCTTTGTAGGGTTCAGGGTTTAGGGTTTTGAGCCTTAGACCCTAAAATCCGAAATCCCCAAACCTTAAACCCCTTCTGGCAACTCTGAAAGCCAACCTGCCCAAAACTCCGGCTTTGGCGTGCCCAAAGGGTTTAGGAAGTTTAGGGTTTTTGGGATTTCCCGTCTGCGGGGTTGGGGTTTACCTGTTGGGGCTTCTGGGCATTTGGGGCTTAGAGCTTTGGGGTGTTTGGGGTGTTCGGGGCAGTTTAGCCAATCCTAAACCACGTTCATCTCGGTGACAGGTTGCCAGCGGGCCCCGTTCGGCCGAGCCTCATCTCCCCCTCCCGCGCTTTGGCCGCCTGCCGGCTGAGGTACCTGGCAAAGGGGCCTTATCATTATCTCTAGACTTGCGCATTTCTTAATAACTCTAAACCCACAACCCTACAATGGTGGTCTGGGTTCCTCGGGTCAAGCCTACAGCCCTGAACTCCGAAGCCCCCTGAAGGCCCGCGGCCCTGAAGCCCCAAGCATTGCTAAGCCACGCCAAGATGCTGGAACGTCCCAGGTGCAGGATACTTGGCTCTTATCTCCACCAGCTCCTGCCGACATTTCGGCTTTTTAGGGCTCTTCTTAGAGGTTTCAAGGACGTCACAAGAGTGTAAGATGTGTTGGCTCGGGATCTGGGGCGGACCCTGCTGAATAGTTGACACTGTTGGCACAACAAGTAGAACTTTCACCACACGTGAGTCTTTCAGATACAAATTCCTTTGCAAGTTAGGAAGAGTTGGTGAGGAAACCTCATCAATAATCACCAATAGGTTGCCCTAGCACTTTTGTTGTCCAAATGTGCCGAGCATGCATCGCGCACATGCTTGCAGCCGCTTTTTGTCCGACTACCAAAATGCAGGAAGAATGGAACGGCTCGCTGCTTTGCACACAGACACGCATATCATGGAAAACAAAATACTCGTCGGCACAAAGAACATGCTGGCTCAGCGACAGCCTAAACCTGAACCCGACAGCCTAAACACTCAACCATAAACGGCCCGAATGGATGCCCCAGCCTGCCCCTCAATGATTTTGAGCCATTGCCTTCCCTGGACAAAACCTCCACAGCATCCACGGCAGCCCGCGCCTTGGAAATTTGGAGTTCAGGGTTTTTGGTATCAGAACCTGACACGGAAACCCGGCGTGGCGGTCCTTCTTCAACCCAAAGGCGACGGACACTGGGCCGTCCTGGGAGCTGCGGGGGTCGGGATTCAGCAAACATGTCCTGGGCACTTCCGGTAACTGGAGTTTAATTAGGGTTCAGGGTTTCGGGTTTCAAGTTTAAAGTTGAGGGTTTACAAGCTTGGGGTTTAAAGCATACACCCCGACAAGCCCTAAACCCCAAAACGTGCCCTCGCTTGGGAGGGTTGTACTTCGGCGTTTTGCAAAAACCTTCGGCTTAGGGTTTCGGGTGTAGAGTCTAGGGTTTACGGCCCCAGGATTCCATCTTCAAGAATACAGGCTTACTTCAGCTGAAAGCTGCAGGTTGTCAAGGAGATCCGCCGCAATAATAAGCACGATCAGCCCGAAGACCTTGCGAACCCTAAACCCCAAACCCTAAACCCCAAACCCCAAACCCTAAACCCCAAACCCTAAACCCTAAGCCCTAAGCCCTAAGCCCCAAACCCCCCCCCCCCCAGAGAGTCCCCAAGAGGCCCTGGCGGCTGGATCTGAGTCGAGCAAGGGTTGCGGCCTCTCTTTGCGCAGGGGTTTGGCGCTTTAGGCTTTAGTGTTCAAGGGTGTAGGCTGCTATTGTACCGTAAAATCATGGGATATGTAGTAAAAAGTATGAGGTTTCCTTTCTCCGGAGAAAAAAACACAACGTGTGAAGCTTCTTCACAGCGACCCAGGTGGTCGGGTTATTGCTGCTCTGGAGGCCGAGCGCTTGCACCTGCGGGCCTTTCCTAGGTCCCATACCTCGCGTTCTGAACCGAGGTCCCTGTCTAAAGACAGGGCCAACTTCAAGGAGAAGCCGATTCATGCTTCGTTCACCGTAAGCCCTAAACCCCAAACCCTGAACCCTCAACCCTAATGGGCATTTTGAGCACCCCAAATTCCGAACCCTGCCTAGACGCGCGCAGCTTCCAGGGTTTCGGGCTTGGGGTTCAGTGTTTGGGGTGGTTTCAACCAAGGAAAGCCGATGGCGTGCGTGGCGAACACACAGGGTCGAGGCTGCTCCCCTTTCTCAAGGACCTTGATCCGGCCCCGGCCCTTTCAAAGTGGCAGTAGTTCTATAATTCCGGGGATACCAACCTCAAAATTCCTGTTGGCAGAAGGTGTAGGAAGGGAAAGTTAGGTTTCGGGTTCCCTGCACTCTCCGTTGGCTGAGACCGCAGGCGTCTGCGGCAAAGGCGGTGCCATCAGCGGCGCCCTGCTTGCGCAAGTTAACCCGCTTGCGACTTTACGGATACACACCGCACTTACGAGCACTTCATACAATACTCGGGATTTGGGCGTTGTGCCTCATATGCAGGCCTTTCAGGGATTCTATAGAAAAATCACTCCCTGCCAAGATCCAAGAAGTTCAAGTTTTTTCCTAAGGGGGTCCCCCGAAAGTCAACACCCTTTAAAACCCCTAGAATGGCACCGAAGCCCTGAACCCCTAAACCCCTGAACCCCTGAACCCCTAAACCCCTGAACCCCTAAACCCCTAAACCCCTAAACCCCTGAACCCCTAAACCCCTAAACCCCTAAACCCCTAAACCCCTAAACCCAAAAAACTCTAAAGACTTTGCCGGCGGCTGCGAAAGCAAGGCTCGGGACTTCGGACTTCCGAGCATTCGGGGTTGGGGTTTGTACCGCGGTTGCTCGAGTCATGCGACGCACTCCCACATTCTAATTACTTGAAGCAAACTCAGCCGTGAAGGCTAGACGTCTGTGAAAGCTGCGGGGGGGAAGCCGGACCAGACTTCGCTACAGCCAAGTCGCACCACATTCTGGACTCCCGTGTCTCCCCAGTCTGTACGCGGTAGAGGTGACGTTCGAGAATCCCAAAGGCAGGACTTCTGTCAGGACATCAGCTTCTACGTCGCTCTGGGACACAGGACCGCGCGCCCTCTCCAACGTGCTCTTAGTCCTGCGTGGTCAGCGCTTCACCGGTTGACATGAGGCGGCCAGAGCGTTCCACCAGTTGTGGTTTGCAGCGTTTAGGCTCCCCCCCCCCCACGTCGCTGAGGCCACACTTGGTTCTGCTAGTAGACGTTGGGTACAGGAGGCTGAGAAGATTGCAGAATGAACCCTGCATGAGAAACCCACCTTTGGAGTAGACCCCCTGGAAAAAAGTATACTTTTTAGGTATAAGTATCATAGTAGGAACCCAGAACCAAAAAAGTAATAAAGTATAGTACTCCAAAACCCAGGAAAGCTAGCCGACCTCGGCCGGCTCCCCCCCCCCCCCCCCCCAACAAAAAAACAGATTACAGTAGGTCTTGAAAAATGGAGAAGTGTTGCTGCCCTAAACCCTAGACCCCGAAAGGGCTCAGGGCTTAGGGCTTAGGGCTTAGGGCTTAGGGCTTAGGGTTTAGGGTTTAGGGTTTAGGGTTTAGGGTTTAGGGTTTAGGGCTTAGGGCTTAGGGTTTAGGGTTTAGGGCCCCTCAACGACAAAGACCACAACGGGTGCCTGGATGCCGGCATGCGGTCCATGGTTGTCATCAGGCCCTGTGGGTGACCTTCTTCATTTGGCACTTTAGGGCTTGAGATGAGGGTTTAGGGTTTAGGGTTTGGGGTTTAGGGTTCAGGGTTTTGGGTTTAGGGTTTAGGGTCTAGGGTCTAGGGTTTAGGGTTTAGGGTTTAGGGTTTAGGGTTTAGGGTTTAGGGTTTAGGGTTTAGGGTTTAGGGTTTAGGGTTTAGGGGTTTAGGGTTTAGGGTTTAGGGTTTAGGGTTTAGGGTTTAGGGTTTAGGGTTTAGGGTTTAGGGTTTAGGGTTTAGGGTTTAGGGTTTAGGGTTTAGGGTTTAGGGTTTAGGGTTTAGGGTTTAGGGTTTAGGGTTTGGGTTTAGGGTTTAGGGTTTAGGGTTTAGGGTTTAGGGTTTAGGGTTTAGGGTTTAGGGTTTAGGGTTTAGGGTTTAGGGTTTAGGGTTTAGGGTTTAGGGTTTACCCTAAACCCTAAACCCTAAACCCTAAACCCCAAACCCTAAACCCTAAACCCTAAACCCTAAAGTTGAGGGCCACACCCAATCTCCGAAGAGATGCCCAGAAGCCCAACCCGCAGTGTGGGGCTTGCGGGCCAGGCTTTGGGGTGTAGGGTGAGCTCAAAGCCCTAAACCCTGCTAAGCCCTGCTAAACCCTAAACCCTAAACCCTAAACCCTAAACCCTAAACCCTAAACCCTAAGCCCCCAAACTCGCCCCTAAACACCTAAACCCTGGGCCCTTTGAACTTCGATCGTTTGCTGGAACCACTGGGCACCCGACCGAACTGGGCCAGTTGGCCGTCTCCCATGCGGCTGCCTGGCCAACTTTAGGGTTTAGGGTTCAGGGTTTAGGGTTTAGGGTTTAGGGTTTAGGGTTTAGGGTTTAGGGTTTAGGGTTTAGGGTCGAACAAAGCCCCGAAACCCTAAACCCCAAACACCAAAATAGACTCGAACCCGAGACCATGCTCGGTGTGGCAGCGCATGTAAGATGTGGCCTTGAGCGGCCTTGCGTGACTGTCTTAGATGTCTGTGAGAGGAGGGAGCTTAATGAAGGATTCAACTAGACACAAGAGTAACCTAGGAATGAAAAGGGCGCCCTTGTTGGTTTAAAGGGGAAGCCCTAAAAACATGGAATAAGGACCTACCCTGGGTCCTACCTAGTTTCAGTGTTACAAGAGTTTTGGGTTTGAGGCTCCAGGCCTGGGTCTTTTGGCGAGCTTAGGGCCCGAAGTCAGATCCGACCGGCGGAAATCTGAACGCCCGAAGCCAACACCCCTGAACCCAAAAGCCCTCAGTCCTTGAGCCCTCCTCAAACCCTAAGCCCTTGAAACCCCTAGACCCAAAACCACTCCAAAGCCACTCAGCTCCCTGAACCCCTAAGCACCCGTAAGCCCCTAAACCCTTAAAACCCATGAGCCCATAAACCCCTAACCCCATAAGCCCATCAGCCCATGAACCCCTAACCCCATAAGCCCCTAAACCCTAAACCCTGAACCCTAAACCCTGAACCCTAAACCCTAAACCCTAAACCCTAAACCCTAAACCCTAAACCCTAAACCCTAAACCCTAAACCCTAAACCCTAAACCCTAAACCCTAAACCCTAAACCCTAAACCCTAAACCCTAAACCCTAAACCCTAACCCTCAATCCTCAGAACCCTCAGCGGCCTTCCAGGGATGCTGGGTAGCCCTGGTAGCTCTGCAGCGGCGCACCTTTCGGGCCCAGGCGTTAAAGTGTTCAGGCTTAGAGGGCGTGGGGCTTGGGGTGTGGGGGTTAAAGATTCGGGGAGGGTCTAGATGTTAAGGCTCTGTGGGAAGATGAACCTTTCTGGGTTGTGTAGAGTTGCGTACAGACTACAACCCTGATGAAGCCTTTTCCAGATTAAACGTTTCCTTTTCAAAACACGCCTTGTAGACAGCAGGGCAGGGAGGTGAGTCATACCGGTCTGAAAATGCTTCGCTTTGTACTATAATACAAAATGGCGTATAATAGGTTGGTAATACATATATATATATGAGATATGTATATATATATATATATGATATTATGTGTTTCGTGGTGATATTAGGTTCCTTCCATGGGTAATATTCGTCCCAAGTCGTGCTCAACTTTAGATTCCACTGTAAAACATTCCAACTGAAGTTAACCCATATGATGTTCTAGAAACCCAGTTGGCCCAAGTACGTAGTTTACGTTCCACAGAGAAACTGTGACGTCTATTCCAGTAACCTTTATCTCAGTTTCATGTACGTACTTGCCTGTACTTGCGTGCAAAGAAAACGCTCTGTGTGAAAGAAGTCAGTTGGGTTCAGGGTTTAGGGTTGAGGGTTTAGGGTTTAGGGTTTAGGGTTTAGGGTGTAGGGTTTAGGGTTTAGGGTTTAGGGTTTAGAGTTTAGGGTTTAGGGTCTAGGGTCTAGGGTCTAGGGTTTGGGGTGCCAGCAAACCAATCAGAACTGAAAGCTGGAGCATGCCAGATTCTGTGCACCCCCTCCCCCCCTCCCGGCTTAGGACTGAGGGACAAGGGCTTGGTGCATGGCATGCTTAAACCAAATAGCTTTTCATAGTGTGAGGGGTGAGGGCTGGGAGGTTCATGGGTTGTGACATAAAAGAGGGTGCGAAAGGTACCCTAAACGGTCATAACCAGTTACAACTCCAGCGGCCCTGCTATTTCCCAAATACCCATGGACCTGCAAGTAGGGAATCGGGCTACTGGGCCGACAGTGCCCCTAAAGAGAGGCTCCCACGGCCGGACCCAGCCCACCTCACCTGAAAATCACAACCCTCAGCGCGAAACCCTCATGATGAACCCCAATAAACTCGAACAAATCCTGATAAACCCTAATGAACCCTAGTAAACCCTAGTAAACCCTAATAAACCCTAATAAACCCCAATGAACCCTAATAAGCCCTAATCAACCCTGACTAACCCTCATAAACCCTAACAACCCCTAAACCACGTCTTAGGCCGCCCGCCCGCTGCGAAAGGCGCCCCGGGGTTGGGCGCGCCCTGGCGAAGTTTTTATCGGGTTGAGGGTTGCAGGGATGGGCGGGGACAGGCAGGGGTTTAGGGTTTAGGGTTTAGGGTTTAGGGTTTAGGGTTTAGGGTTTAGGGTTTAGGGTTTAGGGTTTAGGGTTTAGGGTTTAGGGTTTAGGGTTTAGGGTTTAGGGTTTAAGGGTTAGGGTTTAGGGTTTAGGGTTTAGGGTTTAGGGTTTAGGGTTTAGGGTTTAGGGTTTAGGGTTTAGGGTTTAGGGTTTAGGGTTTAGGGTTTAGAAGGTTTCGGGTTTAGGGTTTAGGGTTCAGGGAGGGTATTCAAGGAGTGCTATCTGAAGTCTCGTGTTGAGGGTTTTGTGGTCTCAGAAGCTTGGGATCGAACAGGCCTGGGGTTGAGGGGATTACTGCTTGAACACTACACTCACAAATGGGTGGTTGTCAAATTAGGTCCCTTTTTGGATCCCTACGATAATCCAGCACCTAATATTTAGGGTACCCCAAAAGGGATCATAATTGTGACAACCACCCTAATAGACAAATCCTCAAGTGCTCTGGTTTGGGGTTTAGGGTTTAGGGGACGCGCTACACGGTCTCGGGGGTGGGGGGGGGGGGGGGGGGGGGGGGGGGGGGGGGGGGGCGGGGGCAGGGTGCGCAGTTCTGTCTCGAGATGGCAAAGATAGGAGTAAAGCCAGTCTCAAGGAGGAGCGGCGATGCTTCTTACAAGTACTTAGTAGACCAGAAACCATATTTTGATAAGGGTACCCTTTTTGGGTTGGTTACCTTATAAGGGAACCCTTGAACCAACAAAAGGGAAATGGGCACCACTGGGCTACCAGGAGTAGGGCTCTGGGGATGTTGGGGCCCAGGTGTGGTTTGGGGTTTCCTAAACCCTAAACCCTAAACCCTAAACCCTGAACCCTGAACCCTGAACCCTAAACCCTAAACCCTAAACCCTGCATCCAAGTGGCCATCGCCATCACTGACATGGCCGGAGCTCCACAAAGCAGACGTTGGCAACCCTATCTAAACTCCTGATTCCTCTGACATAATCTTTAAAGTCTCGAAGGCACATCCAACAGCTGCTGGAGACATTATCAGCCCTCTACCCTTATACCACAACAAAGGTTCACATCCCTAGAAGGCCGGTTGTGTGACGCAAAAAACAGAGGACTACGTTACCTGAAAGCACGGAAGGTCTCGGAGCGGCGAGAAAGGGCTTTGGTGTTGGGGGTGGTCGGGGGCTCAGCCTAGACTGAACCCAAAGCATGCTGCCCATCACACAGGACTCGAGCCTGTTCAGACATACTCTGCAGAATTCGACGTGGGTGTGTCCTTTTCCTATGTCGGGGCACGACACTGCGGTGAGACAGGGGGCGGGGAGTAGCGCATTTTTCGCCTCATCCCCGGGAAAGATGGATGGAGCGGAACGGACTTGAGCCACTTTGTACTCTATTGCCGCCACGATCCGACTACGGGAACAGCAAGAAACTTGAACCCTAAACTTTAAGGGTTTAGGGTTGAGGGTTGAGGGTTTAGGGTTTAGGTACAACAGATTACAACTTGAGACGCTTTGGATGCCCCTTGTCAGGCGATCTTTGGCACGAGCAGCCTGAGGAGTCCCCCGGATGGCCACCTCAAGCTCGGATTCTGCGGTTTAGGGTTTAGGGTTTAGGGTTTATAGGGTTCAGGGTTCAGGGTTCAGGGTTCAGGGTTCAGGGCTTAGGCCCCTTGACTGTTGAAGCCCTAAACCCAAAAACCCTAAACCCTCAACCCTAAACCGCCAGACCTGCAGCATCTGGGGGTTTCGGGAGGCCCACCTGCGGCATGGCTACAAAACCCGTGTTCATGTGGGGAGTTCCCGAAATTCGGGGCAGGGTTTAGGGTTTAGGGTGTAGGGTTTGGGGATACCTTATTGGGGTCCTTGTTTTAAGGGAATCCTACTATTTGGGGGTCTATTTTAAGCGCCCCTTATTTCGTAAACCCCCATTTGAAGCTTAAATCTCCGGGTGCCGGAGTTGGGTGGTGGAGCCCTCGGACACCCTAATAAAGTGCCGCTAGGAGTGGGACTCCCCGGCTTGGAGGTACGAAGTAAGGGCCATGAAGTAGGGCCATTGCAGCTCTGACTGGTGAGAGCCTTATTCAGGGCATTCTCACTCCACCCTAAACCCTAACCCCGAAACCCTAAACCCTGTAACTACCCTAAACCCTCTACCTACCAAACCTATACAAACTGTACGTAGGGGCCCCCAAAAAACCCCCAAAGAACCGCCTAGAAAGGTCGAGCAGGGAGCAGCGTTTCCTGCAGGGGGGGTGGTACGAACTGAACTAAAGGCACATGTTCTGGGGGCTCGCGAACCCCGGGGCGCCGGACTTGGCAGAGTCAGCTGCAGAACCACTCCACGAACTCGAAGAACTCGACCTCTGGTTGGGCATAGGGTTGCTAGGGCGTTTGGGGCGTTTAGGGTCTTTAGGGTTTTTTGGTTTGCTTGTGGTCTAGGGTCTTTAAGGGTCGTTATGAATCCCGGACTCGGCCCATGCTACACGTGCCCTGGAACCCTAGTCAGCCCGAGCACGGTTTAAGGTTTAAAGGTTAGACCCCCTCCCCAACCTCTCAAAAACAAAGCATTAACACAACGAGTTCAAATTATATAGCTGGACACCAAAATCCTAGGACTAAGCCCGAAAACCCTGAACCCCTAGACGATATCCCTAAACCCCAAACCCCTGCAACCCGCAACATCCCCTTGCCATCCTTGTAAGTTAAAAGAACCCTAAACACCTAAATCCTAAAACCGAAATCCGAAACCCTATTCTCTGGGATGTTCCCCCATATACGAACGGTCCCTAACAGGCATTATATGAGGGGATACTATAATCCCTATTCAGGACTGGTAGTATAAGGGTGAACATCCTAAACCCTAAACCCTAAACCCTAAACCCTTTTCAGAAGACCCCCCACCCCCTGCAGTCAGAGGCGGCCTCTCCGCTTGAGTCGGAGTCCAACTCCTTGATGGCCTCCTCCTTGCCACCATTGTAGGATTTGGGGTTTGGGGTTTGGGGCTTGGGGCTTGGGGTTTGGGGTTTGGGGTTTGGGGTTTTGGGGTTTAGGGTTTGGGGTTTGGGGTTTGGGGCTTGGGGCTTGGGGCTTGGGGTTTGGGGTTTGGGGTTTGGGGTATAAGGGTTTCGTCGGTTCCATGTATAATCCCTGTCCAGGGTTCTACAGTGGGAGGGGTATGGAAGGATACCCAAGACTGATTCACTAAGCCTTATTCAGCGTGTTCCAGGACGTTTTGCGGCTTTTTTAAAATTAGGGTCCTAAGCCCCAAGCCCCAAACCTTCAAACCCTGAAAGCTCCGCGCCACCATTAAGGGGCAGATCTCGACAATAAATTCTCGCTATGCAGAATACACGATTGGGTTCAGAGTGAGTTTAACCCCAAACCCTAAACCCTCAAACCAAAAATCCTAAAACCAAATCAAGGCCTAAACCCTAAACCCCTAAAACCCTAAAACCCCTAAACCCCTAAACCCCTAAACCCCTAGACCCCTAAACCCTAAACCCTAGACCCTATACCCTATAAACCCTAAAGCTTGGGGGTTGGAAACCTCCCTTCGGCTTTGCCCGCGCGCCAGTCTGGGGCCCCGTGCCAGCTGCTCATCCGTGACATCCTCCCCAAGTCGTTTAGGGTCTAGGGTTTAGGGTCTAGGGTCTAGGGTTTAGGGTTTAGGGTTTAGGGTTTAGGGTTTAGGGTTTAGGGTTTAGGGTTTAGGGTTTAGAGAGTGCCCTCCCGCGGCCTCCCCGACCTTCCCGAAGAGTCCGCGCAGCTCCGAGGCGCTGATGTAGCCGGTGTGGTCCTTCGCAGGACGCAACCCTCGAAACACGAAAGGTTTAGGGTTTAGGGTTTAGGGTTTAGGGTTTAGGGTTTAGGGTTTAGGGTTTAGGGTTTAGGGTTTAGGGTTTAGGGTTTAGGGTTTAGGGTTTAGGGTTTAGGGTTTAGGGTTTAGGGTTTAGGGTTTCGGGTTAGGGTTTAGGGTTTAGGGTTTAGGGTTTAGGGTTTAGGGTTTAGGGTTTAGGGTTTAGGGTTTAGGGTTTAGGGTTTAGGGTTTAGGGTTTAGGGTTTAGGGTTTAGGGTTTAGGGTTAACCCGAAGAAAGCCCCCAAAAAACCCTCTAAGCCCTAAAAACCCCTGAAAGCCCTGAACCTTTAACCCTAAGAACTAAAACTTGCCCCCATCCGAACCCCAATCAGGAGGTAGGGTTGACAATTTACAGCGTCCAGGGTTCACGGTTTTGGGGGTGAGCGTCGCCTTACACCAGTTCCTTCGTCGCGCTTCTTTGCTTTCAAAACCATCCCAAAACAACCTTTGGCGCACCTGGTCGTAGATGTCGAACTGATTCTTCAAGAAGCCTTGCTGTTGCACATACCCTAAACCCTAAACCCTAAACCCTAAACCCTAAACCCTGAACCCTGAACCCTAGACCTAAACCCGACGTGTTGGGCCTCAAGGTCAGGGCTCTTCAGATCCTCTTTATCCTCTGAGGTTTAGGGTTGAGGGTTGAGGGTTTGGGGTTCTGCGCGGCCAAGTCGGGTTGAGAGCGCTTTCGGGATCAGAGATGATGAGGGTGCCCCTTCATACGGCCCAGGAGTGTGTTAAGAAATTTTATTAATTAAGAAATCTGGACCTGGACCGGCCACACATTTTAAAATCCAGGGCCTCGCGGGCTCGCCCAAAAAAATTCCGCCGAGGAAGTATTAAGTAACGTTCTCTGTCATATTTACCAAGAACCCAAGAAGCTGCAAGCCTCAAACCCTCTAATCCCAGGGCTCAGGGCTCAGGGCTCAGGGCTCAGGGCTCAGGGCTCAGGGCGCAGGGGCTTAGGGCTTAGGGCGGAAGAGGCCCGGCACAAAAAGTCACCTTTTTTGAGGTGTTTCAGGCCGGAAAGGCACAAATAAGGTGACTTTTTGTGCCGGGCTCTGCCGGGCTCTTGCGGGGAAGCCTTTAAGGGCTCAGGGCTCAGGGCTCAGGGCTCAAGGCTCAGGGCTCAGGGCTCAGCGCTCAGGGCTCAGGGCTCAAAAAGAGCCTTTTTCTTTGGCCAATGTTGGTTGAAATGTTTCATGTATTCAAGGGCCACATGGTGTAGTGGTATCACATGCGCTTCGCATGCGGAAGGCCCTGGGTTCAATCCCCAGTGTGTCCATTTCTCAGACAGACAAAAGCTTAGGGCGGAAGGCATAAAAAGTCACCTTTTTTGAGGTGTTTCAGGCCGGAAAGGCCCAAAAAAGGTGTGACTTTTTGTGCCAGGCTCTGCCGGGCTCTTGCGGGGAAGCCTTTAAGGGCTCAGGGCTCAGGGGGCTCAGGGCTCAGGGCTCAGGGCTTAGGGCTTAGGGCGGCAGAGGCCTGGCACAAAAAGTCACCTTTTTTGAGGTGTTTCAGGCCGGAAAGGCCCAAATAAGGTGACTTTTTGTGCCGGGCCTCTTCCCCGCGTTAAGGGTTTCGGGTTTAGGGTTTAGGGCTTAGAGCTTAGAGCACCTCTTCGCGTGCCGGCACGGCGGGCGGAAGAGGCCCGGCACAAAAAGTCACCTTTTTTGAGGTGTTTCAAGCCGGAAAGGCCCAAATAAGGTGACTTTTTGTGCCGGGCTCTGCCGGGCTCTTGCGGGGAAGCCTTTAAGGGCTCAGGGCTCAGGGCTCGGGGCTCAGGGCTCAGGGCTCAGGGCTCAAGGCTCAGGGCTGAGGGCTTCGGGCTTAGGGCTTAGGGCGGAAGAGGCCCGGCACAAAAAGTCACCTTTTTTGAGGTGTTTCAGGCCGGAAAGGCCCAAATAAGGTGACTTTTTGTGCCGGGCCTCTTCCCCGCGTTTAGGGTTTCGGGTTTAGGGTTTAGGGTTTGGGGTTTAGGGCTTAGAGCTTAGAGCACCTCTTCGCGTGCCGGCACGGCGGGCGGAAGAGGCCCGGCACAAAAAGTCACCTTTTTTGAGGTGTTTCAGGCCGGAAAGGCCCAAATAAGGTGACTTTTTGTGCCGGGCCTCTTCCCCGCGTTTAGGGTTTCGGGTTTAGGGTTTAGGGTTTAGGGTTTGGGGTTTAGGGCTTAGAGCTTAGAGCACCTCTTCGCGTGCCGGCACGGCGGGCGGAAGAGGCCCGGCACAAAAAGTCACCTTTTTTGAGGTGTTTCAGGCCGGAAAGGCCCAAATAAGGTGACTTTTTGTGCCGGGCCTCTTCCCCGCGTTAAGGGTTTCGGGTTTAGGGTTTAGGGTTTGGGGCTTAGAGCTTCGAGCACCTCTTCGCGTGCCGGCACGGCGGGCGGAAGAGGCCCGGCACAAAAAGTCACCTTTTTTGAGGTGTTTCAGGCCGGAAAGGCCCAAATAAGGTGACTTTTTGTGCCGGGCTCTGCCGGGCTCTTGCGGGGAAGCGGCTCAGGGCTCAGGGCTCAAGGCTCAGGGCTGAGGGCTTCGGGCTTAGGGCTTAGGGCGGAAGAGGCCCGGCACAAAAAGTCACCTTTTGTTGAGGTGTTTCAGGCCGGAAAGGCCCAAATAAGGTGACTTTTTGTGCCGGGCCTCTTCCCCGCGTTTAGGGTTTCGGGTTTAGGGTTTAGGGCTTAGAGCTTAGAGCACCTCTTCGCGCCGGCACGGCGGGCGGAAGAGGCCCGGCACAAAAAGTCACCTTTTTGAGGTGTTTCAGGCCGGAAAGGCCCAAATAAGGTGACTTTTTGTGCCGGGCCTCTTCCCCGCGTTTAGGGTTTAGGGTTTAGGGTTTAGGGTGTAGGGTTTAGGGTTTAGGGTTTAGGGTTTAGAGCTTAGAGCACACCGAAAAGCTCTACACTGGTGAGTTACATGTTCCCCAACTCTGTCCCTATACTCACCTCTAATCAACCCTCGAATAAGAAATATATTTCAGGGTCTGGTTCAAACCTAACTTTCTTATTTCCATTTGGGGTTTTAAGAAATTTCGAAACCCTGGCTGAAAAAGGCAGATTTCTTATTAGAAGCCTCAGCCGTACCCTAAACCTAAACTGCAACTCCTCAACCCCAAACCCTCATCCCTTCACCCCAAGCCCTCAATGTAGACACCCTGGTCCCTGCAACTTTCGCGCCAAAATCTCACAAGCAGACCAGAATCCCCCCCACAGCCCCAAGAACCTAAAGCTTAAAAAACAGTGGTTCTTTTCCTTCAACGTTTATGTCCAAGCACTAGACCTCCACACCTTCACTTAAACCTGAACCCTGAGACACCGCCCCCGCACCCTACACCCTAAAGGCCAAACCCGAAGCCCTAAACTGCTCGCCAAGAGGCAGAGGTGTGAGAGGCCCATGCCCATGCGAGTGGCCATCACCTCCGAGTTTCGATATCCCCACATGCACAGTACCCCTTTCAGCAAAGAAGCACGCAAGCTCTAAAACCGCTAAACGTGCTGTTAAGGGTTTAGGTGCCGGGGACGGCGAGGGGTGCATGGGAGATGTTTTGATCCTTAGGCCCGTGGGTGGTGTAGGGCTTCAGGTGTATGAGTTTGGGGCCACCATGTGGGGCCTCAAAGGTATGTTTCCCGTGAGGGTCTGAACACCTAAAATTAGGGCTTACGGGGGATAAACCCTACACCCTAAACCCGAAACCCTAAACCCTACTTAGGGGTTTACACGAAGCCCCCTTTCAAGAAAAAGGAGGACACGAGACAGCCTCCAGCTCTTGCCGCGACATGTTGTACTTCCGCAGGAAGGTGATGTCCAGCTCGTCCTAGTCGGGGGTTTAGGGTTTAGGGTTTAGGGGTTAGGGGTTAGGGGTTAGGGTTTAGGGTTTAGGGTCTAGGGATTTAGGGTTTGGAGTTTGAGGTTTAGGGAGTTTATTTAGGGTTTCGGGATTCAGGGTTTAGAGTTTGAGGTTTAGGGATTTTAGGTCCTTGGGGGGGAGGTAGGGTAGGAGGGGTATTAGGGGGAGTTGGGGTCTCGGATCTGGATCTCAGGGTTAGGGTTGTGTTCGGGCTCAGCAGACTTCTCAGGGACCCTAAACTTAACAGTCCTCAAACACTGAACCCTAAACCCTAAACCGGGTTACCCAAAACCCTAAACCCTAAACCCTAAACCCTGAACTTAACAACCCTAGGCCGAGACCTGAACCCCAAGACCCTAATCTAAAACCCCTAGAACCAGCCCCAAACCCTAAGCCCTAAACCCACACCTAAGCACTAAACCCCTAAACCCCAAGACCCTAGCCAAAAGCGGAAAACCCTAAGCCCCGAACCCCAAGCCCCAACCCCCAAACCCCAAGAGCCGAATCCAAACGCCCCTAAACCCTAAACCCTAACCCTAAACCCTAAACACACCTAAACCCTAAACCCTAGAACCCTGAACCCTAAACCCTAAACCCTAAAGCCCTGGCGGCCTTCGAGACTTCCTCGCTGGTGCGCGAGAGGGCCGCGACTTCAACGAGCTGGCACAAGGCTTTACGCGGGGGTGGGGTCTAGGGTTCTAGGGTTCTAGGGTTCAGGGTTCAGGGTTCAGGGTTCAGGGTTCAGGGTTCAGTTAGGGTTAGGGTTTAGGGTTTAGGGTTTAGGGTTTAGGGTTCAGGGTTTAGGGTTTAGGGTTTAGGAGGGGGTGGGAGGTTTAGGGTTTAGGGCTCAGGGCTTTAGAGTTTAGGGTTTAGGGCTCAGGGCTTTAGGGTTTTGGAGGTTCAGGGGTTTGTGCTGGATTTGGGGTTTTGAGGGGCAATACCCTTCTGCCCCATTTAAAAGGCTTTTGGGGCTCTGGGCTCGATAGTTGCGATGGTTTCCGGTGTAGGGTGCTAAGGGCTTCGGGGTTCCGGGTTTCGGCTGTACGGGTTTGTAGAGTCTTAGAATTTACGGGTTTTTGGAGCTGGCCGGCCCTTCGGGCTGCAACCCTAGAAGCCCCTTTAAAGAGTACCACCAGGAAACAAAGACTCAGGGTCGTAGGGAAGACTTACCCAAGGCTCCCAAATCCCCTCAGTCATGTCCTTAACCACTCTGAGAAACGCTTAGGGCTTAGGGCTTCAGGCTGCGCATGACGGCACCACGTGAAGGCGCTGCGCTGAAAAAAGCACTTCCGTTTCTTGGGCCTGCTCAAATCAGCCCGCCACGCTTGTGTGTACGAAGCGCGAAACATGAGCCACCCAAAGAACGACGCCGGCCTGGCGCAGAATCTCCCGTGTGGCCCTAAACCCTAAAACACCTAAACCACAAAACGCTGCAACCCTGGGGAACAGGGTGTAGCTAAACCCTCTAAGCTCCAAAACGCAAAGCCCAACGACCTCCAAAAAGTAAAAACAAAGATCTCAAAAAAAAACCTAAAGACCTCAAAATCCTAAGCTTCCAAAGTCCCTAAACGCCCCTAAACGCCCCTACAAGCCCCCAAAAGCCCCGACAGCCCTCAAAGCCTCTAAATCCCCGAGAGACCCAACAAGATCCGTCCCCGGGAGCCTGTCGGACGCGCTGGTTCAGGGCGCTCTTCGGCCTTAGGGTTCACGGCGACTGGCCCTTACCCAACACCTCTTAGGGTTTAGGGTTTAAGGGGTTAGGGTTTAGGGGTTAGGGTTTTTGGTTTAGGGTTTAGGGTTTCGGGTTTGGGGTTTGGGGTTTAGGGTTTAGGGTTTAGGGTTCCCCCCCGGCCCCTTCAAAAGCGGGGTGTTTTGGGTTTGGGGCTTAATTTAGTTTAGGGGTTTAGGGGTTTGGGGGTGTAGGGGTTTAGGGGTTTAGGGCTTAGGGCTTAGATGGGTGTATGGGTTTGGGGTATGGGGTTTAAGGTGTAAGGATTCCAGGTTTCAGGGTTTCAGGGTTTGGAGTTTAAGGTTCAGGGCTCTAGGGCTCAGGGTTTAGGGGAAAAGGGCCAGGGAGTAAAGAAGAGACCCTGGAACAAGGGGGGGGAGAGTTACATACAGGTCTTTTTTTGCGGCTACTTGTAGGCAGATATAGGACACTACAACGCGCACATTATATAGAGATTTAAAAATCTGTAGGGCACTAGAGTTTCGAGACTCTTCCAAAGCCAGGGCAAGGCACCCCAGACCCTGCGAGCCCAAACAACCGAGAGGCACGCACCACGCATGATCATCTGTGAGGGGTTTAGTGTCTAGGGTTTAGGGTGTAAACCCGGCACCTAAGCCCTAAAATCCTTAACCCCTAAAACCCTAAATCCTCAAACCAAAATCCCTACACCCTAAAACCCTAAGACCCCAAAACCCTAAAACCCTCAAATCTGCAACCTAAATTGCCCTAAAACCATAAACCCTAAACCCTAAACCCTAAATCCTAAACCCTAAACCCTAAACCCTAAACCCTAGACTACGTAAAGCCGCGCGCTTCCTGCAGGCCGGCGACTGCTTCGCCAGCGGTGTCGTCTCACCTGGGATCAGACTGGCGTCCACTGTACAGGGCTTAGAGTTTAGGGCTTAGGGCTTCGGGTTTAGGGCTTAGGGCTTAGGGCTTAGGGCTTAGGGCTTAGGGCTTAGGGCTTAGGGGTGTAGCGGCTTAGGGGTTAAGGGGCTTAGAAGTTTAGGGTCTCGGGCTAGAGTGTAGGGGGCCGGTTTGATTAGAGTGGGAACTGTGAGAAGTTTTGATATCTCTGTTGAGGGTTTTTGTTCAGAAACGGGTGCTGTGGGGGGTTTTTTTCGCGCACCTCTCTACGGCTCGGGGCTTGGACCCGCACCAAAATGGAACTCCTGAAAATTCTCGAGCTTGCTGTTGGTATTGAGGGTTTAGGTCTTAGGGTTTAGGGAACAGCAAAGCCCTCGAACCCTCTAGAGCCTCAAGCCCTCAAGGCCTAGATACCTCAAACCTAGCCCCTAAGCCCTAAACCCTAAACCCTAAACCCCAAACCTGCTTAGGGCTTTCGCCCCTCTCGGGCCCCAACGGGGCCCTACCAACCCTTTGAACCCTGCAAAGCCTTAGCCCCTGAAACTCTTTGAATGGGTTTAGGGTTTAGGTTTGGGGTCTAGGGTGGTATTTTAAACCCTTAAACCCCTCAAACCTTTGATAGAAATTGTGGAGAGCTTGTGTCCGGGAGGTTTGTCGGGTTTTGGGGGGGGGGGGTTTTGTCCGGTTTTGCCGGTTCATTTTTGCTTTTGAATGGGCTTTGGAAGGCTTTAGGGGCCTCTGACAGAAGGAGTATTGTAGCCCATCGAAATTGCAAGTTCTGAGTGAACCACGTGCAAGTTCTATGTCTCCTGGCCTTGAAGGGCTTATAGGGTTTAGGTAGCTTAAAGCCTTAGGACCCCGTTTGAACCTCTCTTAAACCCCTCAAAACCTTTAAACCCTTAAAGCCGCTCCCCCTTATACTAACAGTCCTTAACCCGGATCATAATAGGGGGGGGGGGGTACAATCATCCCCATGAAGGACTGTTCGCATAAGGGGGATCATCCCGAGCTTTAACTCCCCTTCTAAACCCCTAAACCCTAAACCCTAAACCCTAAACCCTTGAAACCCTTAAAGCCCTCTAACCTCTTTCAACTCCCCTTCGAACCCCAAAGTCAGGCTGTCTGGGCCCCAGGCCGCGCGAGTCGCTGTCGCTGCTGGCCTGACATGCAATTGCGCGTCGGAGCTCCCAAAGCCCGCAAAAAAATTGTGGGTTTAGGTCTTGGGGTTTAGGGTTTAGGGTTTAGGGTTTAGGGTTTAGGGTTTAGGGTTTAGGGTTTAGGGTTTAGGGTTTAGGGTTTAGGGTTTAGGGTTTAGGGTTTAGGGTTTAGGGTTTAGGGTTTATCGTTTATCGTTTAGGGTTTAGGGTTCAGAAGGTTTAGAAGGTTTAGAAGGTTTAGAAGGTTTAGGGTTTAGGGTTTAGGGAACTTAACTCGTTGCTTAGGGCATAGAGCCTAGCATCCCAAGAGCTTGGAGGCTCAGCTTAGGCTCGGAAATCTCCAAAAAAATGTTCCCGCACTCAGAACCCCCTTCGCTGACGGCAACTTGGCTAAACCCTCAAGGTTTAGGGCTTGGGGTTTATAGCGCCTAAACCCCGAACAGCAAGATTGAGAGGACCCAAGCGACACCGGCCTCATTTCCGCGGCCACCTTCTCCTTTCCAGGGTGTAGTGAGCTTAATTAGTGGGCTTTCGGGGGGATTTAGTGGGTTTGGGGGTTCAGTGGCTTTAGTGGGTTGAGTAGGTTTAGAGGGGGGGTTTATAAGGGATCAGGGAGTAGTCCCCCACTAGACCACTAGGACACGCGAGCCGTCAGAGTGCGTACGCCGGCCCCGGAGGAAACCCTGAGGCCCAGGGGTTTGGGGTCCCACAAGGGAAGAATTTCAGAGGGGGACAGGGGTGCCTTTCCTATCGCCGCAGGTGGCTCAGCCTTGCGGAGGCTCGGGGCTCCGGATCCTTAAAACTTTATGGGCTTTAAGAGCTTGAAGGGCGTTAAGGGCGGGCTTTAAGGGCTTTAAGGACTTCTAGGGCTTTTAGGGCTTCAAGGGGGCTTTAAGGGCTTCAAGGGCTTCAAGGGCCTTAAGGGCTCTAAGGGCTTAAGGTCTTAGGGCTGTAAGAGCTTTAGGGTTCAAGACCTTTGGGAGATACGAGCCACGGCATCGGTTGCCTCGTTCGCGAGCCGCCTCCTGCAGCAGAGGTGTGGGGCGTTGCAGCCACGGGTCAGAGAACCCTGAGCCTTCGAAACCCTAAACCTTCTAAACCCTAAACCTTCTAAACCCTAAACCTTCTAAACCCTAAACCCTAAACCCTAAACCCTAAACCCTAAACCCTAAACCCTAAACCCTAAACCCTAAACCCTAAACCCTAAACCCTAAACCCTAACCCTAGACCTCTTAAACCTCCCAAGCATCCCTGGCACCCCTGGCTCAAGGCCCTCTTTTTAAGGTTCAGGGGGCGAAGGGTTTAGGGTTTAGGGTTTAGGGTTTAGGGTTTAGGGTTTAGGGTTTAGGGTTTAGGGTTTAGGGTTTAGGGTTTAGGGTTTAGGGTTTTGGTTTTCTCCGGGATTCAGGGATTTTGGGGATTAAGGTTTTAGGGTCTTAGGGTTAGGGTCAAGGCCTTCTTTGAAGGCTTCTTGATTAGGGGCTTTGGGGTTGTGGCTTGGGGGTTGAGCCATGAGTCTGCAGGGCGTAGGGGATGATAAGGGTGAAGATCTCAGCTACGCGTAGCGCACCTCAGGAGAAGGCCAGGGACTGCTCTGAGAATAGACCCTCAGAGCTGATTAGCAGTCCGAGCTGTGCTCAAAAAAAAGAGCTTGAATATGACCTATGAAGAGATGCCAGATAGCGAAAGAACGGCAATGCACTAAACCCTAAACCTCAAACCCTTAGCCCTTAAACCCTAAACCCTAAACCTTTGCCCTTTAAACTCGAACAGCCTTGGTTTGGTCCGGGCCTCTTCCATCTTCACGGTCACAGGCTCTTGGCCTTCAGCAGAGCTGTGTCAAGGTTAAGGGTTTAGGGTTTAGGGGTTTGGGGTTTGGGGTTTAGGGTTTAGGGTTTAGGGTTTCGGGTTTCGGGTTTAGGGTTTAGGGTTTAGGGTTTAGGGTTTAGGGGCCGCCCAATATGCCCCCCACATGGGCTGCAGTACCCAAAGAGTCTAAGTAAGACCTAGCGCAGTAGGAAAGTGTTTTGGGTGATCTCGGCTCCGAGTCTCGGTGGCGGAGTTTTCGACAACTCTGAAACTGAACCCGTGAAACCTCTAGACTTTGAACCCAAAGCCTGGAACCCTGAAGCCCTGCAACCCTGAAACACTGAACCCTAAAACCCTAAACCCCAAACCCTAAACCCTAAACCTCCCCCAAACCCCAAACCTGAAACCTTGAAACCCTGAACCCTAAACCCCAAACCCTAAACCCCAAACCCTAAACCCCCCCCCAACCCCCCAACCCTGAACCCTGGACCCGAGGGCGCCCGGCCGAGCGAGAAGCCAACAGACCGCCGGGAGCCCTGAAGATCCCTGGGAGATTTTGGGGGAGTTCAGGGTTTAGGGTTTAGGGTTTAGGGTTTAGGGTTTAGGGTTTAGGGTTTAGGGTTTAGGGCTAGGGTTTAGGGTTGAGGGTTGAGGGTTTAGGGTTTAAGGTTTAGGGTTTAGTGTTTAGGGTTTAGGGTTTACGGTTTTCACAACTTATACCTAAATGCATACATATATGTATATATACATGTGTATACATATGCAAAAAAAACATTCTATACGTATAACCCCCTTTGTGGAGGTTTGAGGGGTCGTGGCCTGGGGGTTAAACGTTCGGGGAGGGAGTTTGAGGAGTTTGGGGTGGTCTCGGGGTTTATGACTTCTGGCTTTTGGGCGCTGCAGCTTCCGACTCCCAAGCTGCCCGATACACATAGCTGTCCACAACATCACGGTTTAAGGTTTAGGGTTTAGGGTTTAATAGAGGGTTGGGGGCTTCGGGTTTATCAGCGACAACTCGGAAATCCAAATCTTCAGTTCTGATCCGCCGATACCCCCCAGACCACTTTTTTTTTTGATTCGAAGCCTGAAGCGGCCAACGTACCATCAGCGGCTTCTTTGCCCTTTGCATCTCATTCAGGGGTACGGAGCACTCTGAGAAGCCTTGGGATGCTCCCCGTAAATACGAACCGTCCTTAATGGGGATTACAATAGGGGGCACTATACTCCCCATTAAGGACTGTCAATCTTGATATCAACATTACTTAATCCCTGTTCCCCTAGGAAGAAAAAAGGATCCTTTTTGTTCATATATAAGAAAGCCCATAACCCAAAAAGTAAAAAGGATCCCTAACACTGATCGAGATTATCTCCCAAGGTAAGCCCGTCATCTTCCGGGACCAGGGCGTCAGCGTCGCAGTGCTCGTCGGCTTAAGCTCATTCGTGGCCTGGAGGAGGGCTCAAGGCGCAGGGCGGGCATGAACTCTGTGGGTTTAGGGTTTAGGGTTTAGGGTTTAGGGTTTAGGGTTTAGGGTTCAGGGTTTAGGGTTTAGGGTTTAGGGCCTAGGGCCTAGAGCCACATAAACCCTATAAGCTCACAAAACCGCAACCGCCGAGAGAGCACGCGAGAGACTTTTTGCAGCCAGCCCAGCATTGAAAATTCCCCCCAAAAATCTTGACCGACCAGCCTCCGAAGGCTTCTGTCAACCAATGGTTTAGGTTTCAAGCGTTTTGGAACCCTAAACCCTAAACCCTAAACCTCTGCCCCATGAACCCCTAAATCTCAGACAACAGGCCTCCTTGTGGCCTGAGGTTTGCCGGAAGCTGAGGCCAAGGGAGGTGGAGCCCGTGATGCCTGCGTCCTGCGCGGGGTTCGGGGCCAACACAGGTTTGGGAGCCTTTTTTTGGGCAGGGAGGGCCAGGGGGTAAGTTGGGATGTGTAGGGTTTGAAGTTTAGGGCTGTTGGCCCAAGTAGGCCCTCGAATCAATCAGGGATACCGCCACTTAAAGGTCAAGTACCCATGAAGCGCCAACTAAACCCTATGGCCTGAACCCGATAAAACCTGAACCCCTTTCAACAGCGGCCCCGGATCAGTGATGCACAGGATTTTTTGCACTTGCGGTGGGGGGCAGGGTTTGTAGGAGACATACCCTACAGGAATTGTTGTGCCTGGGAATGCGCCGACTCAGGATCTGGACCGGATACCGACCGATTCAGAATCTGAATCGCGATTGAGATTCTGAATCGCCCCCCCCCCCCCCCCCCCCCCAAGACTGAACATTGAAGCTGCCCTGACAATAACCCGAGGCAACTGACCACACGACATACAACATGAGAAAGGGTTCTCCAGGATTCAGGGGTTCAGGATGCAGGGCTCGAAGCCCTACACCCCTAAACCCTACTGACCCTGAACCCCTATTCTAAACCCTATTATTAACCCTAAACCCTCTTATAAACCCTATTATAAACCCTATTATAAACCCTAAACCCTATTAAAAACCTTGAACCCCAAACACCCAACCCCGAAGAGGTCCCCCTCGAAGCCCACGTTGCTCGGCCGGTGGTGATCGCGGCTCCTACCCAGGGCGTAGCGTTTAGGGTTTAGGGTTTAGGCGTTAGGCTTTAGCAGCAACCCTCTAAGGAAAGGGGGTGGGGTCAAGAAGACCCGAAGAGCTGTAAACTCCAAAGGTTCTAGGGCTTATAGGGTTTAGCGACCCTCAACCCGAAAGCAATGGAGTTTAGGGTTAGATTTGGAAACCCTAAACCCTAAACTCAAAGCCCTAAACTCTCAACCCCAAACCCTAAACCCCAAACCCTAGCCCTAAACCCTAAACAGCGCTTCCCAGCCCCGGACAACCATGGACAGCTGCATTGGACCCCGACCAAGAACTTCGTCTCGAGTCAGGCTACGAAGTGCAGAAACGGCCCAAACAAAGCCACGCATTCGGCCCGGAAGAGCCGGAAGGCGGGGCTCCCGGGTTGAAAGAAGATGCGCCGGGAAACTACTGTAGCCTTCACCGTGCTGCGTCCCAGTCCTACTTCTGAGGTGCGCAAAAAAAAGGCAAACCCCAAGCCTCTACAATCACACACGGGATCCCTGGAGGCCCATAAACCCTTAATGAAGGAGCGCGCCTGAGGCTCTACAGGGGGTTCGGATTCAGAATGCAGCCCCTTCAAAAAGGCACATGAAGTCTTATTTCTTTGACTCAAACACCATATTCCGAAACCCTAAACCCCCAAACCCCAAACCCTAAACCCTAAACCCCAAACCCTAAACCCCAGCTAAGGAAGCCTTAATGCCTTCAACACCACTTGCTTCATTGAGGTGGCATTGGGGGGGACTCCTGCCCTTCCGGGCCCGTGCCATTTGCGCGCGCGACCGGATCTCCTTTCCGAGGGTTTAGGGTTTAGGGTTTGGGGTTTGGGGGGTTGGGGTTTGGGGTTTGGGGTTTGGGGTTTGGGGTTTGGGGTTTGGGGTTTGGGGTTTGGGGTTTGGGGTTTGGGGTTTGGGGTTTGGGGTTTGGGGTTTGGGGTTTGGGGTTTGGGGTTTGTGGTTTGGGGTTTGGGGTTTGGGGGTGGGGTTGGGGGTGGGGGGGGGGTTGGGGGTTGGGGGGTTGGGGTTTGGGGTTGGGGGTTGGGGGTGGGGGTTGGGGGTTGGGGGTTGGGGTGTTGGGGGTTGGGGGTTGGGGGTTTGGGGGGTTGGGGTTGGGGGTTGGGGGTGGGGGTTGGGGGTTTGGGGGTTGGGGGTTGGGGGTTGGGGGTTGGGGGTTTGGGGGTTGGGGGTGGGGTGGGGGTTGGGGGTTGGGGGTTGGGGGTTGGGGGTTGGGGGTTGGGGGTTGGGGGTTGGGGGTTGGGGGTTGGGGGTTGGGGGTTGGGGGTTGGGGGTTGGGGGTTGGGTGTGTAGGGCTTCATGAAGAGCTCTGCGGTTTCAAGGGTGGAAGGATTTAAGCTTTCAGGGTTTCGGGCTTCTGCTAAGCTGGGTGATGTATATGGGCTCTTGAAGTCTTAGCAGGCATTGGACGACTAAGTAAAGCGGAAGCCAGTATGATCCAGCTGCCTGCAGCAAAACGAACTCAGGTTTAGGGTGCCCCTTAACCCTAAAGCCGCTTTTTGAGGGCTAGCTTAGTATAAAGTCATCGCTGAATTGCCCCTGAAGCTTATGAGTTCTTGATGGGGAGTTGGGGAATCAGGGGCCTGATCACCCCCTACATAACTCTTTATATACAATTTTCCTAACTCCCGAAAATCCTCTCAAGAACTACGCCCTAAACCCTAAACCCTAAACCCTAAACCCCAAACCTTAACCCTAAAATCCTAAAACTCCGAAGCGCCCGGCCTTGAGCATGAGCGGCCGATCGTCGAAGCCTTCCTCCTCGCTGTCCTCGTCGGCCTCTGCCTCTGTGTGAGGGGGATCTGCGGTTTAGGGTATGGGGGTTTGGGGCTTGGGGTTTGGGGTTTAGGGTTTAGGGTTTAAACCCTGGGGCTTGGGGTTTGGGGCATTCTAATATGGGGAGTCTAATAGGGGGCACCCCCATTTTGGCGAGATACCCGTACGAAGCCGGGCTTTCTTGCTAGAGCCCTCACCCACGGTACACACTCCAAAATAGTTCATACCCAAACCTGGAATGAAGTTTCCGCCGCCCTCAAGGAAGGAGACGATGCCCCTCCTTTCTTGGGCGGGGTACCCTTGGAGGCGCTGGAGGTGCATTTAGCACCCTAAACCCTAGACCCTACATCCTAAACCCTACACCTTGAATCCTAAACCCTAAACCCTACAACCTAAAATTACAGGAGCGCCCTACATCAAAGCTGCCTTGCAAACATGCAGGGGCCCGAAACTCCTGAACCCAAACCTGGGCTGAAACTTCAACTTCCATGTCTGGGCGCGCTACCCCCTCTGTTCAGGGAGCTCCAGGCTCGGGTTGAGGGTTTCGGGTTTAGGGGTCAGGAAAATCTGTAGGGCTTTGGGCTTGTGGGTAGGCAAGAATGAAAGCTTTCCCAAAGCCCCGCGAAGAGCGCCTTCTGCATGGCAGCTGACCTCGGAAAAACCCGAGACCCGCAGTGTTTAGGGTTTTGGGTTTAGGGTTTGGCTATCGAAACCCCCCCCCCCCCCCCAAAAAAAAAAAAAAAAGACCTTAGGCCTCAGGATGCAGGGTTTAAGCAGTCCGGATAACAACCTCCTCCCACATCCCCAGGCCCCACTCAACCCCTGCCCTCCATGACAGCCACCCTACACCCTATACACCAGAAACCCGAAACACCTTAAGACCAAAACTTCCCCCAAAACCCCAAAATCCTGAACCCAAAATATATCGGGGGTCATGGGGCTGTGTAGGGCTTAGGGTCTTAGTGTCTTAGTGGGCCCCATGCAACCCTGTACACCCTAAAGCCTTGAGTCCTGGGGGATTAGAGTCTAGGGCTCAGAGTCCACCAGCCCCGCAAAACAAATACCCTCCCCACCCGCCCAAAAACAATTCACGACAAATCTCTAGATGCACCGTACCTCATGAACCCTTGACACAAACGCTTTTTATGCCCAGCCAACTTAATCAACGCGCATCTTCAGATACGGTCGTTCCGGAGTTTGGGGTGTAGGGCCTAAACCCTGAACCCTAGACTCTTCGGTTGTGCACACTAAGATTGACGGTTCAGGGTTTAGGGTTTAGGATCTACGCACCTGCGAACCTGTTGAGTGCGGAGCCTCTTCTGGGTGGCCTGGTCCTCTCCGAGGATCGGCGCAGGAGGCAGGTCCTGGCGGAGATCTTGAAGGGAGGGTAGGGTTTAGGGTTTAGGGTTCAAGGTTTAGGGTTTAGGGATTAGGGGCTAGGGGTTTGGGTTTAGAGCAACGGTTGAGGGTACTAGAAATTGGCGCTTGGGTTATAATGGCACAGGGTTAGTGTCCTGAGCGCCCAAAATCTCCACTGTCACCAGCTCCTGAGCAGCGACCTCCACAGCTGCCTAACCATCTGCCTCGACCGCAAGCTCCGTGAACCCCCCAAGAGGGCGAAGCTGGGCAGGCCCCGACGCAACTTTGAAATCAGATGCAGCCGCCACATCGCACAAAGCGAGATCTCGAGACCAGAGCGGTCAAGTGCTACGCTTCCCTTGTCACTTGTCACTACATACACTCGTGTTTTACACCGCAAACGAAACAAAGAAAAATCAATCAGTGCCTGGGACGTGCCCTAGCGGCTCGGTTCCGGGTTTAGGGTTGGATGACTTCTAAGATGAAACAAGTGTAAGGTGTAGGGTATAGGGTTATATGTACCAAGCTCCAGTGTAGAGACCCGGCATGGTTGGTAGGTGGATCACAGACGGAACACGATGAGAACTCGTTCATCTGAGAAACCGAAATGTTTATCAAGAGGCGAACAAGCTAAACCCTAAACCATAACAAAGGCATTCTCTTGTGCCTTTCACCACTCTATTACCATTGCACATCACAGCTCCTTCGGATTGCTTTTAGTCTTTTCGCACACTGCATCTTCCTACATACGAGAAAAATGCGCAAAGCAGAGTTGAACGCAAACCCAAGCCAAACTCAAGCCAATCCCCTACACTACTGGCCTTGAAAGAGCTGCAAACCCTTTCATTAGCCCCCCCCGAATTATCCGGCCACCAAATCCCCCTGCATAAGAACTGTAGGTATCTGGAACCCTAACCCCCCCCCCCCCCCCAACCCTCCAACCCTAAACCCTGGACCCCAAGCCCTAAACCCTAAAGCCCTAAAATCCCTAAAACCCTAAAACCCTAAACCCTAAACCCTAAACCTCCCAGTGAAAGCCCTAAATCCTGCACCCGAATGCCACCGACAGGCCTGGACCTTGACAAAGGGCACCGTGTGCTGGTGGATCCTGCAACTCCACAACCTAAGCCCTGAGGGTTTAGGGTTTAGGGTTTAGGGTTTAGGGCTTAGGGTTTAGGGATTAGAGATTAGGGTTTAGGGTTTAGGGTTTAGGGTATAGGGTTTAGGGTTTAGGGTTTAGGGTTTAGGGTTTAGGGTTTAGGGTTTAGGGTTTAGGGTTTAGGGTTTAGGGTTTAGGGTTCAGGGTTTAGGGTTTAGGATTAGGGTTCAGGGTCTGAGACCCCTATAAACCCTAGACCCTAAGCCCTATACCTTGGGATGTTCCCCCTTATGCTAACAGTCCTTAATTGGGATCATAGTACACCCCTATTTAGGACTGCTAGTATACGGGGGAACACCCCAACCTATAACGTAACACGGGACCTTAAATTTTGGTTGCCCACAGACTTCCGGCATGAAGGGGTCTTGGGCTGGCAGCCTACAGCATAGAATTTATCGGCGTGGTCGGCCTCAACCCATTCTGGGGGGGTGCTTGAGATCTGGGTTTCAAGGTAGGGTTTAGGGGGGAGAGTGAGAGTTTGAGGCTTCAGCCCCCTAACATTAGGACGCCCAAGGAAAAACAACAGGCGGAACTTGAGGTTTCTTTGCACAAGGCTCCATTCGGGGTTCGGGCCTCGAGTTGAGGGCTTGAGGTTTAGGGTTTGGGTTTAGGGTTTAGGGTTCAGGGTTCAGGGTTCAGGGCTTAGGGTTTAGGGTTTAGGGTTTAGGGTTTAGGGTTTAGGGTTTAGGGTTTAGGGTTTAGGGTTTAGGGTTTAGGGTGTTAGGGTTTAGGGTTTAGGGTTTAGGGTTTAGGGTTTAGGGTTTAGGGTTTAGGGTTTAGGGTTTAGGGTTTAGGGTTTAGGGTTCAGGGTTTCAGGGTTCAGGGTTCAGGGTTAGGGTTTTAGGGTTCAGGGTTCAGGGTTCAGGGTTCAGGGTTTAGGGTTTAGGGTTTAGGGTTCAGGGTTCAGGGTTCAGGGTTCAGGGTTCCGGGTTTAGGGTTTAAGGTTTAGGGTTTAGGGTTTAGGGTTTAGGGTTTGGGTTTCGGGTTTAAGGTTTAGGGTTTAGGCTTGGGGGGTGGGGGGTGGGGGTGGGGGTTGTCAAGCCTGCACCCGATGCTATTTGGGCCCGAAAGTAAACCTCACATTCAACCCCTAAAACCCGAAACCCGAACTACAACAACAACCTAAACCGACAAACCCTGGAACCTGAAACCCCAAAAAACCTAAAGCGCTAAACCCCCTGAAACCCTACACTCGAACCACCCAAGCCTCTGAACCAAGCCCCATGCGCCGCCTCTTGGGCTGCAGGTGCTTCACAGCATGTGCCGCTGTGGCAGGGAAGCAGGTCTCCTCGCTTTTGTGGGGCTTAGGGTTCCGGAAAAAAAGCCTGAACCCTGAAACCCGCAAAAAAAAACCCTACGAAAACTCACTAAAACCCTACTAAACCCCACCTACTCCACACCAGAGACTAAGAAACCCGACTCAAAGCCGACCCCCCTCAACCCTAAATCAGGAAGACCCCGTGGGTGACACCTGGAGGTTTGGGAGTTGGGGTTGAAGTGGGGTGATAAGCACCCCTAGATAAGGCTGCAACCAACTATAACCTAGAAGTACCCTACTCGCGATCCTTAACCATTGCAAGTACTCGAAAGCCCCTAAACTTCAGGGTCTAGGGTTCAGGGTTTCGGGTCAGGGGCTTGAGGGGGTTATTTAGCATTTCAGGCTTCGGGGTTGAAGGGTCTTCGGGGTTTTTTGGGGTCTCAGGGCTTGAGGGTGTAGGGTTTCAGAGCCTTAGGGCTTCTGTCAAAACCCAAAGATGTCCACCTCGTGGGCTTCAACATGGCCCCGTGATAACTTGAATAGGGTTGTGGGGGGGGCTAGTATAATTGTATAGTGATAAAGGGACCATAAGGGCATACTTTTGGTATTTATTCCGATTAAGTTTGAGGCCTTTGTCTCAACACACCACCCTTGAGCCCCTCAGGTACACCCAAACCGTTTAGGGTTTGGGGTTCAGGGTTTAGGGCCTCAGGGAAACCCTGGAACCCCAATGAGCTGCCCCTCAACCCCAAACCCTAGCTATAGACTACTATTTGCTTAAGAACCCTCCAAAAAATAAAGAATCATAATCCCTATATTGCCATGATAAGGAAGACTGTTTTTTGCAATATTTTGGTGGGATTCTTATGCAAATCGGAGTAAGCTGGCTGGTCGCCTTCACAGCCGGGTCGGTCAAGGGCAGGAGGTCCCTGAAGCCTCCGAGTTAGCTTCGATGGGTCTTGGGCCCAGCGCCCTAGGGTTTAGGGTTTAGGGTTTAGGGTTGAGGGTTTAGGGTTTAGGGTTTAGGGTTTGGGGTTTAGGGTTCAGGGTTCAGGGTTTAGGGTTTAGGGTTTAGGGTTTAGGGTTTAGGGTTTAAAGTTCAGGGTTTAGGGTTTAGGGTTTAGGGTTTTGGGGTTTAGGGTTTAGGGTTTAGGGTTTAGGGTAAGCCACACGGCTCTAAGACCCCCTTGCGGTACGATTCCTAGGCCTCAACTCTGAACCCTAAAGCCCAGTCCTAAGGCCCTTCAAACAAGCCAAGGGCTTGGGGTTGAGGCGGGATTTCATCGGGGTTCAGGGTCAAGCTCGCGGGATGCCGGCGTGTTCAGCCCTCTAGAGGCCACAAGATCGGCGCACCAAAGGACTATGCAAGGGGCATGGCGGCATGTACTGTAAGTGCAACACCCCCCACATGGAACAGTTGTGGCAGTCGAACCCTAAACCCCAAACCCTAAACCCCAACCCCAAACCCCCAAACCAAAATTGGGTTGTAGGAATTGGGGCTTTGGGCCCTTCATCCTGAACATTTAAGGCCCTAAGTAGAAAGAAGAACTTGTAGAATGAAAGAAAAGAAAGCACATTCTGCGTAATTGAGGAAAGGATGTACCATTATACGTGAGGCCTAATCATCTTCAATGTCACATTGTTTCCCTTGGTTTGGGAATTCTGTCCTTCCAATTTTTTCCAGATTAGATTATATTTGGCCACACAGGATTCCTTTTCGATCACGTGAGTGAAAGAAAAGTTGATTCCCATCCTTTATTATAATTTTCACAAAAAAACAACCATTTAGATTAGATTAGATTAGATTTTATTTGTTTCAAGCGCCAAGTGATCTTCTTTCACTTAATATGGTATTCAGTAACCAGCGTTTTAGTATGCATAAAGCCCATAGTCTTAAAACACCCCTGAACTTGCAAGGATGGTTAATTAAAGGGTGCTATTTCTCTACTCATCATCCCGCCCGCCACGGCTTCAAGGGGTTTAGGGCTTAGGGTTTGGGATTTAGGGTTTGGGGTTCAGGGTTCAGGGTTCAGGGTTCAGGGTTCAGGGTTTAGGGTTTAGGGTTTAGGGTTTAGGGTTTCGGGCTGAGGGCACTTCGAGGTACTGAATCATGCCCAGCAGCGGCTGAGAACGTCTTCCACCTCACAGGAAGGGGCCCCAGGGTTCGGGAGGTGACAACCCTCAACCCCAAACCCTGTTTGAGGTGTCGCGTTTTGGAGGGTTTGGGGTTTAGGGTTTAAGGTTTAGGGTTTAGGGTTTAGGGTTTAGGGTTTAGGGTTTAGGGTTTAGGGTTTAGGGTTTAGGGTTTAGGGTTCAGGGTTTAGGGTTTAGGGTTTAGGGTTGTTTTTGAATCTGAACACTCCCTAGACCCTAAGCCCTGATCAGAACCCTTATTAAACCCCCGAAACCCTGTTTAGGGTTGCGGTGGGGGATTTAACGTTTAGGGTAGCCTTCTCCATCCAGAAGAACGTATTTGGCCGCCCTAACTAGCTGAGGTTGACGTTCAGGGTTTAGGGTTTAAGGTTTAGGGCTCAAGGTTTTTAACTTCGGGGTGCGAAGGTCTATTCAGGAGGCGCATCTTTGCGCACGGCCTGCGTTCACGCTTGTACCCCAAAACAGCTCGTTTGCGGGTTCACGGGTGCTGCTACCCCCGCAGCCTGACAGAACTCATCACCCGAGTATTAACCAAAAAGGGTTGTAGTTGGGGTTTTAGAAACACTTAAGCGTTCGTGTTAATCTACAAGTAGTCACCCCCAAAAACCATCAAAAACCTGAGAGACTAACCCGCAAACTCTCAACTAGGATGGCCCTTAAAGCCCTCTGAAATCAATTCCGAAATATGTTCCTCGGAAACCCAATAAGGGAAAATGTAAAAACCTTAAAACCTGGGTCCAGGGGCCCGGGCCCATTGTAGCCACAGGAGCATGGTGTCAGAGCGCAGCTCATCGGAAGGCCTTTAAAACTGTTGTGTGGGGTCTAAGAAGTCGAGGAAGTTGATTTTTCCGGTTTGGCAAGTGTTTTGTTGCTTGCCATGCGCTGTCGCCTGTGCTTGCAAGAAGCGGAAAAATGGTCTATATCTGCCCTCTAGACTTGGACTTAGTGAGTTGATTCTGGCTTTCACACCCGGGGAGAAACCTACATGGCCCCATGGCTTATGATGCGGAGTAGTCGTGGGCTGGATCAAGTCCAAAAGAAGGGTCTGGGCATGTGTTGCTGGTTCACCGGCGCACTTATCCCAGAGCAGTACGAGGCCTTGATTCTTTGGAATGAAATGGGTCTTTGTCGAGGGTGAGTACCCTAAACCCTAAACCCTAAACCCTAAACCCTAAACCAAAAAAACCTAAAGCCCATGTTGGAATGAGGGCACAATAAGGAGCGAAGAGTGTGTGACTTGCCTTCCAGGGGAGCTGACTTTGAAAAGCTGATATATGTGGCTGCTCGCAATTTCATCATGCGGTAAGTTCATGCATACTATTCTTATTGTGTGAATTAGTGGGTTTAGGAAACCTGGGAGGAGAGACTGAATCCCCCCTAAGCCTCGAACCTGAACCCAAGCCGCTTCCCAGGCCGGCCTTGGTGGAAAGTCGCTGACATCCAAGGTGTGTCCGGCTTCACCTGGACATTTTGGAGAAATCCAGTGGCTTAGGGTTTAGGGTTTAGGCCTGCTGAAGACCCCAAACCGAAAAAGTCTTGGAGCCCTGGGGCCTGAAGACGTCATCCCAAAGAGGTTTAGGGTTTAGGGTTTAGGGTTTAGGGTTTAGGGTTTAGGGCTTAGGGTGTAGGGTGTAGGGTGTAGGGTGTAGGGTGTAGGGTGTAGGGTGTAGGGTTGCATGTCCGTCCCAGGAACCTTGAAGGAACCCTCAACTCAACCCTGCACCCTGAACCCTCTACCCTAAACCCTGAACCCTAAACCCTAAACCCTAAGCCCTAAACCCTAAACCCTAAACCCTAAACCCTAAACCCTAAACCCTAAACCCTAAACCCTAACCCTCCATGAACAACAGGGGGTTTAGAATCGCGGCTGCGTGAATGCGGGTGCATGCAAACCTCTAAGCCCCTCTCCTCGCCCCCCCCTCCCCCCCCCCCCCCCCCCCCCCGCAAAGAAAACAACAATATGAATGGCCTGAACCCTAACCCCCACCCCTCTGCCCCACCCTGAAACAGTTTCAACAACTAAAGCATAACCCCTCTCAAACCCCCCCTCCTGCCCCGCTAAACCAGTAGTTCAAAATTTAAAGGTCAAAGGCCCTAAACTTAAAAGTCAAAAGCCCCGAAACAGTTTTGAAAACTACCCCAGAACCCCCCGCTCCCCCCGCTCCCCCCGCCCTGCCCCCTGAAGCAGCTCTAACAAAAACCCCTAAACCCTAAACCCAAAAGTCAAAAGCCCTATGCCATCCGGGCCCCCTGGCGGAGGCGTTCGGCCTCCAGCTCGAGCAGCTTCGACACCTTCACTAGCGAGTTTGTTTTTTTGTTTTTTGTTTAGCGAGTTTTTTTTTATTTTATTTTTTTTTGGGGGGGGGGTGGGGGGTGGTAGCGTTTTAGGGGTTTGGGGTTTAGGGCGTTTGGGTTTAGGGCTGGTGTTAGGGTTTAGGGCGTTTGGGTTTAGGATACTTTAGGGTTTTAAGGTCTGGGGTTTCAGGGTCTTTGTTTTATTTGAAGGGTTTAGGGTTTTAGAGTTTCAGGGCTTCAAGGTTTTTGCGTTTCAGGGTTTCAGGGTTTTAGGGTCTCAGGCTTCTAAGGTTCAGGGCTTCAGGGTTTAGGGTTTTGGGTTTCAAAGTTTAGGGTTTCAGGGTTTTGGGGTTTGAAGGGTTTTAAGTGTTTAGGGTTTTAGAGCTTCAGGGTTTCAAGGTTTTAGCGTTTTAGGGTTTCAGAATTTTAGGGTTTCAGGGTGTTAGGGTTTAGGGTTGTTGGGTGTTAGGGTTTTAGCGTTTCGGGGCTTTGGGTTTCAGGGTTTCAGGGTTCAGGGCTTTCGGGTTTAGGGTTTCGGGGTTTAGGGATGCAGGTTCTAGGGTTCAGGGTTGTTGGTTTTATGGTTGAGGGTTTAGGGTTTGTTGGGGTTCTCGGATTTATACAGTTTTAGAGTCGAGAGTTAGGGTTTAGGGTTTAGGGTTTAGGGTTTCTGGGGATCAGGGGTCCGCCACCGCCAGCCTGCGCGATGTGGGGAAGGACATGCTGGACAACCTCTCGCTGGCTGTCGCAGACCTTCGAGCACGCCCTGAAACCCTATAAAGACCCCTAGATTTTAGGGTTTAGGGTGTAGGTTAAACCTGTGATGCAAGGTTGAGGTTTAGGGCTCAGGGCTTAGGGTTTTGAGTTTAGGTATATCCTCATGAAAGTTTCAGGGATATTGCAACACACTAAAACCTGAAAGACCCAAAATCCCTAAAACAAGCCGCAAGCCTAAGCACCCGTAGACACCCTTGACAAAACCCCAGCGAAAAATTGCTCTGAAACAGCCCCCTAAAACCCCAAGAGCCTCAATCAATAGAACCCTGAAACGCCCTTCTAAAGCCCCATTGGAGTCCTTATTATACGAGCATCCTACTGTACAATTTGGGTACGATATTGGGCGTACCTTTTTGGGGTCATGATTATATAAGAGGATCCTACTACCGGGTCCCTTGTTTTTGTAAACCCCCATATTGAGGTCCCGTATTTTCATAACCCTAAGCCCCAAAACCCTAAACCCCAAACCCTCAACCCTCAACCCTCAACCCTAAACCCTAAACCCTAAACCTTAAACCCTAAACCCTAAACCCTAAACCCTAACCCTCAGATCCTCTGAAACAAGAGTGCGGAGGGTTGGCAAAGTCGCCAGGCCTCACGGCTTTCCTCGATGGTGATCTGCGTCGACTCAGTGTCCAGGAGGCTGGAGTTTTGGGATCTTAGGGTCCTAGGGCTTAGGAGGCCTCAGGGTTTGAATATGTTTAAAGTTTAGGGTCTCGGGGTGTTACGGTTCAATGCGTAGAGTTTGCGTGTTATCCGAGTAAATTGGGAGGGGGGCTAAAACCCAACAGAAAGCTTATCACCCCCAACTCACAGCCCCCTTACAACTCTACAAAACAGGCTTTCAGGGTTTGAGGAACCCCAAGACTTGTGTTTCGGGTTTAAGGCTTAGGGTGGACCCTGACGGGGCTTGCGTTGGGCCCCGAGAACCCTAAAGTTTTGGGGGCCGGTGCGCCCGCAGCTTCTTCTGCATGTCCCCCAGGGCCAGCTCGCGATTCTTTTCGCTCGCCGCCTGGTGTGGAGAAGGGGGTAAGACTGGTTTAAGGTTTAGGGTTTAGGGTTTAGGGTTTAGGGTTTAAGGTTTAGGGTTTGGAGCTTTCGGGGGTTTGGGGGTTTCAGGATTTCAGGGTTTAAGGGGTCAAGGGGGTGACAAGTGTCCCTAGCTACTTGAGTCCCTCCTCCTTGTAGGCTTCAAAGGCTTAGGGTTTAGGCGTTCAGGGTTTGGGGGACCTGAGCATGCCCAAACACACAAACTTCATAAAGCCCTCATCCCTACCTAAACCCTACATACACCCTAAACCCTAGCCCGTAACTGAAGCCCCAGGAGGTACCTCCTTCTGTCTCAGGGCCATCTCGGCTTGTCGACGGGAGCGCTTGAGGCCTGCGCGAGCATATCATGGGTTTAGGGGTCAGGCTCTTAGGGTTTTAGGGTCTTAGGGTTGAGGGTCTTAGGGTTGCTTGTGGGACATAAGATAACACTACGGTATATGCCCGAAGCGGCCGAGAAGGACCTCTCTTAGAACACCCTAAACCCCAAACCCTGTACACCCAACATCGGCTGTCAGTCGAAAACCCTGCCGCGCTGGCGCCTTCAAGCGCTTCAATCTCACGGTTCATGTGATTCACGTACCTCCGTCTCGAACGGGCTTCGGGGTTTCCCAGGTTGGGTGGAAGGTTCTGTAGTAGTTGTAAGTAGACTTGCAACTGAGATATCGATACTTATACCTGCTGATACCCGTCTGATATCCATTCTCCTGTGGTACTTACATCAATCCTCCATGTAAAAAAACATGAACCTTCAATCATAGGAGCTGGGATAATAGAGTTTGGGGGTGGAGGGCCGCTCTTGGATTGCGCGGTGCAGAATTTAAGATTTAGGAATTTTAACTTACAGGTCCTGTTCAGATTCCCAGCATAGACAAGGAAAACAAGGGGATAATCGGTGTCGGGATAAGGGCCTAAGCGGCCTAAATTTCACCCTACACCAGAAACCCACACCCCTTTTATGGTAGAAACATGATCATCCCTTGATATGAGCCTTGATCGGGGATGATCGGGGAAGCCTTGTCTTCGTCCTCGGTATCGGAGGCAAACATTATGACATCATTCTCGTCAGATATTACGCTTCCTTCGTCATTCTCGTCTACGTTGGGTTCGTCGTTCTCTATTACCATATATTCGTTGAGATCATCGAACACTTGAGTATCAGAAGGGTTCTCACTATTATCCTTGCAATCAGCACAGAAAGTGAGTATGATAATATTATCGTCTTGCTCTTCAATCAAGTATCTTTTACCCTCCGGCACAATGAGAAATTGATCAATAAGATTCTTCCAGGATCCGTTATGTCTCTCTAAAGCAATACCATCCTCCTGAATAGAGAACATATGCTCAGGGCCCTCGCATTCCTGGATCCATATCTTCGGTTTTGATCCCTTTCCAAAGGCAGCCACAGCTCTTTTGCCATTGGAATACTCGGAAGCTCTTCCCGCTATACGATCATAAATTTCGGCGGTGGGGGTTCTGCAAAATACCACTCGCTTCCATTGCTCTAGAGGATCAATGCTCTTTCCTATTCCATCAAGTATCTGAGCCGGCGCACAGTTTTCGCTGGGCTTAGTTGTATTCTCGGACTTTTCAAGGGAAATCGCCCAGAAACCCCCCGAGGGCCTGGTGTTCTTGTAGGCCTCAATGATGATGGTCTCGATCTCTCCCAAATGCTTCATGCTCTCTCTCTCCACCTCATCAAGAGGTATTAAGAGACCAGGAGCAGCGTTAGTGCCATTAAGAGTATCACTCGACGATGATAGCTGGCTTGCCCCTATATTATCATACTCCTCGGGCTCACCCATATCATTCCGATCGACGTCACTCCCCTCTTCAGGTCGGAGTATGTCTTGATACGTCGTGTAAGCAATCTCGGCTAAAGTTCCTAAGCACTTGGCGTCTATGTCTCTCTGACGTTCCACCGCGATTTTCCTCTGATCAAGCATTTCATGTATTCTTGGGGTATGATCACAAACCATGAATTCCGATATAACAGCCAACACATCGCAATTAGTGATCAGCATATACGCTTCGTCACCCTTTCCATCTATTTCCTCATGTATTACGCATCCATCGACTCTCGACACCCAAAGATCATACTCGAGAGAGAAACAAAGCATTGCTCTACCGAGCCTGTTATTGTCGCCCAATTTCCATAGGATGCTGCAGAGGTTGTTCGCCTTTATTATCCTTGCGGCGCAGTCGAGGACGGCTTCAATGATCCGCACTAATGCATCATCCATGGCATCGGGCCCTGAACCCGCGGTCCACTGATTCGACGCCAGTTCAATCTCGTGGATAATACCATCGAAATTGGAAGACACAGCGAAAATTGCATGGCCATTAACAACCGTATATCTAACATCTTTCTCGAGCAGCCAGGCAACGCGTTCATGCTCTATCATATCGTTCCTAATCCAACGATGGTCTGAACCTGCCCACGCCCGTATTATATTAGCATGTTCTCGATGCACAACTCGGTCAAGGTCGTCAACTGCGTTGTGTTCTCTTCCTTTTCGTATGATAACGTTTTTCGAAGGCAAAACGCATGCTTAGAATGTCTTTTGGGCTCCCAAACCAACCCCAATGATGCTCCTGATGCGGGTGCGCGCGCGCGCGGCGCGCGCGCGCGGGGGGGGGGGGGGGGGGGGCGGGGGGGGGGGGGGGAGGGGAAGAGCGAGAGGGAGGGAGAGAGAGAGAGAGAGAGTGAGAGTGAGAGCGAGAGGGAGAGAGCGAGAGCGAGCGAGACAGAGAGAGAGAGAGAGAGAGAAAGAGGGACACAGGGAGAAAGAGGCAAAGGGAGAAAGGGAGAAAGAGTGGGAGCAAGAAAGAAAGCGAGAAACGAGAAAGGGAGCAATACATTGAATTGAAATGGAAACGGACAAAAAGAAAAGGAGACACCAACATAGACAGAAGGAGAGAGATGGTGAGAGAGGAGAGAGGGGGGGGGTGACAGACAGGGCAGCGGAATAAAGACGGAGCAGAAAAACAAAAACAAAACGATGCCCACTTCGAGGTTTCCTGTTTTGCGGGGCGGGGGCCGGCCCGTGCCGCTAGGCCTAAATTTTAGAGGGGTTTAAGGGGGTTTACGGGGGTTTAGGGGGGTTTTGGGAGGGTGGTTTAGGGGGGTGGTTCAGGGGTGTGGTTTAGGGGGGTTAACGGAGGGTTTACGGGGGGTTTCGAGGCCCCTCTCCTCCCCTCTCCCCTCTCCCCCCCTCTCCTCCCCTCCTCCCTTCTCCTCCCCTCTCCTCCCCTCTCCTCCCCTCTCCTCCCCTTTCCTCACGGAATTCGCACGAAACCACAGCGGCAGCATCGAAACGCAGCGAAATTCGCGCGACACTAAGCACTGATGCTGTTGCGCGCGCGCGCGCACGCACACACGAACGCACGCACACACGCACGCACGCACGCACAGAGGATTATATATAGGGTTTCGGCTGTCGCTTCCTGTTCTTTCTTCTCTTCTGCTTCCTGTTCATTTGTTTCATATTCTTTTTCGTTTTCTTACTTGTCTTCGTCTTTGTTTTTCTATGATTATTCCTCTTCTTTCTCTTTTTCTTATTCTTCTTATTCTTTTTCTTATTATTATTCTTCTTCTTCTTCGTCTTCTTCTTCTTCTTCTTCTTCTTATTCTTCTTCTTCTTCTTCTTATTTTTCTTCCTCTTGTTATTCTTCTTTCTTTTCTTTTACTATGTTTTTCTTTTTCTTCTTTCTTTTATTATTCTTCTGTTTATTCTTCTTTATGTTCTTCTTTTTCTTCTGTTCATTCTTCTTTTTTTTATTATTCTTATGTTTCTTCTTCTTTTCTTCTTATGCTTCTTTCTCTTCTTCTTCTTTTTCTTCCTTTACCCTTTCTTCTTGTAATTATTCTTTTCTTTTCTTCTTCTTTTTCTTCTTCTATATGTCTTCTTTTTATTCCTTTACCCTTCTTCTTGTTATTATTCTTTCTCTTCTTTTCTTCTTCTTCTATTTATTCTTCTTTCTTTTCTTCTACTTCTGTTTCTTCTTCTTTCTCTTCTTATTCTTCTTCTTATTCTTCTTCTTCCTGTTCTTCTTCTTTCTTTTCTTCTTCTTATTCTTCTTGTTGTTCTTCTTCTTTCTCTTCTTCTTATTTTTCCAACCCCTAAACCCAAACCCGAGTTTCAGCTTTCAGACGGCCAGGCCGGCCCGTGGCCTGTAGATTACTGCTACTATTATGACTATTCCCCTACACTTGCAACATATTAATACGCTTACTGCCAAAAAACCGAACAAGACAGCACAATAAAAAACACGTGGGCAATAAAGGAGATAAGAAAGAAGCCCCCATGATATTAGCATAGGCGTAATGAAAACATGAATGGAGCGAACAAAACCTCCAAGCAAAGGAAATGAAAGCACTAATACTTACTGTAATAATATCATATTTCATGAAATCATGTTAGTAATTTAGTATGGGGCAAATATAGGTCATTGAATACGCCCGCAGAAGAAGATAGTAACCTTCTTTGTATAATGTCGCCGCATAAGTATACAAGAGCCGTGAATTATCGTTTTTACTTCGCTCATAATTTCGATTATTTCGAACGTCTTTCCTTCCTTGAAAAAACACTGCTCATTTGATTCATTTAAAGACGGCAAGGGACCACGCAGCTCAACCCTCAACCCTCAACCCTCAACCCTCAACCCTAAACCAGGGGCACGTCAGGAGTGAAAAGTTCCGACTCTCTAGGTGAACGAAGATCTTCACGATCTCCTGCGGCTTGAGAGATTTCGGAGCCCCAGAATCCGTTTAGGGTTTAGGTTTAGGGTTTAGGGTTTAGGGTTTAGGGTTTAGGGTTTAGGGTTTAGGGTTCAGGGTTAAGGGATAAGGGTTTAGGGTTTAGGGTTTCAGGGTTTCAGGGTTTCAGGGTTTAGGGTTAGGGCCGAAACTCAGGGGGCCCTTGATGCAAGTTTAGGGTTTTTAGGGCGTAGGGTTTAGAATTTAGGATTTTGGGTTTAGGGTGTAGGGCGTCGGGTTCGCCAAAACCTTGGAACCTTAAGTAGAAAAGGGGCCTGAATAGTTAGAATAGGGCTTGGGGGGGGTTCTTGTAGTATAGTTGTAAAGGGATCAGAACGGAATACTACTCGGTTTGGGGGGTTATTGTAGTATAGTTGTAAAGGGATCATCATACTATTAGGTTTGGGGGGGTTATTGTAGTGTAGTTGCAAAGGGATCATAATACTACTAGGTTTCGGGGTTTATTGTGGTATAGTTGCAAAGGGATCACAAGGGAATACCATTAGGTCGGGGGGGGGGGGGGGGGGTGATTGTAGTGTTGCTCTAAAGGGATCATAATACTATTAGGCTTGGGGGGGTTGTTGTCGTATCGTTAGCATGCCCTTATGACCCCTGTAAAACTTACATCATTACCCTAAACCCTAAACCCTAAACCCTTATACGACCCTCAGGCACCTCGATGTTGGAGATGCCCGTGGACTGCTTGATTGTGGCAAAGGCCTGCGGCAGCGGAGCATCCGGGAGGGTTCGGGGTTTAGGGTTTAGGGTTTAGGGTTCTTCGCAGGCACTAGGGAATGAATGAGTTTGGGGGGGGGGGGGGGGGGGAATTCCCCATGACCTATGATCCAACAGAGAACAGCAACAAGAACAGAAGGGCAGGGGATTTGCCAGGGATGAGTTCCTAAAACCCTAAAACCCAAAACCCTAAACCCTAAAGCCCTAAACCCTAAGCCCTAAACCCTCGAAGCCCTGAGCTCCGGCCTGCTCGAAGATCTCGATGCTCTTCTGATGCTGCCTGGGGCCCAAAAACCGGTAAACAGCACAGCCCCAGCTGCCCAAAACTCCAAGCCCCAAACCCCGGATCCGCTGCTGCCAAGTATGCATATCCCACCCTCCACCTACTTAGCTTTAGAGTCTCGGTTCCCCGTCTCCCCGAGCCAAACTCCTCAACCCTGTAGATCCGGCATCCTGCACCCTAAGCCTTAGAGTTGGGTTTATGGTGGTTTAGGGTTGAGGGTTGAGGGTTGAGGGTTGAGGGTTGTTGAGGGTTGAGGAGGGTTGAGGAGGGTTGAGGAGGGTTGAGGGTTGAGGGTTGAGGGTTGAGGGTTGAGGGTTGAGGGTTGAGGGTTGAGGGTTGAGGGTTGAGGGTTGAGGGTTGAGGGTTGAGGGTCTGGGGTTGAGTGTGGCTTCGGGGATTAGTAACGTGGCCCAGACGCTTGATGTGGCGTCGCTGGATGCAGTTGAGGAAAGCCGTCTTCATGATCCTGCGCATCATGCCTGGAAGGCCCAAAGAAAGCTTTGGAGCTAACCCCCCAAACCCTAAACCCTAAACCCCAAACCCTAAACCCTAAACCCCCAAGCGCTAAACCCTAAACCCTAAACCCCCAGCCCTAAACCCTAAACCCTAAAAACTGGCTTGCGGGCTTCAGGGTGTATGGTTGAGGGCTGAAGCCCGTCTCCTCATGGTGTGGGGGCTTGTTGCTGGGGTCCTTTTTGTGATCCAAGAGGCACAGGTCCTTACATGTAGGGTCCGCAAGGGCCCATCACTTGGACCAAACTTGAGCCCGAAATCCTAAACCCTAAACCCTAAACCCTCAACCCTAGAATCCTGAAAATCCCTAGAATGCTCCAACTGCCGCCGTGGTTCTGGGCTCGGAGAACTCCTCCTCCTCTGGCGGAAGGATCAGCCTGGGTACATGACACCCTCAAACCCTCATTCCCACCAAACCCTGAAGCACTTTTGGTGCAACAGGGCTTTTGGGGAGGTTTGGGGGGGTTGGCACTCTTGCAGGTTTAGGGTTTAGGGTTTAGGGTTTGGGGTTTGGGGTTTGGGGTTTGGGGTTTGGGGTTTCGGGTTTCGGGTTTAGGGTTTAGGGTTTAGGGTTTAGGGTTTAGGGTTTAGGGTTTAGGGTTTAGGGTTTAGGGTTTAGGGTGTCCAAGGGTCCCACAACATCGAAGCCGTGAGGCACATTCTTCCGCTGCACGCCCTTGTCCACCTGCTTCAGGCGCACCTCCACCTGCCTCTTCTCCAACTCCAGTTTCTTCATGTCCTGGGGTTGGGGTTTAGGGCTTAGGGCTTAGGGCTTAGGGCTTAGGGCTTAGGGCTTAGGGTTTAGGGTTTAGGGCTTAGGGGTTAGGGTTTAATTAGGGTTCTAAGTAACTTGTCCGAGCCACGGGTATCTCCAACAAAACGACCCAGCTGCGTGAAGCTTTGCTAACCCAAGCCTCTTTGGAGCTACTGCAATCTCAAATCTGGGCGGTTTAGGGTTTAGGTTTTAGGGTTTAGGGTTTAGGGTTTAGGGTTTAGGTTTAAGGGTTGCTGTCACCGGACCTCCTCATACAGATGTGTTTGTAGGGCTCAAAGATTTGGGGGACCGAGGCCTTCTGCTCATAGAAGTGGCTGTTGCGCCGGGACAGCCGGGGCTGAATATCATGGTTGAATCCTAAGAACCAACTTGATTCATGTTGAAACATTAAAACCCTTAACGCCCCTCATGCCCCTCAGTCAAGCCGCTCTTGGAAGCCCTAAACCCTCAAGTCTCAACCCTAAACCCTCAACCCTCAACCCTAAACCCTAAACCCTAAACCCTAAACCCTAAACCCTAAACCCTAAACCCTAAACCCCAAGCCCGTGGTCCTGCCGTATCCGCAGCACCTCCTCCGTGAACTGCCGTCGCTCATCGTCCCGCGTCCTCTGCATGACTTCCACACGCTGCCTGAGGCGAGGGTTTGCGCTTTAGGGCTTAGGGCTTAGGACCCGAGCTCAGGGGCCGATTTCATTAGAATGTGTAGAGCTGGGCAGTTTTTCTTATCATACAGGGCCACCGATCACAGGAGGATAAGTATTTTGGTACTTATCTAGCAGGAAAATTGCAACCTGATGAGAAGACGCAGGGGCCCAATCGACAAATACATGGGACCGGGTCGGAAAAAGCTCCAGTCGGGGGCCCCGTGTTTTCTGATCACCCTAAACCCCACCGGAGTCCCTCTTTACCTACAGTTTTATGGGTTGTACCTACGAATTAAGGGTAACTACTACTAACTAAACTGCAAAGCCCAAAAATCTCAAGAGCAGGCAAGGCGGCTCTGCTTCACAGGACACAGCCTTGCTCTGCGCTGCCTCCTGGTGATCCACGCAGCCAAGACTGAGGGTCGAATGGTCATAGGGTTTAGGGGTCAGGGTTTACGCCTTGAGGGGGCTTTGCTATGGTTGGGGAGGGGGCGGAGGAGGTAGCACAGGATCTCAGATGACTCATCACCATGTGTGGTCATATTTGCTACCGGGGTTTGCTGATTGCAACGTTCTGGGGATTTGGGGCTTTTAGGGTTGCCTAAACGACCCAAAGCCCCAACGCACACGCAGATGGTTGCTTCCGGAAAGACCCTCAACCCCAAATCCCACGAGTCCCCTCCCCAAATCCCACGAGTCCCCTCCCTAAACCCTAAACCCTAAACCCTGAACCCCTAAACCCTAAACCCTAAATCCTAAATCCTACACCGCCCTTCCCCCTCCTCCACGAACTCTTTGATCTGCTGCGAGCGCCCTCGGATCCTGGGGCAACTGAGCTGGCTTGAACCCTCCCAAGACCTTAGGGCTTAGGGATCTTTAGGGTTTGGGGTTTAGGGTGTTAGGGCTTGGGGTTTAGGGTTTAGGGGTTTAGGGTGTAGGGTTTAGGGCTTAGGGTTTAGGGTTTAGGGTGAGACCGCGACACCCCGATTCACCTAGTATTCTTGCCACCCAAGCTCTCTCTCTCTCTCTCTCCCGCAACCCTCTGGGATATGTTCATTCCGCTTGTTTGCGTCTTATTTTTGCGCGTGGCCCTGCCTCGGAGGGGGCCGCTGAATAACCCTTACAGATTGGGATGTTCCCCCTTATGCTAACAGTCCTTAAAGAGGGATTCTGATAGGGGGTGCCCTGATGCCTGTAAAGGACCCCTAGTATAAGTGGGGACATGTTCGATGGCCGTGCTTCTTGGTTGGGAGCTAACCCTAAACCCTAAACCCTAAACCCCAAACCCTAAACCCTAACTTCTGACATAGAGTCTGGCTCTTCAGCCGCTCGAAGATGTGGGCCAGCTGTCGCTTCCGCTTCCGGATCGTCTGGACCTTCATGCTTGGGGGTTTCAGGGTTTAGGGCTCAGGGTTTTAGGGTTTAGGGTGTGGGGTTTAGGGTTTGAGGGTTTCGTGGGCTCAGGGTTTTGGGGTTTGTGGTTTGGGGTTTAGGGTGAGGCTGCAGCTGCAAGGGTTGACAGTCTCCATACCATAAAACCCACAAATTCCTAGAGGGCTTAAGGGGGTTTAGGGTTTAGGGTTTAGGGTTTAGGGTTTAGGGTTTAGGGTTTCGGGTTTAGGGTTTAGGGTTTAGGGTTTAGGGATTTAGGGAGTTGAGGGTGGCCTCAACTCCCCAGAGCCCTGGAACTTTCCTGTGGAGACCGCCTCTTGCTGCATGTGCTCGTTCTTGTGCTTGACGGAGTTCAGCTTCTTCACCTCAGTTTAGGGTTTTAGGGTTTTAGGGTTTTAGGGTTTAGGGTTTTAGGGTTTTAGGGTGTTAGGGTTTTAGGGTTTTAGGGTTTTAGGGTTTTAGGAATTAAGGATTCGGGTCTCTTTGGAGGCTTCGGGGGCTTTGGTGGGGGATGCTTTTATTTTCACACAACCCCGATGTTGCCTTGGGCCCCTGAGGTGATTTTCCTTGGGTTTGGGGACCGCGGTTTAGGGTTTAGGGTTTCGGGTTTAGGGTTTAGGGTTTAGGGTTTAGGGTTTAGGGTTTCGGGCTTAGGGTTTAGGGTTTAGGGTTTCTAAGGGAACATAAGGGCCGTAGCAGGAGTATGGTAAGATGATTGCGGGAACCTCTTCGGGGTACATGGACTCCATTGTCCTAAAGGCCCCAAACCCTAGACCAGAACTAACCCTAATGAGGCGCTTCTTGGGATTCAGCGGCCGCGTTGTACCCCTAAACCCCCTAAACCTCCTACACCCCGAAATCCCGCGACCCCTAAATTAGGGTTTAGGGTTTTAGGGTTTTAGGGTTTAGGATTTAGGGTTTAGGGTTTAGGGTTTAGGGTTTAGGGTTTAGGGTTTAGGGTTTAGGGTTTAGGGTTTAGGGTTTAGGGTTTAGGGTTTAGGGTTTAAATTTAGGGTTTAGGGTTTAGGGGGCCCTAAAGCCCCAAAGCCCCTCAACCCCTAAACCCTCGAGGCTTTCTGGGCGCCTGCACGTCCATCTGCGCCACCAGCTGCTGCATGGGCACCACCCGGTCACCCCATTGGTGGTCGGCCTGCGCTAAAAAAGGTGTGCCGGTGGAGGTTTAGGGTTTAGGGTTCAGGGTTCAGGGTTTAGGACTTAGGGATTAAAGGGTTTGAGGTGAGAGCCGACGTTGCACAAAATGATATCTCTTCAGCTTTGTCACATCGAACTTGACTTCTTTGTGCAATAGCTGTTTACCTATCTCGGTTGCTTTTGCTCGTCTTGTTTGGCCTTCCTTTGCTTTCCCTCTTTCATCTTTTTCTTTTCTATTTATCTGTCTGTCTCCTTCTTGCGGTTGCCTATGCATTTAGCACATGGCACTTGCTGCGTTGCTCAAAAAAAGCAATCCTGCTGAAAATTGTCCTTCACAGCTGCTATCTCAATCTCAGTCTGCATAAGGGGTTTTTATTTGGCTTGCCAATTTGCTCTCCAGAACCCGCGTAAATCATATCTTCCGCTGCGGCACCATCAACCACAATCAACGTCGTGTGGTGGGTTCGATCTGGCTACAATTCTGAAAAACAAGAGTTCAAGCTAGGTGACAGAGGCGGTCTCGCGACAACATTTAGAAATTTCGAAAGTGTTTCCACGCACAAGTTGCACAACTTACAACCCCTAAACGTTTGCTACGTCTGCGTACATGTCATCCACAAACGCATCACGTTTGCATTCTTGACTTTTACCAGGGTCTACACTCAACTGTTCAACTTGCTTCTGTCAGAAAAAGGACATATTTCAACCAGAATACGTCCAGCTTTGTTCCAAGTCACACTTTGAAAACTGTCAAAAGAGCGTGGAAAATGACAGTCTTCCACTCTGACTGTCCGCGCTTGCCGAAGGAGAGACAAGCAATGTTGCCGATTAGGGTGCACAAATTGGTTGATAGCTGCTCAGAAGAGTTTAAAAGGTGGATTTCCCCGGCGGAGCAGTAGCTGTCTTCATTTCCTTGGCAGGCGGGCCACAGTCTCCAAGGTACTCCTTCCATGATGGGCATGGGGCGGTCTGCATGCAAGACCCCATTGTGGACGCTGCAGAAGCCGGAAACTGGAGCAGCTAAGATCAGTGCTGGGTCGTGTGCGGAATTGTGAGACCCCCAATGTGGACAGAGCGATGCGAGACAACCCCCCCCCCCCAGTACAATTTCGGAAGCAAGGAACACTGGAACAGCTCTTGCAAAGCATTGGTTTGGTTTAGGGCATAGAGTTTCAGGTTCTCGGCTTAGAGGGCTTGAAGCGCTGAACTTCCATGAGTAAAGCCCTGTCCTTTGTAGGGCTTCGGAGGCATCTGAGGCTCGAGGCCCATGAGCCCCGAGGCCGTACCCGCCCTTTTTCTAGGGCGCCTGGACCCACAACAGTGGCAGAAGACAGCTCTCTCGGACAACTACAGTTGGGGACCCTTGATCCTCATCGAGTATAGTAGCTTAGCCTCGAACCGAGATAAGCCCTAAACCCTGAGCCCTAAACCCTAAACCCACTAAACCCTAAACCCCCTAAACCCTAAACCCTAAACCCACTAAACCCTAAACCCCCTAAACCCTAAACCCTAAACCCTAAACCCCGAACCCCAAGCTTGGCACCTTGGAGGGCAGGACGATTGAGGACTTCAGGTCCCGCGGCGAGTCCAGGGTCAGGGTGGGCCGGACGCTGCCGCTCCTCTGCTGCTCGGGCTAAACCCTAAACCCTAAACCCTAAACCCTAAACCCTAAACCCTAAACCCTAAACCCTAAACCCTAAACCCTAAACCCTAAACCCTAAACCCTAAACCCTAAACCCTAAACCCAACCCTAAACCCTAAACCCTAAACCCTAAGCCCTAAACCCAAAGCCCTAAACCCTAAACCCTAAACCCTAAACCCTAAACCCTAAACCCTAAATCCAAGCCCTAAAGTTGTCTTGTTGGCGTTTGGGTTTCGAGTTCACCGGTTGCGGATATACTAAGAACTGAAGCACCGAAGCCTCGACCCTGTCCGCAAAAACACCGCACCCGATTTCAGGACCCAAACCCCGCCCCCCTGCGCCCCCCAAAACATCAAGAACCTACACCAAAACCCAAAACCCAAAATTGTAGAACCCTAGAACTATACTAAAACTCTAGAACCCTAGAACCCTAGAACCCTAGAAACCCTAAAGCCTGAACCCCCAAACCCTAAAACGGCCCTAAACCCTAAACCCTACACCCTACACCCTAAACCCTAAACCCTAAACCCTAAACCCGACGCCCCCACGCCCCAACCGTGCCAGGGCGCTTTGGTCGGGTGGAGCTCCGTGGCCGCTCGGTCGCACCGCCGCTCTTCGGCCGCGCGAAGGCCCGCGCGGCGTTTTGCCGCTGCCGGGCCTGGGTTTAGGGTTAGGGTTTTAGGGTTATGGGTTGAGGGTTTTTAGGGTTTTAGGGTTTTGGGGTTTTGGGTTAAGGGTTTATAGGGTTTTAGGGCTTTAGGGTTTTAGGGTTTTGGGTTTAGGGTGTTTAGGGTTTTAGGGCTTTAGGGTTTTAGGGTTTTAGGGGGTTTTAGGGTTTTTGGGTTTTAGGGTTTCAGGGTTTTAGGGTTTTAGGCTTTTAGGTTTTTAGGGTTTTAGGGTTTTAGGGTTTTAGGGTTTTAGGGTTTTAGGGTTTTAGGGTTTTAGGGTTTTAGGGTTTTAGGGTTTTAGGGTTTTAGGGTTTTAGGGTTTTAGGGTTTTAGGGTGTTAGGGTTTTAGAGGGTTTTAGGGCTTTAGAGTTTTTGGGTTTTAGAGGGTTTTAGAGGGCTTTAGGGTTCTTGGGTTTTAGGGTTTTACGGTTTCAGGTTTTTAGGGTTTAGGGCTTAGCGCACTTTCAGGGCTTGAGGGGGTTCAGGGCTTTTGGGACTTTTTGGGCCTTCAGGGGTGTAGGGTTTTGGGTTTGAGGGGTTTAGGGGTTTAGGATTTCGGGGTTCAGGGGAACTTGGAGGTTTGTGGAATTTGTGGGTACTTACAGTTTAACCATCACTGTGCATAGAACCCACATACATGCCCCCCTAGTCCCTCAATAAGGATATATGCAGAGTTTCCTGTCGTTACATTTGGTCTGTAAGTACGCTGAAGCCTCCAGATATACCCGAGGCCTACACGCTGAACCGAGTCTTGTGTCCCCAAGCCTGACCCCTCGAAACGAAGACCAAAATGTTCCCCTTCTGCTTCAGGCTGTGGGCTCTAGCCCGGTGTTGGGCTTGGGGCTCAGCACTCATGCGGGGCCCCGTGGGCTCCACAGGATCAGTGGGTTTGGGGGTCAGGGTGAAGTCCATGCGCCCGAACCCCCGACCCCCCCCACCCCCCCCCCCCACGACATGCTCATTGAATGCAAAGCGATGATGAAAATGAAGGCGTCATCTCGCAATGTATACTTTCTAAGATTCCTTCCGAGCCCTCCAAGCCCCTCGATATCCGCAAGCCGCGCTGTTTGGGTTTAGGGTTTTAGGGTTGTAGTGCTGAGGATCTAATGGCCCTAAACCCTAAACCCTAAGGCCCTAAACCCTACAAGAGGCTAAGCGTTCAGAGGCATAGGCCGCGGGCCTGTGTCTCTTTGACCATGTGCGTCTTGTGGGCAGCCTGCTCCGGGAGGTCTCCAGGGCTTTCAAAGCTCCAGAGGCCTGCCTACAGACCCTAAATTTCCTAAACCCTAAACCCTAAACCCTAAACCCTAAACCCTAAACCCTAAACCCTAAACCCTAAACCTCTCTTTCATATATAATTTAAATGTTAAGGAGTTACTGGGTAAGGTCGCCGTTTTACTGGGCAAGGTCGCCGTTTTACTGGGCAAGGTCAGTTCGGTCAAAAAAATCGACCTTGCCCAGTAAAACGGCGACCTTGCCCAGTAAAACGGCGACCTTGCCCAGTAAATCGGCGACCTTCCGCCCCTGCCCAGTAAAATGCGACCTTGGACCCCGAAGGTCGCCGTTTTACTGGGCAAGGTCGCCGTTTTACTGGGCAAGGTCGATTTTTTGACCAAAATCGACCTTGCCCAGTAAAACGGCGACCTTGCCCAGTAAAACGGCGACCTTCGGGGCCGAAGGTAGCATTTTTACTGGGCATGGGGTGGTGTCCGAAGGTCGCCGTTTTACTGGGCAAGGTCGGCAAGGTCGCCGTTTTACTGGGCAAGGTCGCCGTTTTACTGGGCAAGGTCGCTGTTTTACTGGGCAAGGTCGCCGTTTTACTGGGCAAGGTCGCCGTTTTACTGGGCAAGGTCGCTGTTTTACTGGGCAAGGTCGCCGTTTTACTGGGCAAGGTCGCCGCTTTATTGGGCAAGGTCGCCGTTTTACTGGGCAAGGTCGCTGTTTTACTGGGCAAGGTCGCCGTTTTATTGGGCATGGGCAAGGTCGTTCTATAAGTAAAATATTTTCTTAATGTTGTGGGATTCTTTGGGCGGGTGGGTATTTTCCTGGAGTAATTGCTTGACTAGTGAATGCTTGGACTTGAGATGCTGAACCCTAAACCCTAAACCCTAAACCCGAAACCCTCACCCCTAAGCGAAACCTACGGCTTCAAAGGGGCCAATCCTTGAGGGATCTCAGGGCGGAAGCTGCCGTTTTTACCCTCAACCCTAAACCCCTAAAACCTAAACCCCCTAAACCCCCTAAACCCCCTAAACCCCCTAAACCCCCTAAACCCCCTAAACCCCCTAAACCCCCTAAACCCCCTAAACCCCTAAACCCCCTAAACCCCCTAAACCCCCTAAAAAACCCCCTAAACCCCTAAACACCCCCTTACCCTAAATAACCCCTAAACCCCCTAAACCCCTAAAACCCCCTAAACCCCCCAAAACCCCCCTAAACCCCCTAAACCCCCTAAACCCCCCCCTAAACCCCCCAAACCCCCTAAACCCCCTAAACCCCCTAAACCCCCTAAACCCCCTAAACCCCCTAAACCCCCTAAACCCCCTAAACCCCCTAAACCCCCTAAACCCCCTAAACCCCCTAAACCCCCTAAACCCCCTAAACCCCCTAAACCCCCTAAACCCCCTAAGCCCTAAACCTTGGGATGCTCACAGTGGGGGTGTTCCCCCTTCTACTTACAGTCCTTAGCATAGGAATTCTGGTACACCCTATTCTAATCCCTGCTAAGGACTGTTTGTATATGGGGGGAACATCCCAACCCTAAACCCTAAAGCCTAAAGCCTAAAGCCCTAGAGCCTTAAGCCTAAAGCCCTAAAGCCCTAAAGCCCTAAAGCCCTAAAGCCCTAAAGCCCTAAAGCCCTAAAGCCCTAAAGCCCTAAAGCCCTAAAGCCCTAAAGCCCTAAAGCCCTAAAGCCCTAAAGCCCTAGAGCCCTAAAGCCTAAAGCCCTAAAGCCCTAGACAAAGACCAAAACCAACCGGCGGCCTCCAATTCCTTGTCCAGGCGCTTGAGGCGCCGCTTCTCCAGCTCGAGACGCCGCGTCATGATCTCGATCTCATGGTGCATGCGATCGACCTCGGGTTTAGGGTTTTAGGTTTTAGGGTTTAGGGTTTGGGGTTTAGGGTTTAGGGTTTAGGGTTTAGGGTTTAGGGTTTAGGGTTTAGGGTCTGCTTATTGTTGGTTCGCAGGGAATGGGGGAATGGAGTACACTATATAATCCCTTAAAGGGTATATACATGGGGCCCTAATTCGCTCATTCCCTGCGAACCAACAGTAAGCCTGCTGGCACCCGATGTTTCAGGATTCAGGGATTGGGGATGCGGGTTTACGGCTTGGGGGGTTTAGGGTGTAGGTTTAAGGATTGGGCGGTTGAGGGTCAGGGGCTTTGGCGTTAGGGCTCTGGGGCTTTGGGGTTCCCAGTTGCTGTTGAGGGGCTTTGTGGTTCAGGACTTGGCGTTGGGGTTTGGGGGTTAATTAGGGTTTGGGGGTTTATTAGGGTTTGAAGTTTAATGGCTTTGAGGGTTGAAAGGACTCAAAGGTTTGGGGTTTAAACCCGAAGTCCCTGTCCCGAAAACCTAAATCCACAAACTCCGCAGCTTTGTAGACACCTCAAGGTTCTTTGCCGGAGACAACGCGCAAACCCGGCGGCGAGACTCAGGACCTTCTCGGGCTTCTAGGATTTCTAGGGTTTCTAGACCCCAATGCCGAAACTCCATCATGCGGGAGAGTTTTTGGCTGTCAAGTCAAGGTTAGCTTCGTTGAGGGTTTGGGGCTCGGGTTTAAGGTTTAGGGCAAATTTATAGGGTTTAGGGGTTTGGGGTTTAGGGTCAAGGTGTAGGAACTCTCGGAACAAACGCCCGTGTCTGCCAAACGATCTTGAACCGCACCCTGCGTACAGGCTGCCAGCGTTTCACCCGCCATGGCGCCCCAACTGCAACAGCAGTTTTGGTAGCAAAGGCTTTAGGGCGTTCAGGTTTCAGGGTACTTCTGTCTGCTCGCTGTGAGCCTTGACCATAAGCGAAAACCGCTCCTATGAGAGAGCACGTCTCCCGAGAAAGGCCTTTAGGGCTGCGAGGGTCCTAAACCTGTAGGGCTTTGGAGGGCCAGGGCTTCGGATGATTTTTAAAAGGATTCCTGGTCACATACTAGCGCTTGGGGATTCTTGGGAGCTCACAGGATACTTCATGGATGTTGCGTGACGCACAGGGCCATGCCTAGAGCCAAGAAGGCAAACGTCAGCACGCGTTTTGCCTCTGGGTCGTGTGTGCTTGACATTGGCAGCCAGCGTTGAGCCTTTCACTCCCGTCGAAGTGCGGGAGCCTTTTTTCCAGGTGCGCTCTGATAAGTTTTTACGGTCTGGGCTTGGCTTAGGTTGAAAAACGTTGCCAGAGCAACGTTGATTTTCTCCGCATCTCGGAAGACGTCGCCTGCTTGGCAGGCTTGCGCGGAGTTCGGGCTGCAGCACTCGGCTCACCCTTCCCGGCCGCTTGCGCGGTGCTGGGAAAGGCGGGCCTAGAGGCTGCCTTGTGCCTGCAAGGTGCATCCAGCACACGAGCGAGTGCACTATTCCCAGCGTTGGGCGTCAAACTTCGCCCTGTCTAAAAGTACATGACCTGTGAAGACACCGCGCCTTCAGAGCCTCTAGTTCTCAAGCTTCTCAACCTTGGAATCTACCTCATTGTAGGGGCCCTCAACGAAACCCATCTTCTGCATGCCCACGTGCGCCGCAAAGAACAGGGTGGCCAAAGTCCACGAGACTGCCCAGCGCCAACCGTTGTTGTACTCGTGGTCCTCCTTGCCGTAGAAGCCGATCTTCTCATCTCCCTCCGTCGGTGGCACGCTGTCGTTCGGAGCGTTGTGGCTGGCAAAGAAGCCAAAGAGCGAAAGCCAGATGGCCACGAAGGAGAGGACGGTGGCCTTCAAGAAGTCCCGATCGATGCAGAGGCAGAAGAGCCATGTGATCACGACGCTGAACATGAGACCCCCAGCCTGCCCCATCATCAGGATACCCTCGTTCGAGTTCCCAAGCTTCGCCCAGTTGCAAAGGTACGGGAAGAGGCTGAGCAGCAGAGCGGGGTAGTGCCGCGCGGGCGTCTCCTCGAACGCCTGGCGCCCCAAGATCAGGCCGACAAAGACGAGGATGGAGCCGCTGGCGCACTCGGGCAAGGACTGGTACAGCGCGGCGAACACCCCGCTGAGCAGGAGGATGAAGTAGAGAATGCCGTTGATGAGGCTGTAGCCACGCTTGGCACCCAGGTTCTTGTGGATGGGGTGGCCAATGTACACCGTGGTGGAGTAGAATGATCCGAAGAGAGCCCCGATGCAGGTGCCCAGGCCGTCAATGATCATGGTCTCCGCCATGGGATAGTCGTCGCCGGCGGCAGAGGCACTTTCAACACAGCTCATGGTTCCAACAAAGCCCACCACGCCCACGAGGAAGAGAGTTGTGATGAAGCTGCCAATTTCGGCGAAGCCACCAAGGCCCACGAAAACAGCGTTGGAGAGTATGTTGTCCTGAAAGGCATAGGTGTCCCATGCACGCTGGGCCTCTGTCTGGGATGTGCCAGTGCAAGTGACCTTGGTGGAGTCGAAGTACTGCAGGGTGTAGCCGTACTTGGTCGCGCCCAGCGTGCCGCCCTCACGGGCGCAAGCGCCGGACCAGCCAGCAATGGCCGCGGCCAGGATTGCGAGGAGGCCAATGGGGAGGGTCAGCTTCTTGAAGATATGATACCTGGGTCCATGGGGGCTTTCATGATTGTTCTCTTGAAGATGTTTTGATTGGTTGCCGCGTTTAAGCGGGCTTTGCAACGCAGTGACAGGTACGCGCACTGCCAAGCAAGCCGAGATGCCGGACACCGCCGAAGAAGCCGTTGAACACGATGAGGAGCGGGATCAGGCAGACCATGGGCTCCATCGCAATATTCAGCATTGGAACCTGCACTGCGACGGCAGGTCCACTGAGAAGTCTAGGCCATGCTGGCTGGGCACCGCGAAGGAGCGTAGTACTTGCATGTATACTTGTCACTTGTCAGCTACGCCAGCTACGTGCATCCACGCACATCTACGTGTAGTGCTGGGAAGACTTGCCAGATAAAAGAACAGGAAACCGAGGCAACACAAGCGGCTTCGCACAAGTATAGTGCTGCCGCGGTGCGAAGGCCAGATACACAAAGCCGACACCCACCATGGGCGCATAGAACGCGGCCACGGGCGCGGCCTTGCGGATACTCTCGCCAACGAAGGCACCCAACATCTCGAAGATGCCGAGCAAGAAGTTGGCCGCCACGGAGACTTTCCAGGCGTGGTCCGCGGCGTTGACGGCAGCCGCGCGGATGTCGGCGTCCGATGCGCCCGCGCCCGGGAGATAGGTGAAGCCAGCAGAGATCAGGGCCTCCAGCTGGATGGCATAGAGGGTGATGTACACGCCCGTGGTGTTGATGCCATAGGGCTGGGCCGTGACGTCCTCACGGTTCTCCTTGTTGCCCAGGCGCCCGCACTGCCAAGCGTAGTAGAGGTTCCCCAGCAAGAGGGCGAAGGCGCAGCCGGGGATGTTGCGCGAGAAGTAGACCTTCTCCCACTCTTGGGCGATGGCAACTCCATAGCTCGGGCCGCTGGTCATACCCACAGCTGCGAAGGCTCCAAGGTTGCCCACGATGCCATAGCCGATGTGGCCCACGGCTGAGCCGGTCGTGCCCAGCAAGGACCCCAGGTTATCCACGAAGAGCTCGGAAAGCCCTTCCGCCTCACCGGAACCTGTCCAAATGGGGATCTTCGTGTTCCAGGCAAGGCTCGTGCCCTGCCACCAGGCGAAGGGGTTCTCGAACCACTTCCGCTCCGGCTTGTCCGCTCTCGATAGCTTCAAGTCCGCGGCCATGTCGCTTCAGGATGAGAAGGCGCTGGTCTCCCCGGTGACACGGACCCTTTGAGCCCAAACGGCTTCAGAAAACAACGACCCTTCGAAACATCTCGCCTCTGCGAGGCTCCGTGTCGGTACGTGAGCTTGGCAGCCGTCACTCTCCAAACAGCCAAACACATATCCATTCGGCTCCAGACTTTGTTCCGGCCTTTGTTGCCAGCGTCGGATGCCCCCGGTCCCCCCGTGAGAAAATACATGAGTACATGGGAACAGCATCCGATGTAGGCCCTAGGCCCTCAACCCTACAATCATGCTCTAAGCCCTCTAAACTCCCAAGCCCATAAACCCCCCTACGCCCCTACATCCTAGCTTCAGAACCTAGAACCCCTTCTTGCTACCTGCGGATCCTCCAAGTGCCACTATACAATGCAAGCGTGCAACAAATACGTCTTGAGGGCCTAAGCCTTCAACCCTCAACCCTAAACCCTAAACCCTTTGGCAGGCTCCTCTGTCTGTTGCATGTGGGTTTACGAAATACGGGCCCCCCAACATGGACCCTGAGTAGTAGGATTCCCTTCTTACAAGGACCCCGGTGAGGTACCCCGAAACCCTAAACCCTAAACCCTAAACCCTAAACCCTTAACCCTTAACCCTTAACCCTTAACCCTTAACCCTGACCCTAAACCCTAAACCCTTAACCCTGACCCTAAACCATTTCGGAAACCCCCGCATCATCATGGAATCACGGCTGGTCGGGTGGGCCGCATCTCGGTCTGCGTAGTGGAGGCCTCCGGGTGTGGTTTTCCCAAAGGCTCCTAGTCTAGTATACCTTTTTGGGGCAGTATACTAGAATCCCCTATATAACTAACCCAAAAAGGAACTACATTGGAGATTTTTTGGGTAGGTTGCCGGGTTTAGGGTTTCGGGGACTTAGACGGGGTTTGGGGCCCACGTCTCGTTCTGCAGCAGGCGCTTGAGGTTCTTGCCCCGAATGACTTCATACATCGAACCGATAATTAGGGCTTAGGGCTTCGGGGTGTAGGGGTTTAGTGGTTTAGGGCCGGCGCGTTCAGGTCATCAAGCCCTGCGCGCTAAAGCGCCAATTTCGAAAACGGGGCAAAATATTGGGGGGGTGTTTAGGGTTTAGGGTTTAGGGTTTAGGGTTTAGGGTTTAGGGTTTAGGGTTTAGGGTTTAGGGTTTAGGGTTTAGGGTTTAGGGTTTAGGGTTTAGGGTTTAGGGTTTAGGGGTTAGGGTTTAGGGTTTAGGGGGTTTAGGGTTTAGGGTTTAGGGTTTTGGGTTTTAGGGTTTAGGGGTTTGAGAGGGAAGGAAGGTGCGGGGGGGGGGGGGGGGGGGGGGAACCTGTTTAGATGGGGGTTCTCGGATTATCAAGGCTGCAACGCTAAAGGATTGTAGCATAACCCAAAACCCCAAACCCTAAACCCTAAACTGTGGCTGTCTTCAGTCAGCGGCTCAGAAGTCAACATGTCAGAAAGATTTGGGTAGGTTATATGTGGGGTTTCCGAAAATAGGGGTGCCCTTCTTGGGGCTCTCTTAAAGGGATTCTGTATTTTGGGGCAGAAGTTGGGGCACCCCGTAGAGAGTAGAAGGGATCATGCTGACGACATTTTTAGGCTCCTGCGTTGGGGTTTTGAAGTGGGAAGCCGATCCAACTCCCAGCTGCAACCCCAAACCCTAAACCCTGAAACCTAAACCCGAAGCCCTAAACCCTAAGCCCTAAACCCGAAACCCCTGGAAGAACTGCACCACCCCCGAGAGAGGAAAAAAAAGGGTATCCTTTTTGGCTTAAAGAGGCCGACATCCAAACTAAATCCCAATGCGGACGCTGCACGTCGCTCTGAATGTCTGGAAGCTTAAAACTCACGATGCCTGGCGGATGCTCATGTTTTCGGCACTTCTTACAACACTCCTTTCAAAAAAGCTTCTGGTAGAACGTCTCTGCGTGAAGTGCGACTCCAAATGCGATGCTCTCACATGCGTATCTCTACCATGTGATGCGAAAAAAGAGGAGGCCCAAAGCAAACCTGAACCCTATACACCCCCATAAGCGCTACAAACCCTGAAAATCGTATTAAACCCCACATTTAAACCACTGTAGTTAAGCACATATATAAGCCCCATAGTTAACCCTGCATTATAAAGTCCGGTGGCCTCTTTATCTGTTACCCTTCTACCTTAATGAATATAGCCCCAGATACCCTAATGATTAGAACCCGGAAGATATGCCCCCATAAAACAGAAACCCTACTTCAAGAGACTCGGAACCCTACAGTATAAACTTAAACAATCCTTAAACCCCGAACCCCCTAAACCCCAAACCCTAAACCCTAAAGCCTAAACCCCAACAAGCCTTAAACCCCGAACCCTTTTACCAAAACACCCTGCTCCCAGCCTCTGGCGCATCCAGGGATGGACTCGCGAGTCGAGGGGTTTAGGGTTTAGGGTTTAGGGTTGAGGGTTTAGGGTTTAGGGTTTAGGGTTTAGGGTTTAGGGTTTCGGGTTTGGGGTTTAGGGTTTAGGGCTTAGGGCTTAGGGCTTAGGGTTTAGGGTTTAGCGTAGACAGCCGAGAGCATGGCTCCTGGAGCCAAGAAGGCCAGCGGGGCCGTGTGTTGCTGCATGCTGAAACATGCTTGAACTTGGCAGCCAACGTTGAGCCTTTCCATCGGCGTGCGGGTGCCTTTTTTCCAGGTGCGCTCTGATAAGTTTTTACGGTACGGGCTTGGCTTAGGTTGAAAAACGTTGCCAGAGCAACGTTGACTTTCTCCGCATCTCGGAAGACGTCGCCTGCTTGGCAGGCTTGCGCGGAGTTCGGGCTGCAGCACTCGGCTCACCCTTCCCGGCCGCTGCGCGGTGCTGGGAAAGGCGGGCCTAGAGGCTGCCTTGTGCCTGCAAGGTGCATCCAGCACACGAGCGAGTGCACTATTCCCAGCGTTGGGCGTCAAACTTCGCCCTGTCTAAAAGTACATGACCTGTGAAGACACCGCGCCTTCAGAGCCTCTAGTTCTCAAGCTTCTCAACCTTGGAATCTACCTCATTGTAGGGGCCCTCAACGAAACCCATCTTCTGCATGCCCACGTGCGCCGCAAAGAACAGGGTGGCCAAAGTCCACGAGACTGCCCAGCGCCAACCGTTGTTGTACTCGTGGTCCTCCTTGCCGTAGAAGCCGATCTTCTCATCTCCCTCCGTCGGTGGCACGCTGTCGTTCGGAGCGTTGTGGCTGGCAAAGAAGCCAAAGAGCGAAAGCCAGATGGCCACGAAGGAGAGGACGGTGGCCTTCAAGAAGTCCCGATCGATGCAGAGGCAGAAGAGCCATGTGATCACGACGCTGAACATGAGACCCCCAGCCTGCCCCATCATCAGGATACCCTCGTTCGAGTTCCCAAGCTTCGCCCAGTTGCAAAGGTACGGGAAGAGGCTGAGCAGCAGAGCGGGGTAGTGCCGCGCGGGCGTCTCCTCGAACGCCTGGCGCCCCAAGATCAGGCCGACAAAGACGAGGATGGAGCCGCTGGCGCACTCGGGCAAGGACTGGTACAGCGCGGCGAACACCCCGCTGAGCAGGAGGATGAAGTAGAGAATGCCGTTGATGAGGCTGTAGCCACGCTTGGCACCCAGATTCTTGTGGATGGGGTGGCCAATGTACACCGTGGTGGAGTAGAATGATCCGAAGAGAGCCCCGATGCAGGTGCCCAGGCCGTCAATGATCATGGTCTCCGCCATGGGATAGTCGTCGCCGGCGGCAGAGGCACTTTCAACACAGCTCATGGTTCCAACAAAGCCCACCACGCCCACGAGGAAGAGAGTTGTGATGAAGCTGCCAATTTCGGCGAAGCCACCGAGGCCCACGAAAACAGCGTTGGAGAGTATGTTGTCCTGAAAGGCATAGGTGTCCCATGCACGCTGGGCCTCTGTCTGGGATGTGCCAGTGCAAGTGACCTTGGTGGAGTCGAAGTACTGCAGGGTGTAGCCGTACTTGGTCGCGCCCAGCGTGCCGCCCTCACGGGCGCAAGCGCCGGACCAGCCAGCAATGGCCGCGGCCAGGATTGCGAGGAGGCCAATGGGGAGGGTCAGCTTCTTGAAGATATGATACCTGGGTCCATGGGGGCTTTCATGATTGTTCTCTTGAAGATGTTTTGATTGGTTGCCGCGTTTAAGCGGGCTTTGCAACGCAGTGACAGGTACGCGCACTGCCAAGCAAGCCGAGATGCCGGACACCGCCGAAGAAGCCGTTGAACACGATGAGGAGCGGGATCAGGCAGACCATGGGCTCCATCGCAATATTCAGCATTGGAACCTGCACTGCGACGGCAGGTCCACTGAGAAGTCTAGGCCATGCTGGCTGGGGGCAGTACTGAACTCACCGCGAAGGAGCGTAGTACTTGCATGTATACTTGTCACTTGTCAGCTACGCCAGCTACGTGCATCCACGCACATCTACGTGTAGTGCTGGGAAGACTTGCCAGATAAAAGAACAGGAAACCGAGGCAACACAAGCGGCTTCGCACAAGTATAGTGCTGCCGCGGTGCGAAGGCCAGATACACAAAGCCGACACCCACCATGGGCGCATAGAACGCGGCCACGGGCGCGGCCTTGCGGATACTCTCGCCAACGAAGGCACCCAACATCTCGAAGATGCCGAGCAAGAAGTTGGCCGCCACGGAGACTTTCCAGGCGTGGTCCGCGGCGTTGACGGCAGCCGCGCGGATGTCGGCGTCCGATGCGCCCGCGCCCGGGAGATAGGTGAAGCCAGCAGAGATCAGGGCCTCCAGCTGGATGGCATAGAGGGTGATGTACACGCCCGTGGTGTTGATGCCATAGGGCTGGGCCGTGACGTCCTCACGGTTCTCCTTGTTGCCCAGGCGCCCGCACTGCCAAGCGTAGTAGAGGTTCCCCAGCAAGAGGGCGAAGGCGCAGCCGGGGATGTTGCGCGAGAAGTAGACCTTCTCCCACTCTTGGGCGATGGCAACTCCATAGCTCGGGCCGCTGGTCATACCCACAGCTGCGAAGGCTCCAAGGTTGCCCACGATGCCATAGCCGATGTGGCCCACGGCTGAGCCGGTCGTGCCCAGCAAGGACCCCAGGTTATCCACGAAGAGCTCGGAAAGCCCTTCCGCCTCACCGGAACCTGTCCAAATGGGGATCTTCGTGTTCCAGGCAAGGCTCGTGCCCTGCCACCAGGCGAAGGGGTTCTCGAACCACTTCCGCTCCGGCTTGTCCGCTCTCGATAGCTTCAAGTCCGCGGCCATGTCGCTTCAGGATGAGAAGGCGCTGGTCTCCCCGGTGACACGGACCCTTTGAGCCCAAACGGCTTCAGAAAACAACGACCCTTCGAAACATCTCGCCTCTGCGAGGCTCCGTGTCGGTACGCAAGCTTCCAAACACATATGAAGTAGGGTTTATATATCTTGTACCCCCAAAGGACACCAGGTATATATACGATCACCAACATTCAAAAGGAACCTTATACACGCTTGCCAAGAACAGTAATATACACCCTGCTTCATATCTAATCGGCCCCAAAGGCGATATCGCCGGCCTGGTCCAGGGACTCCGGCTATGCAGCGCCTTTTCTGAGACGGTTTGCAGAGGTTCTTCATCTTGCCACTGGCTCCTGCTCGGAGATGGGTACCTCTGAGTTGGGCTTATAAGTGCCCTAAATAAGGTTATGGCCAACTGCAACTAACCCTGCGTAACCCTACTTACATAATTGTAAGTACTCAGGAATCTGTCTAAGTAATGAGGGATCTCGGCAGGTTCTAAGAACAGCGCGGCAAGTTCCCTGAGTTAGGGGCCCCTGCTGGAGGTTTGTCAATGCACAGTCTTAGATTTGGGACCCCCCCCAACGAGGTCATAACTCAGAGGACTGCTCACATTGACCAAAAGAGTGATGCCGCATTTTAGCAGCAGGTCCTGCCAAGACCGCTGGCAACAGAAGAACGTCGGTATAAGCACTGTGGAGCCTGTTGCAGATGATGCACGTGCTTTGGTGCACCACCGTGGGCTTGCCGGAAAGAAGCATGGGGAAACTCAAGCAAAAGCTGTCGCATTTTGGGGTGGGCAACGCGCAGTTCGGCAAGGCGGCTGGCCGGGTGCCATAGGTCTCACGGCACCTTCTGACCCCAAAAGAGCGTTCTCTGTACAGATAGATAGCCGAAGTCTCCGGCAGTCGGAACAAACAGGACCAATATCCGAAACACGTCTCAAGCCTGAAGAGCACCCTCCACGTCAGCTTGAGGCATGACTGGAGGACTGCGGCTCACGCAGCCCTGGAAACAGGAACCCAATAAACGCTAAAATTTCTTTGTCACACACCGTTTCAGTGCACCAGCGGGAAGCTCTGATCTTCGGCGTCATCCTCGCAGAACTTGGCGCGTACCTGCGCAGTCTGCGTTGATGGTATCTTGGACATCTTCGACAGGGGGGGGGGGGGGGGCTTCAGGATTTGGTGGCGCAGCAGCCCATGTTCACAGGCTTGGCTCCAGGGTTTCGGGGTACTTTGACTTGTCCAAGAAGGCCCAAAAAAGCCCCCTAAACCCGGAAAGACACTAGTAACAAGGCACTTGCAGGTCCCGCCTGCTTCGCCAGCTTCTCCGACAAGAGGGGTTGCATGGCCTGGCTCTGCTGGAGGCTCTCGAGGATGCGCTCCAAGCCTTGTGTTTGTTGTGTGTGTGTGTGTGTGTGTTTTTTTTTGTTTTCTTTTTTTTGTTGGCGGGGGGGGGGGGGGGGGTTCGACCCTAAACCCTAAAAGTGCTCTGAGTCCCAAGACTCCTACATCCCCCACAGGATTTGGGGCTTTGGGTTGTTTTACCTGAGCCCCAAAACCTTCTTGTTTGTTGGGCCATTGCTCTATGGTAAAACCCTAAACCCCAAACCCTAAATCCGAAAACCCCACTTAAAGACTTCTTACTTGTAGGCGTCTGTAGACGGATGCTGGGATTGGGGGTTTGAGGGTGTGGAGGGTATAGGGCTAAGTGTCCCTATAACCCCCTAGAGGAACCTAGGAATAAAGGGTGCCCTTTTTGGTTTAAAGGGGGCTTATACGGGAACCCCAACCCTACAAAAAGGAATACTACAGGGGTCGGAATTATTACTAATATTCCCTTATGATCCCTTTATAGATATGCTTCATTATCCCCCAAAACCCTATTCCCAACTATTCCGACCCCCCGATTAAGGGTCCTAAATGTGAGACTCAGCAGATGCGAAAGGCTCTGCTGCAGCACGTCCATGTTCTCCAGCGGCTCCTGGGGGTCTGCTACTTGGTTCGGGTTTCGGGTTTAGGGTCGGTTCCCTTCGCGAGTACACTCAGGCACACACAGGGGGCTTATTTGGGGATTGTACAAGACTTATATACAGGGCGTCGTGTTCACCCTAAACCCTCAACCCCTTTTACGCAGGGACTGCGCAAGACCTTCTGCACATGGAAGTGAGCAACTCTTCCCAGGCTCACTAGCTCATGGTCGGGATGGCATGAAATACTTACATGATTTACATGTCTTCTTGGGTTTTAAGTACCCTTAGAAATGTAAAATGTTACCCAACTATGACAAAGCTCCGGGCTGCGTTCCCTTAGCAGAAGAAGCTCCCCGAAGAGCGTGCTGACTTGGAGAGCCTGAGGCGGCCCAAGTTCAGGGTTTAGGGTTAACAGGGTTTAGGGTTTAAGGTTTAGGGTTTAGGGTTTAGGGCTTAGGGTTTAGGGTTTAGGGTTTAGGGTTTCGGGTGCACAGGGTTTAGGGTTAACAGTTGGGATGTTTCCTCTTATACTAACTTAATGGGGAGTATAGTACCCCCCCCCTATTCTAGTCCCTATTAAGAACTGCTAGTGTAAGGGGGAACATCCCAAGTTAACAGGGTTTAGGGTTAACAGGCTTTAGGATTAACAAGGTTTAGGGCTAACAGGGTAAAAGAGTTTAGGGTTTAAGGCTTTCGGGTTCAGAGTAAGAGCGTTTACTTAAGGGTTTAAGGCTCCAGGGCTAGAAGGGACGCAGACGGCGACCACACTCTCCCTGAAGAAAGTACCCTCAGGATTCTTGAAATTGGGAGCTTCGGAAGGTCTATATCAAGCCTATCAAGCCTATATGAAGCTTCATATATAGCCTAAACCAGAAGGGGGGCCCTAGAAAATCGGATTAGGGTCGAGGCTTGAGGGTTTAGGGTTGTAGGGTACCCAAACCCCCGAACCCTAAGCTGCGCGCAGACCAGCGGCCGTTTGCGCCATGAGCCCCTCGCCAAGAGTCTGGTTCAGCACCCGACCCACATGGTCCGAGAAGACGTGAGGGTCCTGGTCTCGTGAAGGCATGTAACGTAGGGGCCTTAATGATTCGCCTCGGCTTCCTGCCAAGAAGCGTTTGGAACAAGCAGACACGCATCCGGTCTCCCCCGGCCCTGTGCGGCCCCCCCCCCCCCCATAAACCGATGCCGGGGGACCTTCCCTGACAGCCATCCTGGCCTGCCGTGGGACTTCCTGGACCCTTCCTGGGTTCCGTCGGACTCTGGGAACCGCCCCTCCTTTTGTTGAAGCCCTCTCCTCCTTCCTGTGGGCGGCCCGGCTGCCGAGGCGGCGCGCGCAAGCGTTCACCATCAGAATAGGGTTTGGGGGTGTATTCTAGCAGAATAGTAAATGGTGATCATTCTGACCCCCTGCTCAGACATGAAGCATCGCTATTTGCTGAGATATTCCGACCCCTATAGTAGCAGAGGGCCTTCGGAAGGCGGGGGAGTGTGCCGACATCCTCCCCGGCCCCTGGTTGGGACATGAGAGTAAAGACGGCGATTCACCGATTTATTCATAGACGATGATATTCTGTGAAAAGTGCGGGTGAGGACTCCAAACTACAGCTACGTAGCGCTTCTTTAAACCCCTAACTAACCTCAGCCAAAAGCGATGAGCCTCACGTTGCCAGAAACGCACTGGGGTTTAGGGTGTAGGGTTTAGGGTTTAGGGTTTAGGGTTTAGGGTTTAGGGTTTAGGGTTTAGGGTTTAGGGTTTAGGGTTTAGGATTTAGGGTTTTAGGGCATCCCCTACTTCCCTCCCCTCCTGGCAGAGTCGTAGATCGGCCCCATCCACAGCGAACTCCTCCCAAAACTTGTCTTGAAACCCTATGATAGGGATCCCTTTGCCTGCTCTGTTGGGGGTTTAGGGTTTAGGGTTTGGGGTTTAGGGTTTAGGGCTTAGGGTTTAGGGGCTATGCCATGATGCACGGTGGTTGTAACCTACTACGTTGTTGGGTTTGGGGGTCCCAGGTATGATGAGGAATCCTCATCGGATCTAGGACATTCTAAAACCCCAGATACCTACACCCTAAACCGTAAACCCCTGAACCCCTACAGTAAACCCCTAAACCCCTAAACCCCCAAACCCCTAAACCTTAAACCCTAAACCCTAGCCCTAAACCCTAAACCCTAAACCCTAAACCCTAAACCCTAAACCCTAAACCCTAAACCCTAAACCCTAAACCCTAAACCCTAGCCCTAAATCCTAAACCCCTAAACCCTGAACTCTTCCCCCATGTTTACACGAGCGCCTCTGCAGCGACCCTGACATCCTCGAGACCTCGGTGGATCAAGCTGTTGGGGGGTGGTCTGGGGTTTGGGGTTTAGGGTTTGGGGTTTAGGGTTTGGAGTTAAGGGTTTAGGGTTTGGAGAATAGGGTTTGGGGTTTAGGGTTTGGGGTTTAGGGTTTGGGGTTTGGGGTTAGGGGCATTTGAAGCATTTAGGGGCCTGTGTGGTTTGTAGGATACCAGCATGTCAGAATGTCACAATGAGCCCCTGACATCTCTTGTGTCCTTGCTCTGCTGCGCTCACCTTCGATCCCTACAAGCCCTGAACCCTGAACTCCATGAACCCTCTAACCCCTACAAGCCCTAAAAAACCCTCTAAAACCTTTAAAGCCATTTTAGCCCTGTAAGCCTGATAAACCAAATTAACCATAACATCCTTCCCCCTAGATTCTAGACCCTAGACCCTAGACCCTAAATAAACCCTAAACCCCGAGAGAGCAGCAATTATGCCTCTTTCTGCGCGAGGCGCTCAGCTTGATCAGGGCGTTGGAGTCCACCACCTGAGGGTTCTGAGGGTTTAGGGTTTAGGGTTTAGGGCTTAGGGCTTAGGGTTTAGGGTTTAGGGTTTAGGGTTTAGGGTTTAGGGTTTAGGGTTTAGGGTTTAGGGTTTAGGGTTTAGGGTTTAGGGTTTAGGGTTACAATACTTTATAGAGTTTATAGGGCTGTCGGGGTTTATAGGGCTTATAGTGCAACAGAAAAGACGTGAGGTCGGTTGCGTCACGAGGGTGAGACGGAGATGGGCCAGGAAAGGAGCTAGGCTTTTCAGGGAGTTTGTTTTTGGGTTTCTTTGGGTGATTTTTCGAGTGTGCTGCAAAGGGATTCTGTTTTACAAGGCATGTTTTTGAATTTTCTGTGTGAACATATGTGAGTTTTATATATTGTCCAGGGCTTGCGGGGTTTGATACGCTTATAGGGTCTTATAGCGCTTGTACGGGGTCATGGGGTCTGTAGAGCTTGAGGGTCTACAGGGTTTACGAGGTTTAGGGTCTGCCCCGGGCCTTTACGGGTGAGAGTGGGGCCAGAGGCGATTGAAGAAATCTCGAGCCCCCTAGTACCCCAAACCCTGACCCCTAAACCCTAGACCCTAAACCCTAAACCCTAGACCCTAAACCCTAAACCCTCTAATGGCCCTGACAAGGCGCACTTGGGGGCGGGGATGCTGAGCACAGTTTGGTGGAGTTTTTTTGGGCTTCTCAGAGGCCACCCTAAACCCTAAACCCTAAACCAGGGGTGAGAATTGAGGGCTTCAAGGGTTCAGGTTGGGATGTTCCCCCTTTTTTCTACGTAAGTCCTGAACATCCCAGGGCTCAAGGTTTGAGAGTTTATTTGAGTGTTTAGGCTGAGGGTTTAGGGAGGCTCGTCCTGCCATAGCCCGCCTTAGACACGAGCAAGCCCGTCAGCGGCAGCATGGAGGACCAAGCCTTGCCAGCTACCCCGAAGGCAACCCCAGTCTTGACCCTAACTAGTGGAAATCTACTAGGGTTTAGGGTTTAGGGTTTAGGGTTTAGGGTTTAGGGTTTAGGGTTTAGGGTTTAGGGTTTAGGGTGTAGGGTTTAAGCCTCAACCCTCTGGATTGAAGCTGATGTACAGGGCTCTGTGGGGCACGCTTTCTGTGGCGAGTGCGAATGCAGTCTGCAGTCGCGAGCCTCCTTCAGCGCAGCCTCCGCTGCGTTCTCAGACGCCATCCTCAGTTGCTCCACAAACATCGCGAGCGCGTTGTGCGTGGCGCAGGAGGGTTTGGGTGTTCAAGTGCCGATCAAGATATCATCAACCCCCGCCCTGCTAGCGAGCAGGGCGCGCAGGCAGCCTATTTGAGACACTGGTAGAAAAGATGTTCTGTGGCCATGTACTGCAGCGGCCAAATCATCACCAAGATGATGCCCTACACGATCCCCGTTTTGCACAATAAGCTTTCCGAAGGCAACCCTTCCAATCGGACAGGCCCCTAAAACCTCAAGTGATAAGCCCTGTGCCCTGCCAGTAGGACCTTTGATCTTTGAATGACCTCCAAGAACTTCGAAACGCCACAGAAGGGTTTAGGGTTCAGGGCTGAGAGCTCGAACGTCTCTCACCATGTGACCCTTCTCAGGAAGGAAGAACTGAAAATCAACAAAACGGGTCAGTGTGCTTTTGGGCCATTTGGGGGTTTATGATATTGGGGGTACCTCACTGGGGTCCTTATAATTAGGGGATCCTTCTACATGGGGGGGGGGTCAATTTTAGGGTCCCCGATTAAACTCCCATTTGAGTCCAGCATCAAAGTGCCGTAGGCGTCCTTAACCTCTGCGAAGTGAGCAGAACATGCCAAGTAGTCCTGCGAAGGGCACAGGTCCGACAGCCCTAAAACTTAAACCGTAAACCCTCTACCCTAAACCCTAGAACCCCAAAACCTCAACCCTCAGCCCTATACGTAAACTTGAACAGAACCCTAACCCCCTCTAGGCGCTCTTTCGTAAGGAACTCATACGATCTATTGAAAACTGATAAACCTATATGCATACACCATGCCTTGGGGGACTTTTGCAAACCCTACCACCCTGAAACCATATCTCTAAACCCCCTAACCCTAAAATCCTACACCCTAAAGCCCTACTACCCTTAAAAAGGAGGGCTTATTCCCTACTCTTATGGTTAAAGGGTAGTTGGGGGGGGGGGGGGTGCTAGTAGAACCCGAAAACCACAAAAAATCTAAAACCCTAGGACTACCCACCCTTGGGCCCACAGTTTAGGGCTGCGTGCGGGTGTCCTGCAAGAGCCTCGCCGAGCGCTGATACGTCTCAGCATGCATCTTCGCCTGTCAAGGAAGTCGTGGGGTTTAGGGTTCAGGGTTTGGGGTTTAAGGTTTAAGGCTTAGGGGGTTTAGGGTTTAGGGTTTAGGGTTTAGGGTTTAGGGTTTAGGGTTTAGGGTTTAGGGTTTAGGGTTTTGCGGTTTGGGGTTTGGGGTTAGGGATTAGGATTCAGGGATCAGGGGATTATAGGGTCAGTAGGGGTGCAGGGCTGGGAGTTGAAACAACCCTACGCTCTAGTGGAGGGCTTTTGGAGGGTCTCTGGAAGGCTGTCGTGGTTTAGTGTTTAATTAGGGTTTAGGGTTCAGGGTTCAGGGTTTAGGGTTTAGCGTTTAGCGTTTAGTGGGCACCTTCTGCTTCGGCATCACATCGTTCAACTGCCCTGAGCCCAAGGCATCCGCGCACTTGGCACCGCAGAAGCTGGGCCCCAAAAGGGGACTATCATGACGACGCAAGCCCAAGCATGTCCTGCAAAAGGGCCCAGACCACGTTAGGATTTGTGGGGAACCTTAAACCCTAAACCCTAAACTCTGCACCCTAAACCATAAACCCTATCCCCTCAACGGTATGGGGCGTGGAGTCCGGTCGAAGGCTTGGTCCTTCCTCGCAGCCGGCAACCTCGGAATCATATAGGGCTCGGAATAGTTACTAATAGTATTCCCTGAGAGTCCCTTTATGATGACACAAAAACTAAACCCAAAACCCTACTCGCTAATTATTCAGGCCCCTATATCAAAGGCCCCTGGTACTGCAGGGACCCCCACCAGACCACCCCGTCGGCACCAGAATCCTGAGCCCTGCAAAGAAAGCCGGCTCTCCCGTGAACTCCAAAATCCTAAAAGTCCCCTAACCCTAAACCCTAAACCCTAAACCCCAAACCCTAAACCCTAAACCCTAAACCCTAAGCCCTAGCCCTAAACCCTAAACCCTAAAACCCACAAAGCCCCGAACACTTCACAAACCCTCAAAACCTAAAAAAAACCTGGGGCCTGATCCAGGTACTTGTCGAAGGCCGCGCGAAGTGCCCACCATGTTGTGTCCAACTGAAGGAGCCTCAGGGCTCAGGGAGGTTCGGGAGTAGAGGGTCTAGGGAGGACAGGGTTTCGAGAATTTATCCATGTGGATTCCCGTAAAAAGCATAAAGGAGAACAACATTTTAGTGGATTCCCATAACTTTCCGAGATCAACATTTTGGGGTCACCCAGGGTCCATGCGTGGGGAGTGAGTGACCCTGCCGGGGGGGGCGGCTCCCAGGATTGGGCTGGGGGCTTGGGGAGGTAAGCCCTAAGCCCTAAACCCTAAACTTTAGACAGAGCAATTGCTGGTGTGCTCCCCAACCTCTACCCTAAAACTCATGTTTGACTGCAAGACTGGCTCCTGAAAAGCTCTAAGCCCCCAACAAAACCCATACCGTAACATCCCAAATCCCGCCCTTTAACCCTGAACCCTAAGTCCTATGCAAGTCTGCTCCCTAAACCTTAAACCGTAAACCCTGAATCCTAACTACTCCAGAGCTCCTGAACCCAGCTTTGTGACTTTGTGGCACCGAGGCGCACTTGCCAAATGCTGTCGTCGGTCTTCGTGCCGCTCAGCTCATCTGCAGAGGAACCCGCCATGAACCCTGTAGCCTCAACCGTTAGGCCTGAAAAGGGCCTAGGGGGTTTAGGGTTTAGGGTTTCAGGTTTGGGGTTTCGGGTTTGGGGTTTAGGGTTTAGGGTTTAGGGGGCGTTTGGGGGGGTTTAGGGTTTAGGGATCAGGAAATGAGGGGCTGGGGGCTTTTATAGAGCTTGTACGGGATAGCGCGTTAGAACCGGCCCCCCCCCCCCGGACATTCTCCTGGCTCCTGTGGGTTGCAAAGGGTTCTTCTGAGGTCTTACTAGGTTTTTAATATTGGGTGCCTAAACTGCAAACCCAATAAAACACGAAAGCCCCTAGAGCCCCCTAACCCTAAACCCTAAACCCCAAACCCCAAGCCCTAAACCCTAAACCCTAAACCCTGATGTGTGGCGGTGTTTTTTGCCTGTGTTTTTCCCGTGTTTTTTCCTTATTTTTTTCCGGCCGTGTGGCCTAGCAAGCAACCCAAGCAACCCAAGCAAGCCAAGCAACCCAAGCAACCCAAAACCTTAAACCCTAAACCCTTAACCCGAAACCCTAAACCCTAGACCCTCGACCCTAAACCCTAAACCGACCACAAAAAACGGAACAAAAAGAAGGAGAGAAAAAAAAAAGAACGTATAAAAAAAATCCCCGGCCAAACCCTAAACCCTAAACCCTCAAGGCGAGGCCTTCCAGCAGCAAGCGGCCGCTCTTCGCCGCCGCAGCGGACGCCAGCTGCCTTTGACGATTCTTGGAGTCCTGGTTCCTCGGACGCGTTGGGCCTTTTGAGGGTTTAAGGCTTAGGGCCTTTTTGGGCTTTAGTGTTTAGGGGCTTTTTCGGGTTTTAGGGCTTAGGGTGTTTTAGGGGTTTGGGGCTTAGGGATTGGGGCTGTTTAGGGTTTAGGGTTTGGGGGTCAGGGTAAAAGAAAAGATAGACAGAGAGAGAGAGAGAGCGCGCGCGAGAGCACGCGAGAGAGCGAGAGAGCGAGAGAGCGAGAGAGCGAGAGAGCGAGAGAGCGAGAGAGCGAGAGAGCGAGAGAGCGAGAGAGCGAGAGAGAGAGAGAGAGAGAGAGAGAGATATATATATATATATAACTACTGTTCTGTTTGCAGGATGCAAGAACTTGTGGCTTGTAGGGCTTCTAGGGCCTTGAGGGACGAGGGCCTTAGGGCTTAGGGGGCTCTTGGCTTGCAACGTCCCCTATCGCAAGCATGGCACACACAAGGGCGGACTGTTGCTATACCCTACATACACCGTAAATACCAGGCGAAGGATGTGTTTTCTTTTTAAATTTACAAGTGTGGCACCACACCTTTGTTTTGTCAAAGGTGCGGCAAGGTAAATTTTGCTTGAAGATTACCTCCAAAAAAAAGTGCCGTGGGAGTTTTTTGAAGGTGTGGCGGCAGAATTTGTTTACAAAAGGTGTAACGCCCCCTTGTTTGTTCTTGAAGAAACCCTCCGCCGGTTTGGGACACCCTCGCTCCAGCCCCCCACATGGGGGGCTCCACGAAGTTTATGACTTTCGGCAACTTTCTTAACCCGCAAACTTGTGATCAAGTGTACCCTCCGAAGTTCTTCGACACAAAACGCCCGAACGCAGTATGGAACTCGGAAAAAGAGGCGAGCCTCTGCGCAGATTCAGTAGTGCGAGGTGCGCCGCGCAAGCGTCTACAAAGACAAGAATTTAAGCCTAAAAGGCACGAGCACCAGCTCAATGTAAAATCAGTGCCTGCATGGAGGGGTTAAGGTTGAAAAAGACCGGGAAAGAAAGAAGAACGTTTTAAGCAGATGGAAACCGCGTTGTAAGGATTTGGGGGTCAGGGTTTTCGGGCCCTTGGTCACCAGAACCACTCTAAACGCAAGCCCAGCTCGATCTTAGAGCTACATTAAATAAATAGTTTACACCGTTTTGGGGGTCTGCGGCCCCACCCCCACATGTTCGACAACCAACATCACGCAAGCGAAAAACCCATGCTTGTAAACCCTAGCTTTCAGCCTGCCTGGTAATTCAGGAGGCTGAGACACTTGCGGCAGATACGGCCCGTTATCTCAGAAAAGGCCAAAGAAGGCCAGAAGAGCACCTTCCCTTGAGGGTGAAAAAAAACGCCAACCACTGGGAGATTCGGCTTTGCACGCGTGTGGAACTTGGGGGCCAAAAGACCCAGCTGATGCTCATGATGCTCAACCCCAAAATCGGCTTAGGGCTCAACCCTCAGCAAACCCTAAACCCTACAATCACAAAGCCAGCTAAAAGCTTCATTTTTCAAGTGTTCCCATCGCTTCACGCGGGAGCATCGACATGCAACGGAATTAACGCGAAACCACAGCGGGAGCATCGAAGCGCAACGGAAATCGCGCGCCACAGCGGGAGCGTCGAAACCAAGGTCCCGCCCCACCGCGTGCGCCGTTGCGGTCGGCAACCTCAGTGGCCCACCCAGAAGAGGCCTGAAGAGGCCACGAGAGGCCGGAATTCGCGTGAAACCGCAGCGGCAGCATCGTAACGCAACGGAATTCGCGCGAAACCACACACGAGAGGCCGGAATTCGCGCGAAACCACAGCGAGAGTCGAAATGCAACGGAATTCGCGCGAAACCACAGCGGGAGCGTCGAAACCAAGGTCCCGCCCCACCGCGTGCGCCGTTGCGGTCGGCAACCTCAGTGGCCCCCGCAGAAGAGGCCTGAAGGGGCCTGAAGAGGCCACGAGAGGCCGGAATTCGCGCGAAACCACAGCGGGAGCATCGAAATGCAACGGAATTCGCGTGAAACCACAGCGGGAGCGTCGAAACCAAGGCCCCGTCCCACCGCCGCACGCGCCGTTGCGGTCAGCAACCAATTCCTTTACCCTGAACGTAAGAACCCCATTGTGCAAGCACTGTTTGGGGAAATAGTCCCGAAACAGCTTACCGCAGGGCCGCAGGGACCACAGGTCCGCCACACCTTGAAAAAAAAACCACACCCTTAACAAACTCGGGACCTGTCTTAAATACCCTACACCCGGAGCTTTTGTAGGCGTCGAAAGGGTCTAGGGTTTCGCTGCACACTTTTCATGGTCAGTGCGGTCTAGGCTGGGAATATAGCGTTTAGCTCCCTTCAAATCAACTCTCCCCATCCCACGACCCTGTTGCCATGCAGGTACAGCGAGCGCAGCTAATGCCAGGATGGTTCCAAAATGCAGACCGAGTTCCGATGCGAGTAGACCCCGAGCACGTGGCTCCTCAGCTGTGACAGACATCATGTGGTGTTAGGGTTTAGAGTTTAGGGTTTAGGGTTGAGGGTTGAGGGTTGAGGGTTGAGGGTTGAGGTGAGGGTTGAGGGCGAACCGTAAACCCTAAACCGCCTAAACCCAATTCCTGCCAGGCATCGAAGAAAGCGAACCGCAGCCCTGAATCGTAGAACCCTTCAACCTCGAACCCCAAAAGCCGCATGCCCTAAACCCTAAACCCTATACCCTAAACCCTATACCCTAAACCCTAAACCCTAAACCCAAAACCCAAAAAACCCTGAAGCCTGGAACCCTTCAGCGACTCGTCAACCTCGACCCCCCATAAGCCCTCATAGATCCCTCTACCCTAAACCCTAGACCCTAAACCCTATACCCTGAACCCGAAACTTTATCCGAAGCCCCCAATGGCGCGCCTCGCGCGGGCCACGTCCTGCATCTTGCTCGCGGCGCGCGCCACGTTCTCCGCAACCATGGCTCCGGCATCCTCGGGATGGCCCAACAAGGGGGGTTTAGGGTTTCGGGTTTAGGGTTTAGGGTTTAGGGTTTAGGGTTTAGGGTTTAGAGTTTAGGGTTTAGGGTTTAGGGTTTAGGGTTTAGGGTTTAGGGTTTAGGGGTTGCAAAACCCTGTTTCGGGATGTCCACTGCAACAGAGTGCAACACCCTAAGCCCCCCGTAACCCCTGAACCCTTAAACCCTTAAACTTGCGGGGGGACCTTTGAGAACCACTCTCGAAAAGAAACTCTGCCATCGAGCACCCACAGATTGACCCTCACCCCCTGAATCCTAAACCGGCTTAGGGTTTAGGGTTTAGGGTCCTGAGCATGGCCCCGCGCAACATGGGCCACCGACGCCTGCCAAGGAGGCTGCTGGACGGCTCATGGGGTCCGGAGGTTTACGGATTTCCGAGCTTGGAAACCCTAAGCCGTAAACCCTAAACCCCATATAAACCCTAAGCCCTAAACCCTGAACCCTAAACATTGGTAGGGGGGCGGGGACACGTGAGTGTTAAGGTTGGAGGGGGGGCCACGGTTTAGGGCTTACTTTTTTGGTACCAGAACTGCACATCAAACGCGAACGTAGTGTTGGAGGTCGCATCGTAGTTGCGTACCTTGGTCTCCATCGTACGGGTTGGGATACCTGTGCATCAGCACCCTGAACCTCCAAGTAAATCCCGAAACCTAAGCCGCGTTTTCCAAAGTAGTCAGGAATACACGGGAATCCCTTTGGGTTTGCAACATGAAGGAGCCTAATCCCGAGAAAAAGAGAATAAGGGCCCTGTCTCGGTCAGAGGAAAGTTCGGGTTTAGGGTTTAGGGTTTAGGGTTTAGGGTATAGGGTGTAGGGTCCCGGTGTAGGGTTTAGGGCCTGCAGCTGATCCACGTCCTCTAAAACTTGGGCCAAGTCGGACCGGTTCTGGAGACCTTGCCTGACAACGGCGGTGTTTCAGTGGGCGGGCTTGGCTTGATTCATGTAGGGCTCCGGGTTACGAAAGGCTCGGGCTTTCAGGGCTTTGTATTTTAGGGTTTCAGAGTAGCCCTAAACCCTAAACCCTAAACCCTAAACCCGATATGACGCACAGGCTGCCTTGCGAATTGCACGTGCCCCAAGCCTAGCTTCCAATGCCGGGGAAAGACCGCCTCCGCCATGACAATAGTAGAAAAAAGACTAAAACAAAAATAGCAATCACAACAAGACCCCCCCAAAAAAAAAAAAAAAAAAAACAATAACAAGAATGGAAAAACTAAGCCCAGCGTGAACAAAGCATGAAAAAAAAACACAACAACAATCATGGGCGCTATAACCCCAAACCCTGAACCCTATAACCCTATAACCCTAAACCCTAAACCCTAAACCCTAAACCCTAAACCCTGAACCCTAGAAGAGCAGCCCCAGGTGCATGAAGATTTGCAGAAGATGCCCCGAAGCGACCCGTCCCACCGAGTCCAGGGGCGTCTTCTGGAGCAGCCTCGGAGCCCGACTGTTGCGCCAAGTTCAGGGGTTCAGGGTTTCGGGTTTCGGGTTTAGGGTTTAGGGTTTAGGGTTGAGGGTTTAGGGTTGAGGGTTTAGGGTTTAGGGTTTAGGGTTGCGGTATGATTCAGTGACAGTTGGCACACACATCTGCTTCCCAAAGCTTTAACCCACTCTGTGTGACATGGTCGCCGATTCGCCAGAACTGCTCCTATACGAGCCACACCTCGAGACTTCAACCTCAGTGAACTCAGAAACCCAGGCGCTGCTTCACCAGAGCCAACTGCTTCGCCATGCCCGCCTTCACCTCCAGGCGAAGGACATATCTGGGATTTAGACTTGTGAGCCTATTTGAGTTTAGGTTTCAGAATTTCAGCGGCTTTCCCGGTAGCCGAAGGAAATGCCGGAAACCCCGCAAGCTTCACAAAATGGCTGATTGGAGGTGTCTGTTCGTAGGCCACGCGCGCAAGGCACCGGGTTTCTGTCTGCGGTTCCGGCTGGGGCGACTGCGCCGGGCTTGGCTCTTGCGGGCTGCATGGGCGGACGTTCCCTGGCTGTGAAGGTGCTGCGTCCACAGCCTTGCGTTAAACCCTAAACCCTAAACCCTAAACCCGAGCCCCCAAATCCTAAACCCTGCCGACAGTTGCATGTGTAAGCGCACAGGGGTGCCCTCGGGCGGGCAGTTGTCGGCAAACAGCAAGCTCGTGACCAAGCTTGTGGCATGCACGAATGTCACGCGAGCATTGTCAGCAGCGTCATGCATTACTCATAACCCACTTATAAGCCCCTTAAGTGCCCTAAATATGGATATAAGTCCAGTTACGAGTACACTGATTAATAAGTACCATGAACCTCCTTATACTACGTCATTTTTGCTATTTTTGCTGTTGTTCTTATTCTTCTTCTCCTCATTATATGAATAGTATTGGTATATTAATCGCATTATCGTACTTAGTATATTAGCTGGCGGCCTCTGGAAGGTCAGCGCCCTTCTTCTTCTGCTTTGCGAGGGCATCAACCTTGTCGTCCACGATGCCAGTGTAATACCTCGGAGGGTTTGGGTTTAGGGCTTAGGGTAAAGGGTTTCGGGTTTCGGGTTTCGGGTTTAGGGTGTAGGGTTTAGGGTTTAGGGTTTAGGGTTTAGGGTTTAGGGTTGAAACTGCTGTCTTTGCTTCTTAGAGTTGCAAGTAGGGACAAGCTAACCTTCCAAGAACGGTCCGGGCACTGAACGATACGCTCCACGTTGATGTCCAATACGTTGACGGCCTCTGGCCGAAGCTGCTCAGCTACATCTCTTTGGGAGAACGATAGGGTTTAGGGTTTTGGGTTTTGGGTTTTAGGGTTTTAGGGTTTTAGGGTTTAGGGTTCAGGGTTCAGGGTTCAGGGTTCAGGGTTCAGGGTTCAGGGTTCAGGGTTCAGGGTTTAGGGTTTAGGGTTTAGGGTTTAGGGTTTAGGGTTTAGGGTTTAGGGTTTAGGGTTTAGGGTTTAGGGTTTAGGGTTTAGGGTTTAGGGTTTAGGGTTTAGGGTTTAGGGTTTAGGGTTTAGTGTTAGGGTTTAGGGTTTAGGGTTTAGGGTTTAGGGTTTAGGGTTTAGGGTTTAGGGTTTAGGGTTTAGGGTTTAGGGTTTAGGGTTTAGGGTTTAGGGTTTAGGGTTTAGGGTTTAGGGTTTAAGCTTAAAGGAAACTGGGTTGGCCTTCAAACGCCCTGAAATGTTTAAAGGTAGGGTCCCTTATAAACCCAAGCAAGGAAAATATACGATGTCCCAAAACCCAACCTAGGAAAGTACACAACCTGCAGGTCTGCGTGAAACCTCCCGCTCGCGGCATGCGCTGGGGGGCTAAACCCCTAGCCCGAAGCACTCCAGCCTTGAACCCGCAACTCTCAACCCTTGGGATCCTAGTCATGAGCCCCCTTAAACCCCAATCCCTAAACCCAAAACCCAAAACCCCAAACCCCAAACCCCAAACCCTAAACCCTAAACCGCTTCCTTCGCCAACGACGACAGGATGGCGGCATCTCCTTCCTGGACCGCAGACCTCGGCGCGCGCTTGGGGGTTTTAGGGTTTCAAGGCTAAGGTGTTTTAATGGGTTTTTGTTAGGGCTTAGGTTGAGGGTTTTAGGGTTTCAAGGCTATGGTTTATACATGGGTTTTTGGGGGGTTGAAGGTTTTGGGGTTTCAAGGCTATGGTGTGTTAATGGGGTTTTTAGGGCTTAGGCTGAGGCTTTTAGGGTTTCAAGGTTAGGGTTCTAGGGTGTTTTAGGGTTCAAGTTTTTTGGGGGGTCAGGGGTCTTAGGCGGTTTTAGGGTTTCGGGGTTTGGGGATTCGGGTTTCGGGGTTTTTTGGATGTCAAGGTTTTGGGGTTTAGGGTTTAGGGTTTAGGGTTTCGGGCTTAGGGGCAACATAGGAATTGTTTCTTGCTGGGGCTTCTGTTGCAAGCCAGTTGAAGGTCGAAGGTCCGGAACTTCCTGAACTTCAAGCTCTAGGCCCTAAACCCTAACCCCTAAACCCTAAACCCCAAACCCTAAACCCTAAACCCTAAACCCTAAACCCTAAACCGTAAACCCTAAACCCTAAACCCTAAACCCTAACGGATGGGTGAACAAGACGCACAGTTTAGTTTACGGTTTTATACTGACTTGGCAATTCTTACCCCCTCCCCCAAACAAGAATAAAACATAACAAGTCGCGGAACTCAACTATCAACCCCCCCCCCCCCCCCCTAATCAAAACCCAAATCGCAAGGACCGGGATTTCGGTTCTCAGGTCCCCTTTCTAGAAACAGCCAGCCTGTTTCAAAACAGGCCCCCCAAACGCGTCCCTTAAAACCCAAGCCCTCTGCAACTAGATTGTTCGGCCCCCTGCCAGAGAGATTGAGTGAACAACAGGGCTTATGGTGTGTTGGGATGACTATACTCCCCTCAGAACCTTAACAAAAATCATATGTTTCACATCCTCTTGGGTTTTGTATAAACAAAGTTACTCAGCACCGCACCTCACGCAGTGGATGTCGCACCACATCCGTGCGAAAGCCGCCCGATTGCCATTGCAATCCGCCGCGTCCTCTTCTCTCCCTAAACCCTAAACCCTCAACCTAAACCCTAAACCTAAAACCTAAACCCTAAACCCTAAACCCCGCAGCGTCCTCTTCTCTCTTGTTGGCCTCGGTCTCCTCCAGGAGCATGTTGACGACCGTGTTGATCTGCGGAGCTCAAAACTTTGCTGCACTTAGGAGGGAGCTATAAATTAAATTTTCAGCTGCCCTATTAAGAAACCCAAAAAGGCTAAGGATCTAAAGTTACAGTAAAGCACCACTGAGGGTTGAGGGTTGAGGGTTGAGGGTTGAGGGTTGAGGGTTGAGGGTTGAGGGTTGAGGGTTGAGGGTTGAGGGTTGAGGGTTGAGGGTTGAGGGTTGAGGGTTGAGGGTTGAGGGTTGAGAGTGAGACGGCGCCTCCCTTGGGCATTGGGCCTTGGGGGTTTTGACGGGCAGTTCTCCAATCTCTGGTGCCTTCGGAGGTCCGTGATGCACGCGGGCCCGTACATGCAAGGCTTGGTTTCCCAGTAGCCAAATTGTGATAAGGGCACCCTTTTTGAGGTTGGCTATTGTAGAAGGGAACCCATAACCAAAAAAAAGAGTAAAGGCTACCACTGGGCTACCCAAGAAGGTATCCAAAACTGGACCATGATTTTTTGGCTCACCGTGTCTTTCGGCAAGGAAGACCGACTTGATGACTCAAAGCAGCCCCTGAGCCCGACCCTCCTAGTCACCAAAGTGCCTTGCAAGCGTGCTTCCGAAGGTGCTCAAACAGATTGTCCCCTTTTCGGCACCCGAAATATTGGGGGCCGAAACATAAGAGCAACTTCAAAAGGACCACAAAGAGAAGTGACAATGTGGGCAGTTCTCCAAATTGTGGGTGGTATAGGGATTTTCTAGAAGGTATAGGGCTACTCTAGCTCCAAACCTAAACACCCTAAACCCTAAACCCTAAACCCTGAACCCTGAACCCCCCAGCCAAAGCCTCGGAAATCAGAGCCGACCCCAGCGCAGATGAGCACATCTTCCCGGGGCTCTCCTCAAAAGGACGCACCCAGGGTTTAGGGTTTAGGGTTGAGGGTTTAGGGTTGAGGGTTGAGGGTTGAGGGTTGAGGGTTGAGGGTTTAGGGTTTAGGGTTTAGGGTTGTTTAGGGTTTAGGGTTTAGGGTTTAGGGTTTAGGGTTTAGGGTTTAGGGTTTAGGGTTTAGGGTTTAGGGTTTAGGGTTTAGGGTTTAGGGTTTAGGGTTTAGGGTTTAGGGTTTAGGGTTTAGGGCCCAGAGAGCCCAATATCCTGGACTTAGGAGTACTTCTCCTAAACATCCCAACCCTAAACCCTGAAACCTAAACCCTGCGCATACAACCCTAAACACCCTCAATGGACCCTGACCGTGGCTTTGGGGTTGTCGGATCCCCTCCCCCGTCCCCCCACGCAGTCGTGCACCCCGGGTTGGTTCGTCCTGAGGGTTAGAGTTCAGTGTTTAGGGTTTGAGGTCAGGTCTACTCTACGGTTTTTGAGCCTTCTGGTTTTGAGGCTTGAGGGCTTCGAGGGCCCCAAAGCCCTATAAAGGGGTTCAGGGTTTAGGGAAACCGACGCTAGACCCTAAAAGCTTAAACCCCAACCCTGCACCCTAAACCTCCAAACTGATTTCTTTTCAGGGTCGTCAGTTCACGACCCCACCCGACGGTCGGCGAGGCAAAGACAAGTGGACTGGAGCACCAGCCCGACCCTCGCATGGAAACCTTCATATAAAGAGAGAGAGAGAGAGATCATGTTACACCACTGCACATGTATGTATAGATATAGAGATGGATACAGATCTAGACGTGGATGTTCGCTCTTTCTTCGCCGGCGCTGCCACTCGTTCTTTCTGTATTGTTTTTCATCTTTTAGGGTTTAGGGTTTAGGGTTTAGGGTTTAGGGTTTAGGGTTTAGGGTTTAGGGTTTAGGGTTTAGGGTTTAGGGTTTAGGGTTTAGGGTTTAGGGTTGGGGGTTTAGGGTTTAGGGTTTACGGTTTAGGCTTTAGGGTTTAGGGTTTAGGGCTTAGGATTTAGGGTTTAGGGTTTAGGGTTTAGGGTTTAGGGTTTAGGGTTTAGGGTTTCGGCTTGTCTTCAGTTTCCTTGTTCCCCTCGACCCTAAACCCTAAACCCGAAATCCTTCCTCTCTGTGGTGCTTGTGTTTCCCTCTTCATACCTGCAGAGTGCAGGCACAACTGAGAAGCACTCAATTGCGATCTCATCATTGGGGCCATTCCAGGGCGAGGGTTTAGGGTTGCCACACTCACGCGATGCCCACAATTAGAATTCTCTCCATGGACGAAGCCAAGCCCAACCAAAGCAACTCTCCTGCGTGCCAACGCCCAACGGCGCCGTCACGATGTACGGCAACGCCGCGCACGCCATCTTCCTCAAGATCTCTAAACGGCACTTGGAAGCTTCGGAATTACGGAGTTCGAGGGCTTAGGATTTTAGGGATTTCTAGCTTAAGGTTTTAGGGTTCCAGCGTTTTCGAGTGTTAGGGTGTAGGGACTCGTCTCAAGAAAATCGGAGGAAAACAGCCAGACGGTCAGGCTTCGGGAGCGGTCTAGGTGAAGTGGGACTCAGGTTTAGGGTTTAAGCACTGATTGGAAAGCATGTCACGTGCTCTGCTCTTGGATGAGGGGTCACGTAGAACCCTGTCAGCCAATAAGCACGAAAGCAGCTAAACACCAGTTTGAAAAAAAAAAAAAACTAAACCACTACACCCAAAAATCTCTGAAGCAAAGGCCCGGCACTGGTGTGTGACAGTGGCCCTCAAGGTTTGAATTGGGCCGAACCCGCTTCGGGTTTAGGGCGCATGTGAAGCCCGATGGGCTTTAGGGAGACAGGGTCCTGTGGTAGTTTAGGGTTTAGAGTTTTAGGGTTTTGCGTTTTGGGTTTAGGGTTTAGGGTTTAGGGTGGTCACCCGCGTATGACACTTTCTGCACAGGAACGGAACGACCTGGGGACATCCTTGGTAGAGGACAACTATAGGTGGGTAGTCACTGTTGATATAACCGACTTACAAGCCATGTAGGGATATACAGGACTCTTATTCTAATACCCCTATAGGGGCAGCTACCACTTGAAGCTTCGAGCGTCCCAACGCCGGTCAGCATGTCCCATGCGCTTTTGACGTGGTCAACGGTTTCTTCCTTGGCAGCGTTTAGGGTTTAGGATTTAGGGCTTAGGGCTTAGGGTTTAGGGTTTAGGGTTTAGGGTTTAAGGCCCCCCTAAACCCAAAGGGTAAACATGCAAACTACCAAGGGGTAACCGGCACGGGATCCCGTAAATCACTCACGCAGTGAAGCTGCGGAATGGGTTGGAACCGCAAAGATCTGGAGGTATTCAAGCCCTGAATCTACATAACGCCCTACACCCCCATGCGTGTGAACAACAGACGCTGTAGTGTGAGTTAAGCTGCACTTTGAGGGAAGCTTCCTTCGTTGAGGGGGATTTGAGCTCTGTGGGTGCTTAGCACCATTGCTTCAAACCCTAAACCCTAAACCCCAAAGCCCTAACCCCACACCCTACTAAACCGTAAACCCTAAACCCTAAACCCTAAACCCTAAACCCTAAACCCTAAACCCTAAACCCTAAACCCTAAACCCAAGGCAAGGCTCGGTGGAGGCCAGTGCCTTGTTGCGCTCGCCAAGGCGCGACCAACATGACAGGATGTTGCTGTAGCTGTAGCCGGCTCCACCTGGGGGTTTGGGGTTTGGGGTTTGGGGCTTAGGGTTTAGGGTTTAGGGTTTAGGGTTTAGGGTTTAGGGTTTAGGGTTTAGGGTTTAGGGTTTAGGGTTTAGGGTTTAGGGTTTAGGGTTTAGGGTTTAGGGTTTAGGGTTTAGGGGTGGTGTTGGAAAATTTGGGGAGCCCGTTTCTCGGGTCCTGTTTAAGGGGGGTTCCGCGCAATCTTCCACGATCTTTCGGGGCGTGGTCAGGCGACAGTATACACCCTATAAAACCCAAGGACCCATGTTTCAGAAGTCTTTAAAGCAGGTAAAGGACCAAATTGAAGGATCATGTAACCTCCCTTGGAGGGGCCCCTCACCTCTGAATCGCTATGCCGCTGCTTGGAGGTTCGTGGGAACTTATACCCCAGTCATACGTCTACTTCTAGCCTACTTCGAGGACTTAGGGGGCTTACAAGTACAGATATAATCTACGAATTGCTGAAGAACCCCAAAAATAGATATATTCTTCCTTGTAAGGGTAATATAGGGATTATGTTTTGCTTATTTTAGGCGGTGCCTAAGCAAGTACAAGTAGTAGTAGTAGTAGTAGTAGTAGTAGTAGAAGAAGCAAGTACAAGTAGTAGTAGTAGTAGTAGTAGTAGTAGTAGTAGTAGTAGTAGTAGTAGTAGTAGTAGTAGTAGTAGTAGTAGTAGTAGCAGTAGTAGTAGTAGTAGTAGTAGTAGTAGTAGTAGCAGTAGCAGTAGTAGTAGCAGTAGTAGTAGTAGTAGTAGTAGTAGTAGTTGTAGTAGTGGTAGACCAAGTCCCAAAGACGACATGACCGAGAGGCCCGTTGGCTTGTCGGGTTGAAGCTACTGCGGATCTGTTTGTGACCCCCCTAAACCGTAAACCCTAAACGCTAAACCCTAAACCCTGATGCTTAAACCCTCTTAGGACCCTCAAGTCCTCGGATACGACCGGAACTTGAATCAGCAGAAAGGGGCCGGAAGGCTTGCGAGGCCCTCATGGAAGCCCCCAAAAAGGCCAAGGATCCAAAGTTGCAGACAGCACAGGCAATTAACTGCCCATGAGCCTGCAACGTAGGTTAGGGGTGTAGGGCTTGGGGTGCAGGATTTAGAAACCCTAAACCCTAAACCCTAAACACTGAGCCCAGAACCGCGGCCGCTTTCTAGCGGGTCGTAGTCGGCGTTTACCGACGTGGCGGCCCACCAGTTGGCAGGACCTCCACACAAGAGGTTTAGGGCTCCGGGGTTTAGGGTTTAGGGTTTAAGGTTCAGGGTTCTTTAGGGCTTCGAAAAATGCGCTTCAGGGTTTAGAGTGTGGGGTTTCGATGGCCTACCTGAGTTTGCTCTGCATGTCGGAACCGATACCAGATTCCTTCCCAGAACGCGCGTTAATTTTGAAACAGCCCCCTTGTGCATTGTCTGTAGACATAAGGCGGTGGCGCCGTGTCACGGCTGTGTACTCACAACTGCTTCGGTGCGTGGATGTATGCTGGCGGCTGTTGGAACCCTAACCCCTAAACCCCTAAACCCCTAAACCGCCCTAAACCGCCCTAAACCCCCAAACCCCCAAACCCCTAAACCCCGAAACTCCTAAACCCCCAAACCCCTAAACCCCCAAACCCCTAAACCCCTAAACCCCTAAGTTGGAACCTGCCTCTTTGTACCGTCCCTATAAGAGCCCTGAACCCACGAGCCGATAGCAATTTGAGCTCACGCCGGGTCCCACCCTGCCTTTGCCCTTGCCTTCCTCGTACTCTTCGGCGGTCTTTGCCTTCTCACCTCCGAGCCGTCGACGCACAAGCCGATTCGGGTTTAGGGCTCCTGGTCTAAAAATTTTCCTTAACTTTTATTTACTCAAGCAATAATACCTCAAGTATTTAGAACTTAACAAGTTGAGGGGCTGTGGGCCTCAGCCACTCTTTATCTTTTCTCCGCTGATAGGGCGGGGAGGCAAGGCTAAGAAATGCTACGGCAGCTCTGCAGTGCCAGTAGTGAAGGCAGCAGGGCCCAGCAGTGATGTGGGTGTAGTAAAACCGTAAACCCTAAACCCTAAACCCTAAACCCTAAACCCTAAACCCTAAACCTAGACCCTATACCCAGTATGTCGGCTGGGCACTACTGTTTTGTACACTGGAGGGGTGGGGGTCAGCGAGGCAGCCCTCCCTTTTTTAGAGTGTTCGGGTTTGGGGGTTTAGGGGTTAGCCTGCACTGGGGCGGCATTTTGCTTCCAGGGTTTAGCCCCTCTAGAAGATGAGATAGGGGTATATGTAGGTTTCTATTGGGGTTTACGGGGCCCAGGGCCCAAAAAACCTTCAACTCTTCTTCCAAAAAAACCCAGCCCAAGGGTTCATCTAGGTAAGCGCGAGAGAGAGGGAGAGAGAGAGATTCAGACCTGCTGCCAGTATAATTTAGGGGCCTTAATCATTAGACAAGGGTTTTGGGTGGGCGATTATAGGTATAAATTCTACGGGGGCCATTGAGGGATTACTAATGATTCCGACCCCCAAATTCCCTTGCGACGACTCCTGCCCGTATCTCGGATGCCGAGGTTCCCGAAGGACATACTTGCAGATTCGAATCCTTAACCCTAAACCCCTATGAACCCCGATGAACTCCTACAAACCCCTATAAACCCCTATAAACCCCTATAAACCCCTATAAACCCCTATAAACCCCTAAAAACCCCTATAAACCCCTATAAACCCCTATAAACCCCCAAAACCCCCTCTGACAAGCCCTTCATCACACACCACCGCCTGTGACGTACAAGCAGGGGTTCGATTCGCTCAACGTCTTCCCCACAGTGTCCCAGTCTGGCACCTCCGAAACCAAGGATGCCAACCGATGGGTTGATTGGGTTTATGTAATCTCAACAGGTGGCATTCTTCCGGATGTCCCGGGCACCAAACCGTGCAACGGAGACTGTTCGATAAAAGGCTGACCTGTAATCCAGAAAGCCAAGGCAAACTTCGGGCTGCGGGGCCCACTAGTTTTCTGGCCGACCGACGCCCAGCCCATGAATTAATGCACTACACCAGAGAGAGCTCCACTTCTGTTTCATGGTTTGTGGTCTTTCCCTGGTGGCACGCCCCTCACAAGCCATCTGAGAACATAGCCAATGTGACATGGTATCACAGTTTTGCAGCGTGCCCGCAGGCACAGCGGGATTGGGACACCTTCCGTCTTGCGGGACAACTTCCACATCTACCCAGTACAACAGCACAACACAATGTTTCACCGAAGCTGCTGACCTGGATTCCAGGTTGCCCTCTTAGAACCTCTAAAAATATTCCCAAGTATGATCCTCTTCAACCCAGCCTTACGGGAAACAAAGAATGTCCAAGGAAGGACGCATTTGAGGTGAGCCGCATGTCTTGACAACAAGGGTTTAGGTTTAGGTTTAGGGCCTCCTTAGTTGGAGAGGCGATGCTTGTGTGGCATGACCTGGATTTGTTGGGATCTTCGCCTCAACTTTTTGGTTCGGTGTGCACGTACATTAATTAACAGGGAAGCTTTGTCTGACAGTCGGCGTTCTTAAAACCGACACAGGCAGCAACCAGACAGAATCTTGAGCTCGACCAACATGCTCATGCGGCCACGTGCCCACAAGCGCGAAGCGCATGACGCATCAGATTTTTCCAGGCTTCTTGGCACAGGCAGGCCTACATAAAGTCGCCACTCCAGCATTGGGTTTTTTGGAGTTGGGGGGTGGGGGGTGGGTTCCATAAAGATATGTTTGTTACGAGAACCAACCCTGCTCCCAGCAGCGCCCCCAAGGCGCCTCTTCCTTGCACTCTGAGGCCACTTTCGGCACGTCGGCATGGAACTGGATGAGCTTGGGCGGATGCCGCTTGCCAGATCCTCAGAGACTGCAGGATTAGGGTTCAGGTGCAGGGTTTGGGTTGGTTTCGGGTTTAGGCTCTTTAGGGTATAGGGTCTTTATTTAGGGTCTCTGGCAAGGGTGTAGTGTGTGGGGTTTCGGCCTACAGCAGCAAGAGGAAAAAAGGTCAACTTGTAGGGATTAGGGTGTTGGGTTTTAGTTTCAGAGCTTTCAAACCCTAAACCCTGAAAACCCGAAGCGGGTTCGGGCTCTTTGAAGCCAAGTGTGCCGGTACTGGCCGTCGACACCGTGCTGTCGTACTGGCCGTTGAAGTCCTCTCTCTCTTCTCTCTCTCTCTGGGCCATAGACCACGGTCTCGAACCCTATAAGCGCTAAAGCCCCTCCCTATGTTACCCTTTTAAGGAAAAATCTTTCTAATTTTTTGGGGGGATTATCAAAAAATAGTGAACGCCCCTTATCAGGCTTCTTCCGACTCCAGGCGCGCAAGAGTTCTTGTTTAGGGCTTCGGCTTAGGTGACATATGTGAGAATCCCTAACACCTTTGGCCAAACATCCATTCAGACTTGACTACTTCCCCATAGGCCACCGTGACGCCCGAAACCCTAGCCCTAAACCCTAAACCCTAATCCCTAAACCCCCCAAAAACCCCGCCCGCGTCAAGGTCCGTGACGGCCACAGCTTCCCAGCTTGCTCCCTTGATGCCCACTCTCGCACTGCCAGCTGCCTGAGACACCTGAAGAGCCAAGGGCAACAAACAAGCCGGGGTCAACTACAGGATTCAGCGTTTAGGGTACCATTTCCAAGACATTTGCTTCAGCTCTCTTTGGCCCTACTGCACCAGGCTACGATGTGATTGCAGGAGGGCTTCGAGTTTAGGACTTAGTAAGGGCTCAGGGTCCTACAGTTTAAGGAAGAATCCTTTTTGGAGTCAACAGTTCTCTACTGCTGGGGTATCCATACGCTTAGAACATGGGTTTAGGGCTTAGGGCCCCATTGGCACAGGTTCTCAGTGCGGAATGAGGGGATTAGATGCCTTGCATCCCCCTTTATGAACCCTCTGCGGGATACGGTTGTTTGGCTCAGGGTTTCGGGTTTGGTCTCAAAAGATCACCAACCCCAAGCCCAAAACCCTATAAACCCCTGACCCCTAAACCCTAAACCCTAAACCCCAAACCCTAAACCCCTAAACCCTAAACCCTAACCCTAAACCCTAAGAATGCGTCCAGCCGCGGGGTCGACTGCATCACTGGCTGCGCACCCCACATCCTTCAAACACCAGTTGCCGGTGCGGATGTCGAAGGACAAGTTGCCCGATAAGTCCTGGGGTTTAGGGTTTAGGGTTTAGTGTTTAGGGTTTAGGGTTTAGGGTTTAGGGTTTAGTAATTTAGGGTTTAGGGTTTAGGGTTTAGGGTTTAGGGCTTAGGGCTTAGGGTTTAGGGTTTAGGGTTTAGGGTTTAGGGTTTAGGGTTTAGGGTTTAGGGTTTAGGGTTTAGGGTTTAGGGTTTAGGGGCACAATTCAATGGCTCATAGGGTTCTTATGGGGGGGGGGGTATCCAGGGGTCCAAGGGGTTTAGGGTTTCGGGTTCAAGGGGGTTAGGGTTTAGGGTTTAGGGTCCTTATTCGGTCATAGGGTTACAAGGGAGGGGCCTCAAGGAGTTCAAGGGATTTAGGGTTTTAGGGCCGAGGGTTTAGGGAAGGGAGCGGGCTTCAGGGGGGGGGTCTGGATTCCAAGGTTCCCTGATACTCCCCACTACTCCGTAAATAGAAGCCAGAGTTTAGGGTTTGGGGGTTTAGGGTTTGGGGTCTATAAACCCTATACGCGTAAACCCTTAAACCCTAAACCCGAAATCGCATCTGGAGATAACTCTCCCAAATACCTACGTGTCCAGTTTCCTAAGAGAGCGCAGGGTCCAGCTGTGGGATGGTCCGGGGACTCTACTATACTTCCCCAGTCCCCCTCCCCCCAAACAAATTAGCAAACACGTACCCCTCAACCCTAAACCGTAAACCCTAAACCCTAAACAACACTAAACGCTAAAACCCTAAACCCAAAACCCTAAACCCTAAGCCCTACCCCTCCTGGTTGCTGCCCGGGAGATGGAAAGAGCTGCGCTGCTGGAACTGCAGCCGGCCACTGATGTCCATCTTCGCTGGGCAGTAGACACCCTGCTTTAGGGTTGAGGCGTGGGTGTTGTGGTTTCGGGTTTAGGGTTTCGGGTTTAGGGTTTAGGGTTTAGGGTTTAGGGTTTAGGGCTTAGGGTTTAGGGTTTAGGGTTTAGGGTTTAGGGTTTAGGGTTTAGGGTTTGGGGTTTAGGGTTTCTGCAGGGTCTTAGGGTGATTGCCAGGCTCCACAGATTCCGGAACCGGTTGGGTCAGGAGGCCGACTCGTCCGTCAGGTAAGCCCTAAACCAGATACCGAGAATCCATCACAAACCCTAAACCCTAAACCCTAAACACGTCCTCCCAGTCTTGCAGTCTGCTGGTGATCAGGGTGCCGGTCGCCACGAGGCCCATGATCTTGGCAGGGTGTTTGGGTTTGGAGTTTGGGGTTTGGGGGTTTGGGGTTTGGGGTTTGGGGTTTCGGGTTTCGGGTTTAGGGTTTAGGGTTCAGGGTTTAGGGTCTTGCGTTTGCTAGCCCATCAGCCTAGTGTTTTGGGGTTGAACATTGTCGATGCGTCACCTTCGCAGCCGAGATAGCTGGGGCAACTTCAGGAAAATTTGAAGCGGACCCAAGTAGTCCGATGCGTTTTAAGGTGAAAACGAGAACGGTTTGTACGTTGAACTGCATGAAAGTCAAGGCGTTGTTGTGCCGCCTGCGGGCGAAGCGCAAATAACCACGAAATCTGAACCCTAAACCCTAAAGAAAGTCAGAACTGGTTGAGAATCAAAGCAATTGCTGCAAGACGTCGTCGAATTCCTGCCCCGCACGCCAAATACGCCTCTAGACCCCAAAGCATAAACCCTATAAGCCCATTCCCTCTTGGTTTCCCAGTACACATATTATGATAAGGGCAACCTTTTTTGGGTTGGTCATTTTAAAAGGGAACCTCAGCCCACTAAACCCTAACCCCAGCGTCTTGCCGCTGCCCCCTTGAAAATACTACAAGTGTACATGAAATACTGTAAAAGACGATGCTATACGACAACTGCAAAATGCGCTAATGTTCTTTAGCTTGCGACAATATACTTCAATATGACACTATACTTCAATATGCTGCAATATGTGTTAGCCTTCTAAAACATACTATCATATACTCCAATATACTAGAATATACTGTGATTTCCTATGATCTGCTACATCATACTAAAAGCCAGCAACGAGAAGATTTACTATCATTAGCAGGTTGCCGTGCCTCTATGACAAACCCTAGCTAAGCCCCAAACCCCAACCTCCTCGCGAGACAGCCAAGCCCTAAACCCTGAACTAAGTCGCCTATGGCCCATAAGAAGCCCCTTGCATACCCCTTATACCCTCGGCAAGTTAAGGGCCCATACATCACAACCCTTTAACGCAGGTCCGGGAGCACATTACCCTCAGACCCTAGACCAACCCTAAACGCTAAAGCCTAAACCCTAATTAAACCCTAAACCCTAAACACTAAACCCGAAACCCTAAACCCTAAACCCTAACATCCCAGAAACCATCCGGGGACGCAGGTCTAAGCGCGCGGCCAGCGGCTCCACGTAGCAGCACGTCGGGGTGACGCTCCAGCCATGGAGGCCTCGACTCCATAACTTTAAGGGGTTTCGGGTTTAGAGTTTCGGGTTTAGGGACTATTTGGGGTTTGGGGTGTGGGGTCTCGGGTTGGGGTTTAGGGTTTAGGGTTTGGGGTTTAGGGTTTTAGCTTTAGGGTTTGGGGTTTAGCCCTAGCTCATACTCTAGAACCCCTTTTTCAGGGCCCGGGTGTGCTTGGCTCAACCCTAACGATCTAGAGCTGGGTTTAAGGTTCAGGGTTTCGGGTTTCGGGTTTAGGGTTTAGGGTTTAGGGTTTCGGGTTTCGGGTTAGGGTTGAGGGTTTAGGGTTGAGGGTTTAGGGTTTCGGGTTTAGGGTTTAGGGTTTAGGGTTTAGGGTTTAGGGGTCCCACTCGTTCACCCTGCCAGGCACCCCCGCTCTTTTGGAAGGTCACAGACTGCACGCCAGCTGGCTTCCCGGAGCCCTGGCAGTTGACCTTCGTTTAAGGCTCCTGGGTTTCGGGTTTAAGGGTTTAGGGGTTGAGAGGTTTAGGGTTTAGGGTGTAGGGGTCTAGGGGTTTAGGGGTTCAGGGGTCTAGGGTTTAGGGACCCTTGAGGTTTGGGGTTTGGGCTTTGGGGTTTGGGGTTTAGGGTTTGGGGCTTTGCCGTTTTCGGGGTCTAGGGCAGGGTCGGGCTACCTCCCCAGTGACGAGCCGTCTTGTGGAGGGCAGGATGGAGAAGTGCTTCCTGTCCAGAGACCCTAAACCCTAAACCCTAAACCCTAACCCCAAACCCCAAACCCCAAACCCCAAACCCCAAACCAAACCTGAATTCATTTCCCATCGTTTTGGGTTGTTATCTCAAACTCGCGCACCGAGTAGTAAAGAACAGCCACTGGGACCGGGATACCCACCTCACTCCCACCTCATTCGGGAGGTGTTCAGAGGACAACTGTGACATTTTGGAGGTTTGGGTTTCGCGGGCTAACATTCAATGGAGCCAAGTTTTTTCCACGCATATCGCGTTGTCCAGAACTTTTGGAGCAAGTAGGAGAAGTCCCGGACTTTGCTTTGCACGGGTTAGTTGTGTGTTCGTTGGTTTGTTCTTTCGGCGTTTTTTTGTGTGTTGGCTTTTCTGGCTTTGATTCACCACAAGCCCCAAGTGATCCATAATCATGCTTAAGTTATGTAGTTGGTAAAAAAGGCTTTAGATTTGAGGGCTTAAACCCTTCAGGGCGAGCGGCTGTGATGGAATCACTGACCGTGCTAGGCAGCACGGCGCAGGAACCCATCGCGGCAACGGTCACGCATGTGACGTTCATGAGGTTGTTGCCTCCAAGAAGGTTTGGGGGTTTTGGGTTTAGGGTTTAGGATTTAGGGTTTAGCGTTTAGGGTTTAGGCTTTTGGGCGTTAGGCTAAACTCCAACAGATGGTCCAGCCAAAACACGATTTTTGTCCCCAAACCCACGATCAGCCCCTCAACCCAGTAGAGGACCCGCTTTTGCCCAGTGTGAATCCAAGCTTACATGTTTAGTCACCCAGTCCAGCCGATGACCTGTCTGAACTGTAAACCCAAAACCCTCAACCCGAAAATCCACTTCGAGCCTTTGGGCCCCACACTCACCCCGCCCCCCCCCCCGCCTACCGCAATGGCCGGTTAAGGCCACCAAAGACCCTGGAGGGCGCCCGGCAACCCTACGGGTTTACACCGCGTGGCGCAGCAGACCGAAGCCACATGTGTCAAGGTTTGGTGGGGGGGGTACCGGAAGCCCAAGACAAGGCACGCCAGTATGAGCCGCAGGAGCTGCAAAAGCGCTGAAATCATCGCAGATACGGTGGTTTTATGAGGCTCTCCGGGCCTGCCTCCAACCCCTGCACCTGTTACCCTTGCCCCGCCCCCAAGATGAGCATCATCGACACCCAGGGCTTTGGGGGCGTCTGCTGATGCTCCTGATGCGCTGGCCCGGGCGCATTTTTCATCGACCTATCGTTTCTCCCGCAACCCTAAACCCTAAACCCTAAATCCCCGAAAGGGGATCCCCGGCCCTTGCGTAGTACTCTGCGGTGAAAGGAGCTTTGCCCGCAATGTGCCTCCTCCCACTTTCCCCACTCACCAGTTCCGATGAGGAGGGGCCCTGTTGATAGAGAGATTTGAAAAGGGTAGAAGCCCAAAACCTCAATAGAGGCCCTCTGGGTCGCCGCTTGCGCTGGGAAACCATATAAACCCTAAACCCTACACAACAAGCCTACAATCCCAAGCCTCCCGGGTAGACCAACAATCCGCTCATCAGCGTCCCAGTCGGACACTGCAGCGTAAAGTCTTCGCTGGTCTGTGCCTGCTCGAGGGTTTGGAGTTCAAAGGTCTAGGGAGCGATATAGGGCCTAGGGTTGTTTTGCACCTTTTGCTTTTATTTGGATCCCTCTATTTGCTCTTTTTTTCAAAAAGAAACCCCTGCTTCTTCTGCACTAGGGTTTAGCATTAAGGGGTCCAGGGTTTAGGGCTTTTAGAGGTCAGGGGTTTAGGGCTTGTTTAAGGGTTGGTTTAATGTCCAGGGTCTAGGCTTCGGGTTTAGGGTTAAGGTTGGGTTAAAAAATGAGGGCACAAAACATCTGGGGCAACAGTCAGTACCTCCTTTGACATAGGGCCCTATTTAGCCAGAGTGTGCATTTCGGGCAATTTGTATTAGCTTTGTATAGGGCTGGCACATATTCTGGCAAGCGTTAGGCGCCTGTGCTGGGGCTTGTTTAGGGCTAAATGGGCTTCATTCAGGCTCAGGCTTGAGAAATTACCCTAAACCCTAAACCCTAAACCCTAAACCCTAAACCCTGAACCCTGAACCCTGAACCCCACCCAAATGCCCCCCACCCCCCCCCAAACAAAAACAAACAAAAACTCTCAACACCCTAAACCCAAACCCCTGAACCCCCAAAATCCCCCCCCCCCCGGACCCCAGAAAAGAAAAAAAAAAAAACCGTAAACCCTAAACCCTAAACCGGCGCTAAACCCTAAACCCTAAACCCCAAACCCTAAACCCCTAAGTAAAACAGCTCTCAACATTTAGCCCCGGCGCGGCCCCAAGAAGCGAGAGTTGGCCGTCGCCCTGACAATCCATGATGCCCTCTGAGCCGAAGCAAAGCTCTCCTCCTGGGTTTTTGAGGGGGGGTTTGGGGGGTTTGGGTTTTGGGTTTGGGTTTTGGGTTTTGGATTTTGGGTTGTGGGTTTCGGGTTTAGGGTTTAGGGATTAGGGTTTAGGGTTTAGGGTTTAGGGTTTAGGGCCTTCTCTGGGTCCTGGCTACATCCTACGGGTAGTTCCATTGGGTTTGCTGGTGCTGGGTTAGGTCTACACGCGGACCGATGCTTTCTTATGGAACCCTGGGCTCGAACCCCTCTAGACTCCTCTCTGCACGCCCTTCTGGACCCCCCTATACACCACTGCTACTTGCCACGCTCTGGACCCCGCCTGCACCAGACCCTCCGGAGCTCCTTTGCACCCCCTCCGATAAACCCCTTTGTAACCTGTTTGGGGTCTCGAAGTACCGTGTGGACCCTTTTCATGGGGACTCCTCTAACCCGGTTCTATGGCTATGGGGCCCACTAGAAGTGCCGATGGCTGGGTCGCTATCTCCTGTCGCCAGCCGACGTGCTGATCTCTGGAGATGTATATGGCGTATACAGCTTAGGGTTTAGGGATTATGGCTCTAGTGGGTTGAGGGGGTTTACTTGCTGTGAACTAAGTGCCTCATACAATCGTTTAAGGGGTTGTACTGGTATCGGGGAGAAGTGGCTATATAGTTCCCTGTTAAGGACTTGTAACTTGTAAGTATGTCACATCCGGCTACCATAACTTCGCTCGTTCTGTCTCTCTCTCTCTCTCCATCTTTCTTTCTGTCGTTCTTTCTTTATTTTGTTTCTTTCTGCATTTCGTTCTTTATTTATTTCTGTATTTCTTTCTTTTTCTTTCTTTCTTTCTTTCGTCTGTTCTTTATGTTTTTCTTTCTTTCTCTCTTTCTTTCTTTCTTTCGTTATTTCTTTCTTTCTTTCTTAAAAATTATCTCTCTATACATTTATACATCAATGCACGCATATAGAAATGTATGTATATATATATGTAGATGTATTATATCCATAACATGGTAACTTAAACTGAAATTACTTCACAGAAAACCCAGTCTCCGGAAGCTTCGGTCTGAACCAGCATGCCTCTCGTCTCGTTGAAGGACATGCTGTAGGACGACCCCCAGCCAACTAACGCGTTTGGACACGATATCAGCATCACGGAATTGGAGAGAAAAAGACAACTCCCCGTGTCGTACAGCTCCAAGACGCGTATGCCAGGGGAAGTCTCAACGAACGTCCACAAGCTCAACGGACTCTGGCAGGAGCCCCATAACCAGCGGCCGCTAGCTGACCACTGCCAGCGCAGGCAGTGGCCTCTTTGGTTGCGGATTTTGACTGCGCCCGCCGCAACAAGTACCGATTGCTTGGCGGTCACTGGGGTGTTTGCGCAGTCCACGGGGCTGCTGCCTGCTACACTGAAGGCCGCCAGAGGCAGCGGCATGCCACTGTGGTCTCTGCAACCAGAGATCTTTAGATCGCATGTGGGCCATTTGGAGGAGTTGGGGCAGGCATTCTCCTTCTTGCCTAGGCTGAAAAATGGAGGTCGGAGTGCTTGGCGGAGCACATCTTCGCTGAATCGCTGCGCCCCCACACCGCCACAGTCCGCGAGTTGGAGCTCATAGCCGTGTAGACCCTTGCCTTAGCTGTTCCTTTTCTTTTTTTGGTGGGGCGGGGGGGGGGCCTTTTTAAGTAGAACCAACAAAATGTTCAAGGACTGTACTGTATGTGGTTTAAGAACTGTCAAGTTGCTCTCTTCAAGGCATTGGGTCCCAGTCGTCAGCCTCCATGTGCTGGAGTCAGTGCCGTTCAGGGTCAAAGCCCGATAGTTTCCGGGCAGGAGTGCGGCGTGAAAGACGCACATGACTGGAAGGGGTTCCTGACGATGGTGCCGAAAGCGCGCCTGCAGCAGCAGGGACGCATCTTCCATCGCTTCACTTGCCTTAGGGCCCGCGGAACATGGGCCAAAATCAGACAGCGCAATGCTGGCCGGACAATCATAATGTTCCTTCAACTGAAGGTGCGTTGTCTCATCATAGAGGCAATAGTCGACGCCGGCTGTGCACAGGAAGTACTCGCCAGGGTTTGGCACGCAACTACTTCCCAGCGCTCCAACACCGCGCAGCTGCATACACAAGTCGTTCTCAGCCACATACTCCAGGCACCTGTCATCAGCGATGTTTCCGAAGATCTGCATCTGCACGCTCGGCGCGAAGTAGAGCTCCTCGTGCTGGCGGGGCGAGGAAGAGCTCTCTCTAAGCACGTCTTCTGCTACTCGTAGTTCTTGTACTGCTCTATGCTATTGCATCACTGTCATACCATTCTGTTGTGATACGTTTGAAACTATCGGTTATTTGTTGTGCTATAACATTGTAGAACTTACGGTAACTATGAAACAGATGTGACAGAACAGCCATGAATGTGTTCTGGCATGATTGCCAGGTTCTCCTGGTGGTTCTGCAACTGGTAGGTGCTGTAGTCCTTGGTAGCCCAGGAACAATATTACAATAAGTGCACCCTTTTTGGGGTAGGCTACTTTCCAAGGGAATGTTGAACCAAAAAGGGGAAAGGGGTATCCGCTGGGCTACCAAGAGTCTCTCTGCACGAGCTGAATGCATGCTGCGCATTCGAAGCTGCCGAAGCCTGCGTCGCTAGAAGGACCGAAGAAGCGGCCGGCAGCACAGGTGACGGTGTAGCTGGCCTGGCGAACTACTGGGCTCTTAAGGGAGGGGGGTTCAAAGCAACTATGTAACCCAAGGTTCCCTGATACTCCCCACTACTACCTTAAGGCTCCCTGAGCTTATGTAAGGTTCCCCAGGTACCCATCCCCCATGAACCCCCCCTCCCGTAAGGACCCTATAAGCCAAGCTCCACAGCCGCGGCGTCTTCGTCAAACCCTAACAACACTAACAACACCAACAACCCGAAATCCCCATCAAACCCTACAAATCCGAAGCACCTAGCCCTAAACCCCAAACCCTAAACCCTAAACCCCCTAACAACACTCAACAGCCGGCAAACCCTTAAAAAAAACCGAAGCCCTTACACTCTACGGTCGGTGCCATGGGGCCCGTTGTGCGGCCCCTCGCGGATCCCAAGTATGGGTTTAGGGTTTAGGGTTTAGGGTTTAGGGTTTAGGGTTTAGGGTTCAGGGTTCAGGGTTCAGGGTTCAGGGTTCAGGGTTCAGGGTTTAGGGTGGGCCCTTATGATATGGTCAGTTCTCAAGATGGTGGTCCTTGCTACCTGTTTGGCCACCTCAAGTATTCGGGGCCGCAGTATACATAGGATCCGAAAAAAAAGCCATAAGTTAGAGAGATCACCATATAGAGTGTATGGCTACGGGCTTAATATGAAAGGTGGCCCGAACTAAGGGGCCCATACTTAGATGCCCACTGCTTCCCGCACCTATGGTCCGACCCCAAAAAGCCGGTTTAGGGTTTAGGGTTTAGGGTTTAGGGTTTAGGGTTTAGGGTTTAAGGTTTAGGGCTTTGGTTTAGGGCTTAGGGTTCAGGGTTTGAGGTGTAGGATTGTCCTAAGTCTTCTACCTGCAACCCAGAATAGCGCTTCATTTCTAGATGGTAGGCACCTTATGCCCCTCATAGCCTGAAGGAATTCCACCAAGACCAGAACCCAAGAGCTCGAAGACGCTGAACCCTGAACGAAACGCCCCCCCAAAACCCTAAACCCTGCATAACCCTGCATAACCCTGCAACCCTAGGAACTCGAAGACTATGAGCCCTGAACTAAACCCTAACCCCTAAACCCTAAACCCTAAACCCTTAACCCTTAACCCTAAACCCTAAACCAAAACCCTCCACCTGCGCCACCGGCGTGTAGCGTTCCGTCCAGCATGAGGCCTTCAGCTGCCAGCCCGAAGTGAACGTGGGCAAAGGCACCTTCTGCCTTGTTAGGGTTTAGGGTTTAGGGTTTAGGGTTTAGGGTTTAGGGTTTAGGGTTTAGGGTTTAGGGTTTAGGGTTTAGGGTTTAGGGTTTAGGGTTTAGGGTTGAGGGTTTAGGGTTTAGGGTTTAGGGTTTAGGGTTTAGGGTTTAGGGTGCGGCAGTGAGCTTGTGGGCGGTGCAGAAGGCGAGCGTGCCTCATACATACACATGCATGTGACGTACACATGCACGTACACACATAGAGACACAGTGAATATGCATAGACGCATATACCCATAGATGTCTCCACATGCTTTGCCAATTGCAGTTTCGAGTTTACTTAGTATCATGGAAAGCCCGAAGATTTTCTAGCTAAGAAGGAATGCATATTCCTATGCTTTACGCTAAATGTACGATGTCCTCCTAGAGGAAAGACAATCTCTTCCTCATCTTTTTATGGGCAGATCGTATTCTAACCCCTGGCTTCTTCACATGACCAAGAAGAAATCCAGGAAATCCTGCTTGGCAGACCGTAAAAGTAGGAAAATCCGTACTTGCCAAGAAGAGAAACCTTTGATTTCCTCACATCAGTTGCGCAAACCCGCCGAGTTTCAGCATGTCACGGCAAGTCTGTCTACCCAGCTTTTTCAGCGGGAATGTTGTAGAACACCCATGTTGGCTGCATTTTTCGTAGGCCACAGGACATTCAAAATTCAGCTGTCTTTTTGAGAAACCTGTGCTTCTCTTGGAGGGACAATGTCCCTAAACGCTAAACCCTAAACCCTACACCCTAAACCCTAAGCCCTACCCTAAACCCAAAACACCCTAAACCATAAACCCTAGCCCTAAACCCACATTGACTGTGACAGCAACTTCGGTTCGGGCAGTCTTGGCACATCACAAGGACATGGCTAGGTTCCCTTGCTCAACGGGGGTTTGCGATATTCGGGGTACCTTCTTTGGGGTCCTGATTATAAGGGGATCCTACTATTTGGATGTCTATATCAGGGGTCCCGTATTGTCGTAAACCCCCCCAAAAAAAAACAATCCAAACACGTGCTTGTCGAATCAACTCCGTCAACACACGCAACCATGGCAACTGCAGGTATAGCATTTGCTTCGCATGCTTCATCACGAGCGCATGGGCGTGCGCAACAAAATTGTGAAGCAGGGGTGGGCTCGACAGGAGGCGTAAACTCGACAGGTGTCTGAATGCCCTCAACTTTCTAGAGGGTGGGAGAGCTACAGTAGGGAGTAGGGTTTAGGGTTTAGGGCCTAGGGTTTGGGTATCTCAAGTCTTGCAGCCTCTTCTAGGATTGAGCTTCAAGGATTGGGCAGGGCTTAAGGACCGGCTCCATCGGGCAGGGATTCAGGGTTCAACTGACGATTTGGGCCTCCCAATGTTTAGGGTTTGGGGTTTAGGGTTTAGGGCCTGAGGCCTGCTTTTCTCTCTTGGTAGGAGGCAGGGGCAGCTGTGGCTGCATATAGACATATGAAGATATAAGATGGTGCATACGTATATGGCAAGAACATATGCACAGACATAGTATACTATATGTATATATATATATATGCATATTCATGTATATGCATGCATCGTTGTTTATACGTATCTGGTGCTTGTCTATTCCTGTCTCATGCATACGATCAGGATGCACCTGATACCTTGGTATGAAGCGGGAAATCCAAAGAATGCCGGGCTGCAAACTGCACTCCAAATTCAGATAGACAGGAACGGCTAGGTTCGGGGCAAGGTTGAGAGTTCCGAGTTTGGGGTCTGCTCTCGACCTTAAACCCTAAACCTCAAACCCTAAAGCCGCCCTTTCGTGAGTTTCGCGGAGATGCTGCCACGAAAGGTCGCCCGGCAGCGCGAAGTCGCACTTGTAGCAACTCTCTACCGACTGGACGCCCAACATGCGGAGCCTTCGAGGGTCGGTTGAGGGTTCGGGGTTTCACCCTCAACCCTGAACCCTGAACATTTAGGGGTTTGAAGATCAGATGTACAGCCGCTCACAAAAAGACTCTCGGACGAGTGAAAGCGTGCCCTCTTTTCCTCAACGCCTGAGCCCTGGGACCCTAAACCCTAAACCCTGAACCCTAAACCCTGGGACCCTAAACCCCAAACCCTAAACTATCAGGATCCACCTGGAGTCCCCCCCCCCCCCTCCACAGTTTAAGGTAAATGTGTCTTCTTTCTCTTGTAGGGCTTAGGGGTTTAGGGTTTAGGGTTCAGGCGCTAGGGTTCTTGCTGGGGAGTTGTAGGTTTTAGGGTGGGGGTGGCAGGGTTCTCAGAGTACTCCTGAAACCCGTTTAAGGGTTTAGGGTGGAGGGTCTATCCCTAGACCCTAAACCCTAAACCCCAAATCCTAAACCCTAAGGCCCTAAGCCTAATAAATGGCAGTCTCAGGAGCCAGTCGCACTGACGAGCCAGGTCCTCGTGGAGGCACACGCCGCCTGCAGAGCCCGATGTCGGGGTTTAGGGATTGGGTTTAGGGTTTCGGGTTTAGTGTTTCGGGTTAGTGTTTAGGGTTTAGGGTTTAGGGTTTGGGGTTTAGGGTTCAGGGTTTAGGGTTCGGTGTGACCAATGCCCATGCGACAATCTGAAAAAACACACCCAACGTATACACCACCAATGTTTGTAAGGAACCCTATCTACCCTAAATCCTAAACCCCGTACCCGTACATAATATATGTATATGTATATGAGTATATATATATATATGTATGTATATGTATGTATATAGCTAACCCCCCCCCCCTCCCCCCCAGACCTACCCCGCACGAATCCAAGAGCACTAAAACACCAAAAAAAAAATAATGGGGGGGGGGGGGGGACTTGGTTTGGAAAACCAAAACAAAAACAACACAAAAACAAAAAACAAAAAAACACCAAAAATAAAACAAAAAAAAATGGGAGACTATAGACCCTGGGTCCGGGTCATAGTCTCCCAATTTCTTGTTTTTTTGGTTTTCCTTTTTTTTGCTTTATTTTTGGATTTGTTTTGGCTTGTTTTTGTGTTTTGCTTTTTGGTTTTGGCGGAGTTGTGTTTGGTCCTTCTCCAGGTCACAATCCCCCCGAAACCAAAAAAAAGAAAAAACATTATTAAAAAAAGACGGACCGAGGGGCTATAGTCTCCATTGTTTTTGGTTCTTTTGGTTGTTGGTTTTTTTTGGTGTTTTGGTTTGCTTGGTTTTTTTTTTTCTTTTTGTTTTCTTTTTTGTTTGTTTGGTGTTTTTTGGTTTTTTGGTTTGGGGCAAGTCCCCCAAAACTTTTGGGTTTTTTGGGTTTTGGTTTTTTGGTGTTTTTGGTTCTTTTGTTTTCTTTCTTGTTTGTTTGGTGTTTTTTGGTTTTGTTGGTTTTGCGGAGTTTTGTTTGGTTCCGTCTCCAGGTCACAGTCTCCCCGAAACCCCAAAAAAACAAAAGTATACTCAAAGACAATGACCCGAACACAGGGGACTAGTCTCCCAACTTTTCTTTGTGTTTTTGGGGGGTTGCGGAGACTGTGCCCCGCAAACAGTGCGCTAGTCTCCCCAAATTTTGGTTCTAGTTTTTTTGTTGTTTTTTTGTGGTGTTTTACGGTGTTTCGTATAGCATATATCTGTGTGGTTCCGTCTCCAGGTCACAGTCTCCACCAAAACCAGAAAACAACCAACAAAAATGGAAGACTAGTCCCCCAGGTCCGGGTCATAGTGTCCCAAACTTTGTTTTTGTCGGTTTTTGTTGTTGAGTGAGATTTTTAATAACAAAAACCTAAACCCAAACAAAACAGCCACACACACACACACAGAGTGCATCACTCCATACATGCGAATGCTTCCAAGTTCCCTACAAACAAAAGCATTTCCAACCCCGAATATCAAGAAATAATATTTGCTCCCGGGCTTACATATAACGTTTTTACATGTCACTGTATGCCCTCAAATACTTCTTCGTCTTATGGTTTGAGGGTTAACATCCTTTCTTCATCTGCATTTGAGATCCAATACATATCACCCTGTATACATATATGACGTGGGTAGTTATTTTGCATTTTCTTTGTATTTCCATTGGCCTCCGTTCAGTGTCGCACCTCATGCTTCTCTTCTGCTTTTATGGAGAGGTTGATCTTGAGGTCGGTCTTGGGGGAGGGGTTACCACATATATATATATATATATATCCTAAAGATAGATAGATATACACAACGGCAAGATCATCCCCGTTTCGTATGATGGGATTCTGGGGGCTTCGCGGGCTTCGCGAGCTTCGGCCGGCTTTGTGGAACTGCAACGAAGCGACATGACCTAAACCCTGAGCCTAAACCCTAAACCCTAAACCCTAAACCCTAAACCCTAAACCCTAAACCCTAAACCCTAAACCCAAAACCCTGACATGAAGTTTAGGGTTTAGGGGGTTTAAGGGGGCTTTGGGAGGGCACAGGTCGCGGACTTAGCCCATGGCTTCCTAAATGCCGTACATACGCCCTAAGCCCCAAACCTCTGAACCCGAATACCTCCTAAACCCTAAACCCTAAACCCTAAACCCTAAACCCTAAACCCTAAACCCTAAACCCTAAAGACCTCAGGAAGTCTCAACCAACCCTGAGTCTTCGATTCATTTACAACGGGCGGACAAAAAATTTACCGGAGCACCTGGCACTTCTCCACCGCCCGTTCCGGCTCCAAGGAATGTGCGCCGCTGTCGGATGGCAAAGCAGGCCTGACAGGTTTTGGGCTCAGCGGGTTTTGGGAGCTTTATACTTTATGGGCTGTAGGAGTTATGCTCGACGGCGTGGTTTATGGGCTCTACGGTTGCTGCGCTTTTGGAGTTTTGCTCTACGGTTGATGGGCTTTAGGAGTTAGAGGGTTTCGGGCTTCAGGTGATGCGGAGTTTGGGGTTAACGGCTCAGGAACACTGTCTCGTACGGCAAGCTTACGCCCAAACGCTTTTGGAAGACAACTGCCACCACTTTTCTTGCACTTGTCCCGCATCTCCCCTGAGAGCTCAGAAGGAGAAAAACCCTAAACCCGAAACCCTTAACCCTTGGCACCCAAGTAGCCCTCACCTGCCTCGTCAGGTCTAAACCCCAAACCCAGAACCAGCAGAGAACACCAAACCCTGAACCCTAAACTTAGACCAGCAAACCCTAAACATTAAACCCTGAACCTGAAACCAGAAAACCCGAAAACCCTGTAGCCCTGAGCCTTAAAACAGAAAACCCCCTTAACCCTAAACCAAAGGCTCCTGCGGATCAGCGCGCACGCAGTACTTGTCCTGGGCGCTGGGAATCGCCGCGAGCGTGCCCCGAGCGTTGGAGGTCAGCACAAGAGTGCGGCAGCCAGAGTACAGGCGACACTGCCTCGGAGTTGAGGCTTTAAGACGTTCTTAGGGTTTAGGTTTAGGGTTTGGGGCTACTGCGCATGTCATGCCGGTTTAAGGGTTGGGGTTGGATCTATGTCCTGGGCACCTAAAACTAGAAGGAATACAGAATACACCACAAATACAGGCGCCAAAGAAAGGCCTATGATTTGGATTGGTGGAAACTCTAGGCACCCCTAACCCCTAAACCTCAACCCCTCAACCCCCTCACCTCCCTCAGGCCCCTGAACCCTAAACCCTAAACCCGAAACCCCTAACCCTGAACCCTGAAAGGAGATCCCTTTCATCTACCCCTAATGTACTCTACACAACCCAAGGGCCCATACATCAGAACCTTTGACGAGAGGTAAGGGACCGCATTAAGGGCCCATGAAACTACCCTTAGATAAACCCTAAGCCCCCTAAACCCTAAACCCTAAACCCTTAAACCCGAAACCCTAAACCCTAAACCCGAAACCTGATAAACCCGAAACCCTTGTAGGACAAGGCCGTGCCGAAGTGCTTGCTTCCGTCCAGCGTTCCGGCCCAAAAGAACGTGCAGTTCGGCCTCAGCTGGTCAGCTGGGGTGGATCCCAGGGTTTGTTTAGGGTTTCGGGTTAAGGTTTAGGGTATAGGGTTGTTTAGGGTTTAGGGTTTAGGGTCTAGGGTTTAGGGTCTAGGGTCTAGGGTTTAGGGTTTAGGGTTTAGGATTTATCGGGTGTGGGCTGCTCTGAACCCCTAAGCTCAGCCTAAACGAAGCCCCCAATACAAAGATGATGTCTTAGTTGGGGAAGAGGTGGAGCAATGTTAGACTTACTTTGGGTTCTTTGGGGGTACTCATGCTCAACCCCAACCCCCAAACCCTAAACCTGTGTGTACAGTTCTGAATGCCTTTGCAAAGGATTTGCAAGCCCAGCTGCTCAAGCTGGCACTTGGCAAGGCACGGCTGGGGGGTCCTCCGCTGTTCTTGGAACCGCTGTAAAAACAGCGGGTTCTGGGTTTTAGGACTTAGGGTTTAGGGGGGTTTGGGGCTTGGGGTTTGGGCTCGCAGGGAGGGTTTGGGATTTAGGGTCTAGGGTTTCGGGTTTAGGGTTTGGTTCTTTGGGGTTTAGGTTTCAAGTTGACGGCCCCTGTATTAAATCAACCCTAAACCCTAAACCCTAAAACCTAAACCCTAAACCCCAGAAACATATTTCCAAACCATGGTCTGGGCTCGACTCGCCGTACACCACAGTGAGGAGCTCCGCCTGCTCGCAGAAGGCAGCACCTGGGCGATTTAGGGGTTTGGGGTTTAGGGTTTAGGTTCAGGGTTCAGAGGTTTTGGGAGAGTTCCGGGGAAGGTTTTGAGGAGCTTCGGGGAGTTTACCCTAAACCCGAAAGCCCTAAACCCTAAACCCTAAACTTCAGGGGCTTGAGGCCCCACCCCCGCCCAACCCTTGGTGGTTTACCCAGGGTTTCGGGTTCAGGGTTTTGGGGGTTTCGCAGTGGCCGGCTTTTGGAGCCCCCTCCGCCCCGCAAAAGGCAACAGCTTGGAGAAGAGGCCAAAGGGTGGCTTTCGGAACGCCCAGTCACTGCAATTTTTATTCTCCCAAAACACAACATGCCATGCTTCGGCCCGTGGCCCTATGCCCCCACCCCCCAAAAGGAAACAGTGCGTGACATACGGGCTTGTGGGGTTGAGGGTTCTGAAACTCCAAACCCAAAACCCAGGGCGCAAAAGCACCCAGGAGTGCAGGCATCAACCTGGTAGCCCAGGAACCATATTACCATAAGGGTACCCTTTTTTGGGTAGAATCCTTAAAACCCTAAACCCTAAACCCTAAACGATACTTTCTCAGGGAATGTTGAACCCAGGAAACCCTCCGAGATCGTGATGTGGGGCGGCGAGAAGACGTTGCTGCTGCCCGGTGGGACGAGCTTGAAGCTTGATGATCTGACCGGAGGCCGGACGCCCCACTCTTCTGGGAAGCACTCCTTAGGAGTTTTGGGGTTTAGGGTTTCGGGTTTGGGGTTTAGGATTTAGGGTTTAGGGCTACTGATGCGGCTACTGCTCCTGGAGCCGGCAAAATTTTTTTAAAGGGCGGCCGAAGTGCACACGGATGTACACTGAAGTCATTTGGCGTCTCCGTCGTCGGGTTGTCCAGCAGCACCTCCTGCACGTAGCTCGTCAAGGCCACTTCGCGGCCGTCCACGGAGAAGTTCAGCTCACCCGTCCCGCACGTCGGGCTTTGGAGCGACAGCTCCAGGCCTTCAAAGAGGAGTTGGGAAAACCCTAAGCCCTAAATTCCCCCCTTAACCCTTAGACACCAAGTCTGTGCAAAGTGAAGAACTAAAAAAGCTGTGCGCGCATGGCATGTGCACGGCACATGCGGACACATGTGCGACCTCAGCTCCTCGTAGGGTTGGTTTGACTCTGGGCCGAGATAGGGTTTAGGGTTTAGGGTTTAGGGTTTCGGGTTTAGAGTTTAGGGTTCAAGGTTTAGGGTTTAGGGTTTAGGGTTTGGGGTTTGGGGTTTGGGGTTTAGGGGTCGGTAGAGGTCGGAAGTTGATATAAACCCCTCAAAGCTTCTCACTTCTTTTTGGATGCTCGGGTTTGGGTTGAAGTGGGCAAAGTTCAACCTAAGCGCTGCTTGGAGTAGGAATTGGGGATATACGTACCCAACATACAGCTATCACAAATGATGACTATAGCTAGCTTTCCTGCTTAGAACTTCAGAACCATACTTCTCCTTTCCCATGAGCCCCCAAGTATGCCCATTGAAATGATGAAGCTATACCCTAAACCCTAAACCCTAAACCCTAAACCCTAAACCCTAAACCCTAAACCCTAAGCCCTAAACCGCCTTCGCCGACGTCTTGCCCCTGCGTGAACACCTTCTGGGCGCCGTTGTCGAAAACGCTCGCAACCACCGGGGTGGCGGCCGAAAGGCAGGCGACTTGCTCTCCATGTAGCTCCACAACTTTCATGCTGGTGTTCCTGGGTTTAGGGTTTAGGGTTCAGGGTTCAGGGTTCAGGGCTTGGGGTTCAGGGTTCAGGGTTCAGGGTTCAGGGTTCAGGGTTCAGGGTTCAGGGTTCAGGGTTCAGGGTTCAGGGTTCAGGGTTCAGGGCTTAGGGTTCTTGATCTGGCTAAGGGCTTGTGGGGTTTTGCAGGGACGCTTGCAATTTGAGAGGATGTTGTGTGTGAGTCCGTGTGCGTGTTTGTGTAAGCTCCTTCAAGGGGGGGGTTCGAGCTTGGGAGACTTGCTCACGTGCTCAGGGTCTGGGTTTAGGGTGCACTGCACTTCTCTTTCATTTTGGGGAAAATTTGGACGGTCCCCCTTCATTCTCAACCTTTCTCAACTTTGAGGGCTAACGATTTTGTAAGGCTTGTAGGGTTTATAGTTAGGGCACAATGGGCTTGCAGAGAATTAAAAGTTTATACAGTTTGTAGGCATGACAGGGGTTTGATTGACTTTGTAAGGATTTTTAAGAACTTATTATCCCTCTACTCAGTTGTCCAATTTGTCATGAAAGGCGAACCCTTGGGGGATTCTACTTCATGCTTGGACCCATGAACCCTCATTGCGTAAACCCTCAAACTCCCGGAAGCCCTCGAAAACCCCGAAAACCCGACACCTTCATGAAACTTGGCCCAGGCGCTCGAAGTCCCAGCTTGTGTTTGGGCGCGTGAGGACGAGGGATCCGGGGCTGCAGTCCGAAGACGTGGCCGCAGCAGGCTGCAAGTAGAACGAGTCCTGGGTTCAGGCGGGTTTACCGGGCTTAGGGTTTTGGGAAGGCGTGCCAAACGGCGCTTCCTTCCGCAGGCCTACCCACCCCAAGACCCCAGTGAACTCCAAAACGTGGGAGCATCCCTATCCCCATACTCCGAAAGGTATACTGTATACTAAAGGGAATCCCAGCACTAATCATCCTCAAACCATTTTCCAACTTTCTGGAGTTTACTGTACAAAGCAACATGTACTTTGATACAAGGTGATGCTGGATCCTGGCAAAGCCTTGCGATGTCCTTGTTTTTGCAAAGCTGCGGTTGTGCATGCTGGCTTGCAGTGTTTTTACGCGTGCAGCGGATCACTTCCACTGTTCTGTGCAGATGGTTGCACGCGCCGCGCCCGCCGGCTAGTACCTGACTCTAAACTCAAGGCTCGCGTGCTGCGAGTTGTTAAAGATGCTGGCGACGCTTGGGAGACTTGGGAGACATGGGTCGCATGGGTGGAACACTGGGGTAACTTGGGACGCTTGGGTAACACATTTGGGCACTTGTGTCACCGTTGGAGACTTGGGATACTTGGGCCGCTTGGGACTTGGAAGCAGCTTGGGCACTGGGAAGACTCGGACACTCGGGTCACTTCGGTCAGCTTGGACCCTGGACACGCCCTATGGGCATGCGGCAGCTGCTGCTGTAAGGGGAACAAGGCACAACCCTTCATCCTGGCCTGCAGTATCCTGGACCCCGCAACCCACGCAAGCCAAAGCTTAAAAGTTTATTCCTGAACTAGAAACTACAGTCGTGGCCCTTAGTCCAGGGGTCTTCAGTGTTCCCGCTGGAGTTCTGAGGCTTGCCTAGAGCTTATAAGGGCTTGAAGTCTGACAGGGGGTGCAGCACCAGCGTCCTGGGTTGTAAGGCCCTGCTTGTGATAGATCTGCCCAACCTTGTGCCCAGTCGTCTGGTTGATCCCCCATCCAATTGGGCAGTAGGTGCCCTCGTAGATCCAAAAGGGCGTCGATGCTGACAGGACCAGACCTCAGAGGGTGGCAGGGTGTCTGCATAACATGGGGGGGGGGGGGAGGGGGGGGCGGGGAGGGGGGGGGGAGGGGGGGGGAGGGGGGGGAGGGGGGGGGGAGGGGGGGAGGGGGGGGGGAGGGCCCCCCCCCTTGCCCCCCCCCCTACCCATCAGTCCAGCCCAGGAAACCCCCTGCATTAGCCCTGGTACCCTTGGCGAGGCGGCCTCGGGTTAGCGGTTAAGAAAGCCCCTAATGGTTTCGGGTTTAGGGCCTAGGGTTGCAACTTGAAGCTGTTCGGCCCAGGAGCACGTGGCGCCCCGGCTGCAGTTCCCGATCTTCTCCCAGGCAGGAGTTTGCTGGCAGGCGGCAACTTGCGTGCTTCCCAGGCCTTAGAGTCAGAGCGAAGAGCGAAGAGCGAAGAGCGAAGAGCGAAGAGCGAAGAGCGAAGAGCAGTGAGCGAGAGGTAATACAAGAGACCAAACACTTGAAAGGGGGGCCGGGGGAGGGGGGGAAGAGTGGGAGGGCTCGTGGCCGCTCCAGTTTTCCTTAACTCCACATTCAGCCCCCGATAAGCATCGTTTGAGGTATCAAGGTAGCCAACAAATCCACTGCAATGTCCAAGGGTATCCCCCCTACCCCACCACCAACCGCAGAGTTGCGTTTTTAAATGGTTTAGGGTTTAGGGATTAGGGTTTAAGGTTTAGGGTTTAGGGCATCTTCAAAACCCAGCTGCATGGGGACAGGAACTGGCACTCGCCTTCCAAGGCGTCGGACTGTAAGAGGCCATAGCCGCTATACGCGAAGCCATAGACACCACAGTTGGCAGCCTCTTCACAGACGCTGAAACCTGAACCCTAAACCCTGAACTCCGGGTAACCAACCGGCCCTACTCCCAAAACCAGTCCTCAACCCTGAACCTCGTTTGTCTTCTTTTGGATCTGCATGGGGCTACATACTTGGAGGTTATGGGTACTTGCAAACCCAAGTATAACAACTGTACGACCTGGAACCCAAGCATGGCGCCCCTACGTCCTCTGTAACTGATCTATTTGTACATGCTAAGACTTTGGGCATGCATTCAGCTAGCCTAAGCCCTAAACCCTAAACCCTAAACCCTAAACCCTAAACCCTAAACCCTAAACCTCAAACCTAAACCGTCAGGAGGTCCCTTGGCCTTGCGGCAGGCAGCCCGGCACCGGGCCATGGTCGAATGGCGGATCCTCTCGACCACAAGCCATGTCGCGCTCTCATTGGCCGCGAGCTTCCAGCACACGTCGTCCTCCACCTTCGCTGCTTTAAGGGGATAGGATTAGGGGGACCCTTGGGGATATAGACCCTCTGAATAAGGTCCCTGTTTAAGAGAGCCAGAAGAGGGTCAAGAAGGGGTTCCCTTTTAAGGGCCCCCCTTATCCTACCTAGGATGCTTGGCGGAAGGAGACGGTAGCTCTTAGTAAGGCCCCCTGCATACGGGTGTCCGAGATCTTGCCATGAAGGAAGGAAGACGCCTCACCTAAACTCGCAGAGATTCTTATGTCCTTTGTTCAAGGGGTCCCGGGCCCTTTAAAGCGGCGCCAGGGCTTCTCAGGGCTACTTGGGGGCACGTGTTGTTAAACGCAATTCGGGGGACTGTCCTGAATTCTTGCACTCACTAGCCATCCTAAACGCTAGGGGTGCCCCTTGTGCACACTAAAATACCAGATTCCTTAGCGCAGGAGCCTCGAAATAGAGAGCCCTAATTTGCAACCCTCACATACTCACTTAAATCGCCCTAAGTAACGTGAGGGGGGTTCCCAAAATTGGGGTACACTTTTAAGACAAGGAGTACAGCATTTTGGAGGGGGGGGGGGGGGTGTATCGAGGGTGCACCTGTTTTGGGAAAAACCGAGAAGCCCGTATCTTGGCGGCTAAGACGCGATTATGGCAAGGTCGCCTGTGGCGGGTGTGATGGTGACGCCAGGCTGCCATTCGAAGTGGCCCCAGACCTTCGCGGGCACCGCGCTTCAGAGCTGGGCGGCTAGGGCCTAGGGCTTGGGACACATAATTCTCCCCGATCAAGGGTCATGGATAGCTTTCCGGTCTGCATGGGCGCCCTGGTTATGAGTCAAGGTATGTTCCTCAATGGAGAAGAAAGAGTTTGGGATGAAGCCTCCCGGACCTGAGCCTCACTGTGCCGTCTGCGCCACCAAGGAAAACAGGGCTTAGGGTTATGTTTCCCAAGGAAAGCAGGCTTAGGGCTTAGGGGTAAGTTTAGGGTTTAGGGTTTAGGACTTAGGATTTAGGGCTGGGGCTTAGGGCTTAGGGTTAGGGTTGTTTGGGGCCAGAGCTTTGCATGGGGCCTTGCAACTTAAGCCAAAAGCTTCCTAGCAATGACTTCGGCACAGTGCAGGAGAGGTGGAGGCTGGCCCTGAGCGATTCCTGGAACGAGTCAAAGAGGTCCGTCAAGTTTGCCGACGGAGTCAACATCAAGGCCCCTGCAGGAGCAAGCAGACCCTGAAGCTCACGGTTTAGGGTTTAGGGTTTAGGGTTTAGGGTTTAGGGTTTAGGGTTTAGGGTTTAGGGTTTTGAAAGAAGGGGGGGAGTGCGTTTGGGTTCCCTATTCTGGGAGAACACCCGCATGAGTATCAAACAGGTTTGGGTTCCAGCATCCAACTCGCAGCTTTTCGTGGAGGGAGGGGGGGGGGATTTTCGGCTCCCCACATCAGAGATCGAGTCCCCACATCCTCGTTCTAAACTACCCTCAACCCCAAACTGTGACACGGGGGCACCCAAACCCTAAACCTCAAACCCCAAACCCTAAACCCTAAACCCTAAGCACCTGTGTAGATGTCAAGATGGAAGACAGGGAAGCCATTGATCGTTGCCAAGCCAGTCCGCACGTCGAAGAACACGTGCACCGTAGGATCTTGGCGAGTTTAGGGTTTAGGGTTTAGGGTTTAGGGATTTAGGGTATAGGGTTTAGGGGTTTAGGGGTTTAGGGGTTTAGGGGTTTAGGGGTTTAGGGGTTTAGGGGTTTAGGGGTTTAGGGGTTCAGGGGTTTAGGGGTTTAGGGGTTAGGGGTTTAGGGGTTTGTAGGGGTTTGTAGGGGTTTGTAGGGGTTTAGGGGTTTAGGGGTTTAGGGGTTTAGGGGTTTAGGGGTTTAGGGGTTTAGGGGTTTAGGGGTTTAGGGGTTTAGGGTTTTAGGGGTTTAGGGGTTTAGGGTTTTAGGGGTTTGGGGTTTAGGAGTTTATGTACGCTTTCGGGCAGCGGGGGCTTCGGGAGACTTGGGGGGATGCGTGCTATGCTGTGACCGAGCAAAGTGAATCGAGTGAGCCCGAAACTGCTTCTCAGACCTGAAGAGATTAAAGGCTTCAGATTCAGTACCACCGCTTCCACGTGCATGCACTGCTGCCAAACCACTGAATCCTGGAACCCTAGCGGTTGAGGGCTTCAGGCTTCGGGCTTCGGGGTTAGGGTTTAGGGTTTAGGGTTTAGGGTTTAGGGTTTAGGGTTTAGGGTTTAGGGTTTAGGGTTTAGGGTTTAGGGTTTAGGGTTTAGGGTTTAGGGTTTAGGGTTTAGGGTTTAGGGTTTAGGGTTTAGGTTAGGGTTTAGGGTTTAGGGTTTAGGGTTTAGGGTTTAGGGTTTAGGGTTTAGGGTTTAGGGTTTAGGGTTTAGGGTTTAGGGTTTAGGGTTTAGGGTTTAGGGTTTAGGGTTTAGGGTTTAGGGTTTAGGGTTTACGGCGTCCTTTGAACCAGAGGCACGAGTGCAGCTGGCAGAGAAACGAGACGGTGCCACACTACCTGTCACGCTCAAGTCGGATTCAATGCCTGGTGAGTTTCAATAGGAAACGCGAGATGGGGGATTCTCCGAAAACATGGGCTCTTTCTGGTATGATACTAACAAATACGAAAAGGGACCCTAATTTATGGAAACGCCCAGAAAAGTACGCTTGTTGTGGTAACGTAAGTCAAATTATTGACGCTATGAGGAAAGCCCGTGAAACTACCCCACAACCCTAAAACCCTGGAATGGCCCTGAAAACCGTCTGAAGAACAACTAGTCCGAAACCCGATCCTCTTCAACCCGAGAAGGGGAAAATATGACATCCCCAAGGG